AGCGAAAACAAAGTTACCGACATAAGTAAACAAAGTTGTGTCATATTTTTTTAGATTAGAAAACTTTATGTATCTATTTTGTTTTTGCACTATTTGATATATATATATATTTGGTCACACATTCAACGTCATTTTTGTTTTTATTTAAATATTAAAAAAATGTATTTTATATTTAAAACAGTTGTCAAGCTTGTTGAAATATATTACTCCATCCGTCTCATAACTAGGTATCCGTTTGCTTTTTCACATAATTTTAGAAATATTAATATTATATTGAGATGTAGAAATAAAATATAAATGACTAAAAAAACCTTGTTAGTATTATGTGATATAAATGTAATGACATTTGTGTAATATATTGTAAGTTGTAAGAGTATTTGTAATGTTAAGTAAATAGTAGCATTACTAAAAAAAAAATGAAATGAATACTTTATTATGAGACGAACTAAAATGAAAAAATAGATAATTTGTTATGGACTGATAAAGTATATTTAGAAGTATTTTATGTTTTTTTTATACTTAGTGATTTTCCGCATTTTTTTTTATGCAAATTATTTAAAATATAATTACTATTTTTTTTATACGAAATATAAAATTTAAATTAGTACTCAAATGAAAAATCAAAACGAACATATATATATATATATATATATAATCACACCTAATGGGTTTTTTTTTTACTATACGCCTCTCACTATTTTTTACTTTTTTATTAAAATATATTATTTTATTTTATAAAATATTATACTCAAATCAATATTTAAACCAATACCAAAAACTAAAATATGAAAGCAAATGCAAATCAAAAACAACTTTTTTTTTAAATTATTCTGAAAGTAGTAATAATTTGGATGTAATAGAGGTGTTTGATGAAATAATTTAAATATATATATATATATAATACTCCCTCCGACCCATATAATATTGGTGTATTACTGTAGATACGAGAATTTAGGTAAATTATAATTAGTAAGTAATTAAAAAGTGTATTAGTAAAAATAATTATTATTTAGTAAAAATAATTATAGATTAAGATTAACATAAGTAAATAATTTAATTAAAATTAAGAAAATTATAAAATTAAAAATTTAAAATGCGATTAAAGTGCATAATTATATTTCCAAAAATAGAAAGAATGTGAGACGGACGAAAATAAAAAATAATGACAAATTATGTGGGATGGAGGGAGCACATTTTAATATATTAGTTTTAAATGATAAATAATATGAATATAAATTTTTTCTTAATTAAAGAAAGCCCAAGTAAATTGAGTAATATTTCATTAATTTAATTGAATGCATGTTTGAAAGTTAGATACATTGTATGTTCACATGCATATAATGTGCATATATATATATATATATATATATATATTTCAATTTATTATTTGACCTTATTATATATGAATATATTCCTCTGCAAATTTATTTCTTTAGGATTATTGCTATGCAATATTTGTATGTATTCATGAATAATTTGGTGTTTTTTTTTTCATTATTATTATTATTATCATTATTACTCCGTCTCACGAATTATATCATACTTTTTATTTTTATCTATTTCACGTATTATCTTATTTTTTATTTTTGAAAAGTATTTTACATTTTAATTATATTTTAAATTTTATAATTTATATTTTTTTATTAAATTAATTAATTATTTTTATTTTAATTTATAATTATTTGGAGTATTATATTGTACTTAATTTTACTAACATATTTTTAATTATTTATTAATTATATATTTTTTAAAATTTTTGTACCTACAATCAAATATAATATTATACTCCCTCCGTCCTATGTAATATGAGTGTATTACTGCAGATACGGAAATTTAGGTAAAGTATAATTAGTAAGTAATTAAGAAATTTATTAGTAAAAATAATTATTATTTAGTAAAAGTAAGTATAGATTAAGATTAAAATAAATGAATAGTTTAATTAAAATTAAAAAAATTATAAATTTAAAAATTTAAAATGCGATTAAAGTACATAATTATATTTCCAAAAATAGAAAAGACAAGAGTTTAATTAAAATTAAAAAAATTATAAATTTAAAAATTTAAAATGCGATTAAAGTACATAATTATATTTCCAAAAATAGAAAAGACAAGTTATATAGGACGGACGAAAATAAAAATAGATATAAATTATGTGAAACGAAGAAAATAAAAAATAAGAACAAATTACGTGGGACGGAGAGATTACTGAAAAACACAACCAAATAAATTCGATTTCTGAAATTTATAGTAGCATTGGAACTTGAAATTTCAGTACTTTTATTCATTTATGTTGATTTATTATTTCATTAAAAATATCCTAAAACACAATTAAACACATTCGTGTGTTTGGTTTATGTTTAAATTTGTGATTTGTGTTTAAACATTGATTTGATACTTATTGAAAAAAAAATAAAAATTGTATGTATTTATTTTTTTATATAAAATAATAATAATAATTATATATATATATATAAACTCAAAAAATAACATAACTAACTGTTCCAATTCTTTATCGGACTGTATTGTAATTCTAGAATTTTGAATTAATTACTCCCTCCGTTCCGAATTTGTCGTATTTAGATTATGCACAAAGTCTTAGGTATTGTATAATTAATAAGTAATTAAAAAATGTATTAACAAAAATAATTATATTTTAATAATAATAATTTTAAATTAAGATTAATATAATTAAATAGTTTAATTAAAATAAAAGATTATAAATTATAAATTTTAAAACGTAATTAAAATGTATAATCGTATTTTCAAAAAAAAAGACAAAATTATGTAGGACGGACGAAAATAAAAAATAATTGATAAATTAAGTGGAACGGAGGAAGTATTGTTTTCGAATTTATTTGTTTAGTGAAATAATTTTAAAAAATATTTTGTTGACATCATATATAAAAGTTTATATAAATAATATAAAAATAATGATCGTATATAATATGTTTTTTTTTTTTAAATTATACTTTTTGGAAAATATTATTTTTTTAAAAAAGTACATCCTTCATTTTAATAGTAATAATAATTATTATTATTTCCAGCAATTACAGGTCATGCTGACAAGCTGAATAACAAAAAAAATAAAAATAAAAAACTGTCTGCGGCTGCTGCTGACTTAGCAACCAAATCTCATCCCACGGAATTAATTCAATCCATAGAAATAGAATACCCAAAATAATAATAATAATAATAATAAATTGACGACAAAAAGATAAACCACTAATAATAAATTATGGCACTTTAATCCTGATTAATTAATCAGATTCCCCTTTAATAAAGAAGATAAATGTTAATGTCACATAGAGAAAGAGAAAAATAATAATAATAATAATTATCAATACTTTACATAAAAATATATATATATATATATTATTTCAAATCAAAACGCCAAATAATATTTTTGTTTGGGGTTTAGATTTTCGATTGGAATTTCAATAGTACTACATTTGTTCATTTACAATATTGATATTTATTTTTTGCACATTGATCTTATAAATTTAAACACTATTGATTATTTTTAAAAATAATAGATTAATATATACTCCCTCCGTCTCAAGAAATATGGGATTATTTCTGTAAATACGAGAATTTAGGTAAAATATAATTAGTAAGTAATAAGAAATGTATTAATAAAAATAATTATTGTATAATAAAAATAATTATAGATTAAGATTAAGATAACTAAATAGTTTAATTAAGATTAAAAAAAATTATAAAATATAAAATTTAAAATGCGATTAAAGTGTATAATCATCTTTAACAAAAAAAAAAGACAAATTATGTGGGACGGACGAAAATAGAAAATATGGACAAATTATGTGGAATTGAAGGAGTATTATTATTATTATTTTTTTTATAATAAAAATATATAGTCTAATATTTATTTATTTATTTTTAGTATTTTTATTTGAAAAAAATATCTAATAAATAGAGTCTAATTAGGATGATAGCCTAAGCCAATTAATTCCCAACTCATCCATTCCCAAAAAGCCATTGAAAAGGCGACAGTAGACAACCAAAGTAAGCATCCATCCATTTCATTACCTTAATATTAATCACAAAAAGTGCTTACTCCTATGTTTAAGTTTAATTGTAAATATGAGGCATGAGAGAACAAAAAATATAAAAAAAATAAAAAATTAAAATATTGTTTGAGGTGTTTAATGTGACGTTTTAATTATAAAAAATAACAAAGAAAAAAATAAATATATGTATTTGATTAAATAATTTTTTTAAAAAATACTTGATGGATATTAGATTAGGGACCTTTTCAATTTTGCTGTTTGCAGTCTATTAAGGCTAATTGTTTGTTTTTTCACTTGTACTAAGTATTTTTATTGTATTTTCTCTTTTTAAAATAAATTTTTCTACTTCTTCTGTCCTAAATATGTATGTCCACTTGAACGGGAAACGTTTTAAAGAAAATAGATAAAGGTAATATATTTTTTTAAATTGGAAAAAAGGGTAAAAAAATGTTTTTTATTTAAAAAATGATAATAAATTTAGATGATATAAAAAAAAATTGAAAATAAATTTGAATGATAGAAGAAATTTTACTTATAAATTAATTTTTGTTAAATTGTGTTATATAAAATTTTAATTAAAACAATATTTATGTTGAATATAATCTGTTGAAATATAGTAATTTTAAAACTATTTTTAAATTTACTTTTAATTAAATATATATCATATTATAATTCAATTTTATAAAAAATAATACTTAGTCACACTAAAATTAAACTTTGAACTATTAACTTCCACCTTGCAAGCATATGTGATAATTTTATAAATTATGTTTTGTAAAATAATTCGAAAGAATATTTTTTTATTAAAATAAAAAAAAATATATAGTAGTAAATATTGTGAAATATTACAAAATAAAAATATATTGAAATGAGGTATTATAGTGTATGTATAGTTGCATAGTGTAGTGTACAGTAGTAAAAGTTGAGGTAGAGGACAGATGGGTAGGCGTAATGGGAGGGAGTGTGGGCGAATATTTTATTGCAGAGAAAGAAAAGCCATGCGGACAGTTATGGGAGAAACCAGAGGCAGAATTAAAGGGGGAGCTCTTCTCTTCTCTTCCCCTCCCTGGTTGGTTTTAGAAGCAAAACTAGCAATCACCGCCATTAGTCCCGGACCTCGGAAGGATCACCTAGCTGCTACTTAAAAAACACAAAATTATCCATTCCTCTTCTTTCAATTTCCAAGTTAACTCTCTTTTTCAAAATTTCTCCCTTTTGCGTGCTCTTTTTTAATCACCAGGATTAATTCCTGTTAACTCCATTCTTGCAATTTCCTTTTTTCTTTGGTTTGGATCTCCGGATTGTTTTACAAATTAGGGTTTTCTTGATTGCCTTTGGTTTTGATTTGGGGGTACTAATCCTGATCTTGGTTTTCGTGTGAGCTCTGGATCTTGGGCTCCCTTTGATGAATGAATCAGTCTTCGAATCTGATATTGATGAATCTGGAATTGGTTGAGCAAATATGATATTTATTTTATGCTCTTTCTCTCCAATTTTGGGTGTAAATATTATGTTGTTACTAGTTAGTTCTATCCCCACAGTTATATAGTTTTTGTACAATACTTGGGGCATATATATATATAGATTTACATAATTTAGAAATCCACCTTTTTGATTGTGGGTTTTAGTTATTTGGATTGATCTTAATTAATCATCTGATATGAATAGAATTGGATTGAATTGAATTGGGATAGTAGTTCTTGATTTTGGATCATAGCTTTAGCTTAACTCAGCTTAGTTCATCTGCTGGTCTATGGGAAGAATATCATCTGATAGTTCATTGCTGGATTTTCTAGACAAGTTTATATCCTGGATGTCTTTTGGATACAATAGTGACATGAGTTCGGATTCCGGTGGATTTGATATGCTCGACAACAGCCTCGATTTCGCAATATGCTGCTGCAATTGTGCGGCGAATGTGTCGAAATCTTGCCTCATGTACCACTGCCAGAAATGTGGGAGGTTTCTATGTGGTAAATGTGTGCAAGATCACCCCTCTTTCGACGTTGTAATAAAGGAGGAGTCTCGAGATTGCGTGTTTAGTATCAGATCATGTAGATTTTGCATCAAGCTCGGCTCGGTTAGTCGAAGCCGTAGCAAAGTTTGCCCTGTCGAATCTCCAAGACAGAGCTTCGAACCTCTGTCCCCGAGTTTTACTGGTGGGAGATTCAATGATCATCCGTCTCCACGAAATGTTCGTCGCTCGCCTAGCAGGTATGGCACGAATGGATTCGTAATCATATTCGTATTTGTTGAGATATTTTAAATATTTAATTCTAGATGTGGTAGAATTAGATTTAGATTGTTTAAATTTGAGTTTTTCGAGTTTATTTTATGGTGCTTAGACTCCTATTTATTATGAAAATAATGCAATTTTTCAATTTTCGTAAAATATTTTCAGACGGTATAGAGCCTATATAATATATCAATCAACGTTTCTCCAGGTACATTCAATTCAACCTAGAATGTATCCGGAGGTCTCCAAAAAGATTTTGAAATTTTGTCGGCAGTCTTTCTGTTCTTTGGAGTCTTGGTTTCGGCGTACCAGAGTTATTTGTCTGACTGCATTGAGAGTTTCTTCGTTTCTGACTCGGTCTAGAGTCCTGTTATTTCCGACTTTGTGGAGAGTACTGGTGTCGTTTTTGGCTTCAATGAGAGTTGTAGTTTCCGACTCAGTTGTGAGTTCTGTTGTTTCCGATTTTAATTTTAAATTTGGTAGATTTAGATTTAGATTGTATATATTTGAATTTATGGTGGAGGCTACTATTCTATTCTGATTATGAAAATAATTCAATTTTTCAATTTTCGTAAAATGTTTTCACATGGTATTAAATATCTAAAATATCTCAACAATATTCGCCACAAAAAAATTGCATCGATCATGTATGATTGGTTGATGATGGTTTAAGTTCGTGTAGCAGGTGCGACGAAGATGAGGGAGAGGATCGCGCCGCAACCCCATCGAGCGAATACTTTCATGACACTTCCGATGTAGATTGTGTCCGTGGTAGCGCTAGAAATGAATTTTTTAGTCCTACGCCCGATTCGATGGCTGTTTTAGAAAAGCCTGAAAGTCGTAACGAAACTGGAAGTCTCATTTGGTTGCCTCCACAGCCTCACAATCTTGATGATGATACAGAGTACAATTTCTTTTCTTACAATGACGACGAGGATGATGATGAATTCGTAACTTCGAACGCTTCCGTGCACGGGCACTTTAAAGAGCTCGTGTCGCAGCTTTTGCACGCGCAGGGCGTAAATGTAATTTCCGGCGAAGAGGACTGGCTGAGCATAATAACTTCAATCGCGTGGCGAGCGGCGAGCTTTGTAAAGCCGGATACTAGTGGAGGAGGTAGCATGGATCCTTGCGACTACGTAAAGGTCAAATGTGTCGCGTCGGGAAGTCGTAGCGAAAGGTAAACCTTATTATTACGGTAATACGCCATCGAATTACGCGTGTCGATCAATCGTTACTAAGCATTCGATGTTTTCTACCGACTACAGCAAGCTTGTGAAAGGAATCGTTTGCACGAAGAACATTAAGCACAAGCGAATGACGTCGCAGTATAAAAACACGAGGCTTATGCTCTTAGGGGGAGCTTTAGAATGTCAGCGCGACCCGAATCAGCTGGCGTCGTTCGAGAAATTGCTGCAACAGGTGCCGTAACGATCGGTAATATAATATCTAGATTGATATCGATGAATTGATCGAGATAGCTTTCTTGAATCAGGAAAACGATAGCCTGAGGGAGATCGTATCGAAGATAGAATCCCACCGTCCGAATGTTCTGCTCGTCGAAAAAAGCGCGTCTTCGTTTGCGCAAGACCTGTTGTTGGCGAAAGACATCTCGTTAGTCCTAAACGTTAAGAAGCCGCTATTGGAGAGAATCGCTAGGTGCAGCGGCGCCGTTATTACGCCATCGACCGAGCATTTGTCGGGGGCGAGATTGGGGCACTGTGAACTTTTCCATTTGGAGAAGGTTCTGGAAGACCATGAGCCCATCAATCAGTTCAACCGAAGGCCGTCGAAAACGTTGATGTTCTTCGAAGGTTGTCCGAGGCGGCTAGGTTGCACGGTAATACTTTTACCGAGCACGCTTGATATACATCGTTTGCATTTAAACGTTACGTCCGATTCTTACACGGAATCTTGTAGGTTATAATAAGGGGTTCGACTCACGACGAACTTAAGAAGGTGAAAAACGTGGTTCAGTATGCCGTCTTTGCAGCTTATCACTTGTCGTTGGAGTCGTCATTCATCGCCGACGAAGGCGCGAGGCTTCCGAAAATTGGTTCGGAAGCTTCCAGGTTAGGTGAAGTTGCCGTCCCTCTTGTTAACGCGGGATCGGCCGATCTCAATTTGGAGCTCGGATTGCAGGAATCCCTGCACGAGCTTGGGAAAGTGAGTTACGAAGATGTTTCGACTACGCCCAATGAATTTCGGTACCGACAAGCCCTGTCCGATGCATGTAAGGAGAATTTAGCGCTGAACTCGTCGCGCGACGATGTCCAAAATCGTACAGTAATAGTCGACGAAGATGTCGACAAAGCCTCGTCGAATAGCCAGAGCATATTAGTGTCTTTCTCCAGCCATTCCATCGTCAACGAAACCATATGCGAACGCTCGCGTCTCCTTCGTATAAAGTTCTACGGCTTGTCTGATAAACCGCTTGGGAGATACCTCAGGGATGATCTTTTTGCGAAGGTAATCGTAACGTTTACGTCGTTACAACTTCTTAATATATATATTATACATGATTTGTATCTATGTCCAGACATCTCGATGTCGATCGTGCAAGGAATCAGCTGAAGCCCACGCGATATGCTATACTCATCAGCACGGGAATCTGATGATCAACGTACGACAACTATCGTCAGCACACCTTCCCGGAGAAGACGACGGCAAAATATGGATGTGGCACAGATGCCTCAGATGTAGTCATAAAAAAGGAGTTCCGCCAGCGTCAAAACGAGTAGTTATGTCGGACGCTGCGTGGGGTCTTTCGTTCGGGAAGTTTCTCGAGCTTAGTTTTTCGAAACATGCGTCGGGAAACCGTGTCGCGACTTGTGGCCATTCTCTGCAAAGAGATTGCCTTAGGTTTTACGGGTTCGGGAGTACGGTCGCTTGCTTCCGGTACTCTCCGATTAACATCCTCTCGGTTCGTCTGCCCCCTTCATTGCTCGAATTCGGCAGTCCCGCAGCGCAGAGATGGATTAGAAAAGAAGCCGATGAGGTTCTTGAAATTTCGACGAGCTTTTCTTACATACATGACGTGTTTTCGAATTATAGTCATGTCCTAACGAGTTTATCATGTGTGTCTCTTCTTTAATGCATCAGCTCTTTAGCAAAGCGGAAGCCCTTTACGCCGAAATCTCGGCTGCTCTTCAGGACATCAGTGACCGAAGCTTATTATCTTCGACGTCCGAGTTCTATGATGTGAGCATGCTGCATAGCCATATTCTCGAACTACACAACACCCTTGCGAACGAAAGAAATTCTTACAATGTGAGTCCTAAGTTGCTTGCGATGCTTGTAATAATTTCTCGTTAAGTTGTTTTGTCGTAGCTCATCGTGTCGGATTTGCGCAGGATTTGCTCCGAGTGGCTGATGACGGGATTTGGGATCGAGACATGGATATTCTCGAAATTAATCACTTGAGACATTCGCTTCTAATCGTTTCGCACGATTGGGATAGGCAGCTATATTTACTAGATTCCCTTCTTCGACGAGTTTCGAGTCCGAAGTCCCCGAAATCGGGTGAATCTCCCGGCGAGGAAACGAAACCCGAGCATAGTGAAGAATCGGATTTAATTACATCTTTGGAACGCGTTCGATCAGCTGCGTCGACCCTGTCTGATCAGATAGATTCTGCGTGGTCCGGTGCTGACCAGGCGCAATCGAATACCGATTTGTCTGAATCCGTCTCGGTCGGGAAAATCTGTCGGAAAGACGGGCCGGCTTTCAGACGAATTTTGGTGCCAACTCGAGTTTACTCTTTCGATTCTGCTCAGAGGCTCAAAGAAAGAAGTAGAAAAATACCGCCGTCCGGTTTCCGTCTCTCGACGCTTCGATCGTTCCATGCTTCGGGAGACTACAAGTACATGCTGAGAGATCCCGTCTCCGACGTGCAACAAAATTACGCTCCGGCGCCGTCGTTTGTACCGCGGGCATCTTTTTTACCCGAAGGAGCCCGATTGATGGCTGCACGAAACGGGAGTGTCATAATGGTGTACGACGACGAGCCCACGAGCGTAATATCGTATGCGCTTTGTTCCGGCGAATACGCCGAATGGATTTCCGATAAGGCGAACAATTCGACGCGGAAGCTGTCCGGGTCTCTTGATTCGGCGGAAGACGCTTCCGAGACGCCTCATTTTCGGATATTGTTCGAGGACGACTCTGGTTCAAAGGCGAAGTTCGCCGTGACGTGTTATTTCGCGAAGCAGTTCAATGGTCTGAGGAATCGTTGCTGTCCGAGCGACGTCGATTTCGTACGCTCGATGAGCCGCTGCCGGCGATGGAGCGCACAAGGCGGGAAGAGCAATGTCTACTTTGCGAAGTCGTTCGACGAGCGGTTCATAATTAAGCAGGTGACAAAAACGGAGTTGGATTCGTTCGACGAATTCGCTCACCAGTATTTCAGGTACTTTGCGGACGCTCTTACTTCCGGGAGCCCGACTTGTCTCGCCAAGATTCTCGGAATTTACCAGGTTCGCTGTCCTAACTGTAGACATGTCGTTATGTTATTACCGCTACGTAGAGTTGGCAAAAATAGACATGGTCGGAATTCGGCACGAAAAAACCGTGTTTGAGTTTAAAAAAACAAGCATGGTCCGAAAATTCGATCTGAATTCGGCATGAAAAGATCGTGTTTAGACTTAAAAAAATAGGTCTGAAATTTTTTAGGTCGTACCAGGCTCATTCAGGTTGGACTGTGCCCGGTCCGGCCCGTCCTGGTTTTTAAAAGTACTATTTAATATTTAAAATTGTTATATATATATATATATTGACTAATGAAATAGAAACAAAAATCAATCCAGTCGGCCTGGTTTGCAGGTTCCGCAGGAGTTTACCCGGTACGTATTTTTGGGTAGCTGCTGCAAGTTCTCACGAAATCAAAAAATAAAAAAATCAAAGTACGGTAAAATTTTCAATCAAGTTTGTAGCTGGTTAGGAGTTTGATTTCTCCTTCTACCGAATGGAAACTTCTTTTTATTATTTAATTTTAAACTTAGGAAGGGAAGAAAATATTTTTTCAAAAACCAGGCCGGCCCGGCCCGATTAATAAAAGGGCCGTGTTCAGGCCTAGCTTCACAGGCCCGATCGGGAATCGGGCCGTGTCCAGCCAAGTACAGTTCAGATCCGGGCTGGCCCGAATTGCCACCCTTACCGCTACAACTAAGTTGTTGATTCGCGACTTTTTGTTCTTAATAGGTTGCGGTGAAAAACCCGAAAACCGGGAAGGAAACGAGGATGGATGTGATGGTAATGGAGAACCTATTCTACGACCGAAACATTTCGAAAGTGTACGATCTAAAAGGGTCGGAGCGGTCGAGGTACAATTCGGACACAACGGGTGCGAACAAAGTGCTTCTAGACATGAACCTTCTAGAAGCACTGCGGACGGATCCGATATTTCTCGGGAGCAAGGCGAAGAGGAGGCTCGAGAGGGCGATATGGAATGATACGTGGTTCTTAGCCGTAAGAATGATCTTTTGTAAGAATTCGTTTTTATTTGATTTGTCGTGTGTTGTAATGTTATGTTTTTTCGGATTTGCAGTCGATCGACGTGATGGATTATTCGCTGCTGGTGGGAATTGTCGACGGGGAGGAGAAGGAGGTGGTGGTGGGGATTATAGATTATATGAGACAGTATACTTGGGACAAGCATTTGGAGACATGGGTGAAGGCTTCGGGGATACTAGGAGGGGCGAAAAATGGTTTGCTGCCCACCATTGTCTCCCCCAAGCAGTATAAGAAGAGGTTCAGGAAGGCCATGACTACATACTTTCTTACAGTGCCTGATCAATGGTCCTCTTGAAGAAGATGACAAGATAGATGGATTCATTTTGGATTTGTTAGTTGTGATTTTGTTTAAATTAATATGGGATCGATCTTACTGAATTGTTTTGAATTTGGTATTACATTTGATGGGATATTTTGTGAGAGGAAAAGATGTATTTTTTTTTTTTTTTTGGGTAACTCAGAGTCCAAATAAGGTGTGTTCGATTCATAGGATTTTGCCAAAATCTCACTGTTCATCAAATTTTTTCATAAAAAAATCAAATCAAATACCTATTTTTTATTTTTTATATTATATTAAAAATTGATTTTATATTCAAAATATGACATTAATGTCTATTTATATCACATAATACAACTATTACAATTTAAAATTTTTACTATTAAAATCTCAATTTAAAATCCAAACTCCAGACATACACACCCATAGTAAAATTTGAGAAATTTTGGTTAAAGAAACATACTGTGAGAGTTTGGTCCGGAAGAAGAATTGAAATGAATTGAATTCATAGTAATATTGGTGAAATTTGGGTTATGTTTATCTTGATTTTTTGATTTTTTTTTAGAAAAAAATTATGTAATTTTTTATAAAAATTGTGGTATTTGTGTAAAAAAAAAAAGGAGGTTGTGAAAATTATTTTTATATTATTTACATAATTTCTTATACTCGTATAAAAAAAAATATATTTTCAAACAATTTCATTAAATAAACACTCCCTTTGAAAATTTGTTGGATGAGACACATATATTGAGGCCACACTTTACTTTTTATATCGTGGAGAGAACAAACATAAACAATTTTTTTTTTTTTTTTTCCAAATATCTGAAAATCACAATCTTTTCGATTAATTTGAAAATTCAAGTCCGATTGCTACCATAAAATCATGTTATATTTATTTTTATTCAACTATTTGATAAGGGATCTTGACTTAAAATTTAATTTATGATAAATTCAAATAATTTTTATCCTTCCCATGGTATTTTTTATGTAGAAAATGTATTCACTAATCATTATTAAAACATAATCTTTATTAAAATTTACTAGACAAACTGAGTAGATTAATATAATAATTTTTTAAAAAAAAATTATATTTTTACAAAAACTATTGAATATAGTACATGAATAAAAATAGGAGAAACTTATTAACTAAATAGAGCCTGAATTATTCAATTAATATATAGACCTACTAGTTTGTTTGTTTGTTTAATATTTATGGTAATATAGAAAATTTAGATAATTTTACAAAAAATTATATTTTATGTATTGAATTATTGATTTTTTAATTACATCTGTCCAATTGTTGAATTTTATTGAAATGCATTTTTGAAATGCTGTTATATATATATATATATATATGCATTAGAAATAATTGAAGTGTAAAGTCAAAAGACAACTTTGTTCATGCTTTACTACCAAAAAATTAACAGAAACATTTTTTCTATTTCTATACCAATTAAAATTTAATAAAAATAAATTCTAAGAGGCAGCAGCAGCAGGAGAGATCCCTTCTTCACTTATGCCCAAGAAACTCACTCGCTTCTGCATTGCAACATCAATAATTAAATTATTATTATTAAGAAAATATCTGTTATGTTATTTTATTTTATTTTATTTTATTTGATACACAAATCACAGCATGCTCTGGAAATACTCTATTTTATTTATTTCTTTCAATCTTTTCATTTATTTATTTTTTATTTTTAAAAAAAGTAAAAAGTGTAAGAGGGCAGCCAGAAAATTATTAATGAGTGTTGGGTGTGCATGTGCATTATGCAACTTAATATTTATTTATTAATTTATTTATTTATGAATATATATTATTAAAGCAAAAAAAGTGCTTTATATATATATATATATATATATATATCAATCAAAGTAGTTAAAAGATGGAAAGTTTGTTGGTGCTTTAGTTCTCCACAGCACAACTTATTGGACTAAAAGGAACCTCTTCTTTTATCCCCAATCTATTGTACTTATCTTACTTTTTTTTAATAATATAAATATTAATTCGTTTTAAATTTTTGTCATTTTTGAAATTATATTGTAGACTTTGAAAAACATCAGCTAAATTTTAAGAACAGTGAATTAAAATAAAAAAATATTTTTTTGTGGTAGAAAAAGGAAAGTAGAATAAGTGATATTTTTTTTATTAATAGAGAAATAAAAATAAGTTCAGATGTTCGCTAAAAAAGGATATAAATAAATTTGGATGACGGTACTTTCTATGCTTTTGAGTATTTCAAACTAATTTTTAAATAGACATAAAGAAATATTTGACCATAATAAGATTATAATATCAAAAACACAATCAAACACAAATTATTGAATAAAATAAACCAAAATAAAATAAAACCTGGCGGAATTTGGGGCCGTGTTTGGCGGATCCGCCACCGTCGTCTTCCCTGAAATGCGCCGCCTGCTCCGCGGCGGCGCCGCCAGATCTGCAGAGGTCGATGATTCTCTTCGTTATCTCGGCGCCGTCCTTGCTCTCAGCCATCAATTTCTCCACCTCCGCCTTGGGGAGCCTCAGCCGGAGCCTGACGCCGCCGCCGCCGCCATCCTCGGCGGCGCTCATCGCCGGCGACGGCCTGGCGTAGGACAAATCCGACGCCGATCTCCGCGCCAGCATCAGGCTCTCGAGCCGGTCTCTAGCGCTCATCTGAATCCCGGAGCTGACGCGCCGCGCCGGCGGCGCCTTGGGCGGCTCGGGGAACTTAGGCAGCTGGACCAGGAAGTAGAGGCGCTTTGGCTTCAGCTCCTGCTGCGGCTCCAGCGGCTTGGCTCCGGCGCCGTAATGCTTAACCGCCTCCGATTCGAGCAGCACGTGGCCCGGATGGCTTTCGAGCAGGGGCCCGGCCCGTGCCGGCGCTCTCAATTTGAAAGTTTCGCCATTGATCTTCATAACTTTTGCACTTCTTCTTCCCCCCAAAGTGTTCCCCATGGAATTGAATTTTGTTTTATTTTATTTGAATAAATTGAATTTTGAGAAATAACCAAGAAGACGACCAATTTATGTACTTGTCATGGGGGGTGGGGGTGGGGGTGGGGTGGGTCAATTTAAGAACATGGATTTAATTTTCCATATTTTAAAATTCAGAACCTTCTTTCCAAATAAGGTCATTTTTTGCTTTCACACACATTTTTTTATTCATTTTATAAACATAGGCTCTATTTGCCTGCAAATTTAACGATTTCTTGATACTCTATTTCATTTACAATATTTTACCGGAGGTGTGTACGATTGTTTTTGATATTTTTACTTTTAATTATTTATATATAATTAATTGTATATATAATAATAATTTATGTAAAAATTAAATGATATTTTAGTATTAGTGTGACTACTTTTAGTATAATATTATAATAATAATTTTGAGTGAGACGAATAAAAATAGTAAAAATATATTAAGTCGAGACGACGGGAGTATTACAAAAATATTATTACATTTATATTATACAATACTAATAAAATTATTTTTATAATTTTCTCTTAATTTGTACTGAATATCAATATTATACTTGATATTAAAAGTTATATTTGCAAAAAGCAACTGAATACTTATTTAAAGAAGAGAGGGAGTGTGTTTTATTATAAATTGTATAGTGTAAAGTAAAAATAAAAATGGAGATAGTTAAGGTGTTTTCGTTTATAAAACTTTCTCAAATATATTAAGGTAAATACGAGATTAGGCGGAGAAAATAATATTATCTACCCTATTCACCATCAGTGTATACCCAATTACCCATGCATTGTCAACCTATATAAGTTATGTATCGATTGTATTTATTAGCCCTAATCTTCAATAAAAAATACATTCAATTTTTTTTGTTATTTGTCCCATAAACTATGAGTAACTAAACATGGTAGTTAATACACTATAATTTATTTTATGTTAATTATATATGTAATTTAATTAAAAAAAATTAAAAATGCTTATTATCTTCAACATTTGTAACTATAATGAGGCAAAATTGTTCATAAGTCTCTTGTGGTTTCGAAACTCAGCGTAAATTCCCTCTCTACTTTAAAAATTGCATGACGCCCCCTTATACTTTAAAAAATATTGCATAAAACCACTTTGTGATTTCGAAACTCAGCATAAATCCCCATTTTACTTTAAAAAATTGCATGACGCTTACTTATACTTTTAAAAATATTGTATAAAACCCCTCTGTCATGCAAAACATATAGATAGGAAATCATCTTTTTATCACGAGGAAAGTTTCATAGTGGTGGGGTTTCATGCAACGTTTTTTAAAACATAAGGGAGTACTACGCCGTTTTTAAACTATAGGGAAAAACGACGCCAATTTTTCAAACCACAGGGGGATATAAGCAGTTTTGCCTTATAATTATACGGAACATCAGGTGCTCAATCCATGTGGGCTCTTGCCCCTCTTGCAACCCACCCGACCCGCCAATCACATCACACCATCTGTTTTTTTTTTTTTTTTAAAAATATTTTATTTGACAATTAAAACAAATTGAAAATATCATTAGAGTTTTTTTCGTGAGAAAAAAGATATATAATATTTTTTTTTTAGAAAAATGTTATTATTAACAAATAATGCCAAAAATTACTATAAAAAAATTCCATATATATATATATATGTATAATTCGAGGTTATTATGTGAATTCAAATTAATTAAAGGATGGTGTGGTACCGTTCTTGATGGACAACTACTAATTGACTAATACTTACCGATAACAGTTGGTCTTTGTCCAAATAAATAAAATCATTACTAATTTTCAATCATAAGATAAATTCGAAAATATAAATTTGCATGCATGCAGGTGTGAACTGATGGAGAAAAGAGGTCCGTCTTATTTAATAATAATAATTATTATTATTACATAAACTGTGTGGTACGTAATTGATTAATAGCAACTGTTAGTAACTAATACGTTGAAATAATCGTCTAATTATCCACAATTTAAGGACATCAATTTGGTGGGGCCGTACGATATATAGAAAGTTCAAATATTAATATATATATATATATATATCTGGGGGCATAAGTAATTAAATTAAATAAATTAATTAATTACATATCTGGATTGGATGATAATTCAGTTACGTTGAATATTCTTGATGATCATGCAGTGCGATATATCTGACTTAGCATGCATTCCACAAATATTTAGTAATTCAAGTTGACACGAAAATGTAAAGCCATACTTACACCTATATATAATAATAAAATAATGGAGTACTACAGTTATCTTCTACTTTTTTTTTTGTTATTATTTTTAATTTTGAATGTTTCTTTCTTTTTCTTTTTTAAAAAATGTATATATATGTAAATTGCAAAAAAAAAAAAAAAAAGAACAAGAAAGAAACATTCAAAATTAAAAATAATAACAAAAAAAATAGAAGATAAATGCAGTATTCCATTATTTTATTATTATTTAAAATTCCAAAAATCTCTAGAAAAATTGAATAAATATAAATATAAATAATTTTAATTTAATTATCCAAACAAGCGACGTGGAAAATGAGGCCAATAGGATGGAAAATTTTGTAACAAAATTCTGTTACATATGAGCCAATAGATTGCATCCACGTGGCACTCGGAATTCTCCCGCCAAGCCTCTGCTGAAAGTTGCAGAAGTTATTGACGGAGGGAGTGGTCACGCAGAGTGCACATCAATGGCGTCTCTGAAACCGATCCTTTCCTTCATTGTAGCTCTCTCCATCCTCTCTGCCGTCGCCCAGCCGCCGGTGTGGCCGCCTCAGTCCATCCTCAACGCCGCGGAGACTCTCGCCAGCTCAGGATACACCGCGATGTCACTCACTCTCCAGGTAATCGCCCCCACCCTCCCTCTCCCTTCCTCCACCCACACCGCCCTCACCATATTCTCTCCGCCGGACAAATCCTTCGCCGTCTCCGGTCAGCCTTCGCTCGCGCTCCTCCTGCTCCATTTCTCTCCTCTCTCCTTGCCTCCTTCGTCTCTCCTCTCGCTCCCGTTCTCGTCCACTATACCGTCGCTGTCGCCTTCCAAGCGCCTCTATATAACCTCCGAAGATGCTCAGAAAATATCGATAAACAAGGTCGGAATCTCCAATTCTCCTATTTACGACGACGGATTGGTCATTGTCTACGCAATTGACGACTTTTTCGACTTGAATTTCACGCTGAGCAGTTCCTTCGATCCGAGCAGAACAAGACCTAAATCCCAATCTGGTTTACAATGCCTGAAATTGGAACCAGTCTCTCGGTTTGACGAGGCATCCAGCGTTCTGAAGTCGAGAGGCTACTCAATCATCGCCTCATTCATGGATTTGCAGATTTTCGGATTCTTCTGTCCTGAAGTGTTCTCAGAGGATGTCAAAATCAAATGGACAGTATTCGCGCCAGCAGATGAAGAAATGGTGCAGTATTCTGGAGATTTCAACGGATACTCTTCATTGTTCATGAGACATTTGGTGCCGTGCAGAGTTGGGTGGGCCGATCTAGTAGACATGGCGAATGGGACTGTGGTTTCAAACAATGTGAAGGGGTTTAGTATGGAGGTCACAAAAGATGAAAATGGTGAATCACTGAAGGTGAATGGTGTTGAAATTGTGTTCCCAGAAATATTTGACAACGAGTGGTTAGTGGTTCATGGGATACAAGGAGTAATTGCTTTACCCGATAGCACCGAGGGCGAGGAGGAAATCGAACCTGAGAAGTTCCGAGAGAAGAAAGCAGAGGCTACCCCTGATCCTGATATTCATGGGGAATTTTGATTTGCTTGAACGATCATCTTGCTGGGTGTTGGCCACTTTTCTTGAATGGTGATTCTTGGAAAATATGGGGATTGTCACTGTTCTTGGGGATGGCATTGCGGAGATTTTGTGAGGTAAGTTTGTAATTACATTCTGGCATGAAATAGCTTGTTTATTTTTATTTTCTTTGAAAGATGATTGTTGCTGGTCTGCATATTCATCAAATTGATCTATGATATTAGAATTGGGGATTTCTAATAAACAAAATTCATGCTCCTATGAACTGCATTTTGATAGAATAATAGCTCTAAGGAATTAGGCTTATGAGATCTTTGAAGGGCACTACTCTTTGCGACTGAAATAGTTTTGATTTTAAGTTTCTCTTGTAATGAGACATGCTGATGCTTGTTTTTATCAAGATAATTGTAAATTGGATTGTGCTGATTCAATAATATTTGATTTGGGTTCTCTAAAGAATTGGCTATCTGAGTTCTTACTTGATTATTTTATATTATAAATCATTTTACTCGTGTGTTTGTTTTGGAGTTTGGATTTTGAGTTGTAAAATTTTGAATTTGAATAATTATATGATGTGATATAAATGGATGTTCACGTGATGTTTTGAATGTGAAATTGATTTTTAGTATAATATAAAAAATAAAAAATAGGTGTTTGATTTGATGTTTTTGAGGGGAAAAAAATGAGATCAATTGTGTAAATCTAATCCAATAACCCAAACAAAAGCAATATGATGATTCTTGAGGGCTACCAAAGGAAGAATAAGATACACAAAGGTGAAGAATCATGTGATACCATAATTTAAATCTCAGTAAACATTGGGATCACAGATTCATCCAAGTACACTAAACATGTTTTAAATTCATAGTAATTCCAAGGGTACATTTTCTTTTCTATGCCACCCCATCTTCCTAAAATGCCTGTCACAAGAACAAAACAAATGTAAAAAGATTTACAGGATAAAATCTAGTCGCCCTGGGGTTTTATAACTCTATAGATGGAAACTCAAGATGTCTCTCTGCACAAGAAATGTAAGAAACACCCAAGATTCATGGAATAATCATATCCTGCTGACACCCTTATCTTACCCTACATCGAAAGTAATACATACGTGCTCGTCAATCCCCTTGTCCGTGTCATGTGCAGACATTAGACTTTGTGTTCCAATCTGCTAGTAACTGGTTCATTGACTCCCTAAACTTGATAACCCAAGGCCCTGGCTTCACAACATTCACATCGCCCCATTCTGAACACGGATCCATGAACCAGCTCTTCTGACCCCTGCACCACGCCCCCGGTGTGGCACGGTTACGGCCGCGCAGAAGGATCTCTCTATCTATCATGTCCAACACCGGCCCGTCCTTTTCAAATCGTGTGGCAAATGCAGCTCCACTTTTAACCATGTCCCTGTAGTCGGAGGGAGTGAGGAAATGGGGCTCCATTTTAGGCGGCACGTCCCAGCTGAGGAATCTCAAATCAGTGTTGACGGTGGTGTTTTTGAACTGTGGTGAATTACAAATGACCGAGTGGAAATAGACTTCTTGGGGCAACACGACGTTGGTAGAGTACATTAGAAGGGTACGTGGAAGATTATCCCAGCCGAAAATACAAAATTCGAGAAAGGACCGGCTCAAGACAACCCATGGAGAACCTAGACAAAAGAAACAAACAAAAGCTAAATAGCATCAACAAACTACGCAACAATTTTAGCATTACCACAAATGCTAGTTAAAATATTGATCAAAACTTACCGGTGAAAACCCGGAAAGCTTCAGGGATAGAACGGTTTTGAGTGGCGTAGAACACCTTAGATCTCCTTGCTAAATAAATGCTTGGATCAACTATCACAGGCTTGATTCTATCTGCTCTGCAACACCATTGGAAAGAAGATACAATGCTGTAAAAATGTGAATCCACTATGTGTTCCTTAGTCTAACATGTAAAGTGTAGCTTCTTACTCTTTCCATCCCAACTCGCTCGTGTGGTCAATGAAGTTCAAGTCTCTTCTAATCGATGAAAACACATGGGACAAGTCTGTTATATCCAAAATTACCCAAAAAGAAAGAAACATGATATGATTAACTTCAGCAATCCACAAGATAATCCAACAATAACAATTACCATCATGAATGAGATCAATCAATACACAATCTATAATGTATTTCCACAAATATGTGATTTCCATGAGAAACACAAACAGAAATTGTAACCAAATCCAATTGAAGAAACAATTAAATTTAAATCAAAACATCATACCATCTTGAGTAACCAAGGGATAATCCGAAGCACTGAGAGTGATAAACCAATCCCAGCCTCCATCCACCTTCAGCAACACGGCGGCGGCCCTAAGAACTCCGGCGATGTTCGTCGACCCCAGGGCTGTGTTCGGATCGGGCTTTCCGATCACATCCACATTCCCGAAAGCTCGGACCACAGGGACCGACCTCACCAACACTCCGAGGCGCTGCCTCTCGTCGTCGGCCCCCTCCGCCGATATGTGGAGCAGGTACCTATTCCTCGGGTGGTACACCGCCAGCAACAGGCGGAAGAGCCTGTGGCCGTCGCCCTTCCCTCCGGTGATGTAGTAGGCGAAGGCCGGGGGATACCCCGGGCCGCGATGAACTGCGGAGGGGAAAGCGTAGTAGTGCGAGGAAGTTAGACCGGATATGAAGGAGAGGAAGATGAGGAACGTGATGAAGGCTCCGGAAAAGAGAGTGAAGAGCCATTTTTTGTCAGTTCTCATTCAGATGTTGTAGATGTTGATAAAATTGGGAGTGAAGAAGTGTGGGTGTGGGGGATGGGACAGAAGAAGGGCGGTTTCAATTGCAATTGCGTGGGTTTTGATGAATCGCCATTTTTGGGGACCGGGGAGGAGAGGAGAGATCTGTGTTGTGCGCATGAAATGAAATTAGGGTTTAGTTTGAAGGGAAGGTAGATTTAGATGCGAAGTAAATGAGGGTTTCAATTCAATTAGATAGATTCAATCCGTAGATTTATTAATGGAATGGAATCGGTAGTTTTAGTAGTTGTAGTTGATGAGTTGGTTGGTTTGATTTCCTGTTTGAATTGGATTGGATTGAATAATGATCGATCTGGAAAAGAGAGAGAGAGAGAGAGAGATGGGTGTTTCGAAAAAGTTTTGGAGAAAATGTTTGTAGAATTGGCTTGTTTTGTCTGTCTGTCTGTTGTTGTGAGCTGTGCCACTGCTACAGCTACTGCTACGCTCCTAACAATGGCGTGCCCAGCACGTGGGCGGAGGGATGGGCGTCTGTGTACCACGCGCCACCGCTGGGAAGTAGGATTCATGAATTTATTTATTTGGGCTGTGCCATGTCATCTCTCCTCACTCCCCAACTTCTTTTTTTTAATAGGCGTCAAACCTGTATAGTTCACATTCAAAAAAATTAATCACTAATTAACAAAAAAACATCCGATACCTTTTCATGCGACATTAAATTCATTTTCATCACGGGCATTGTACACCAGTATTTGAATTTTGAAAGCCTTCATAAGAGTTGTTTCTATTTAGGGTAGGTTTGTTTGGGGATTGAATTTTCAATTCACTATTCATCTTATTTTTTTCTCGCCTAAAACATCAAATCAAACATCTATTTTTTATTTTTTATATTATACTAAAAATCAATTTACATTAAAAACATCACATCAACACCTATTTATATCACGATCATACAACCATTCAAATTCTAAATTTTGGAGGTTTGGATTTTGAGTTGGAATTTGAATAGTAAATTTTTTGAATTTGAATGGTTGTATGATGTGATATAAATAGGTGTTTGATGTGATGTTTTGAATGTAAAATTGATTTTTAGTATAATATAAAAAATAAAAAATAGGTGTTTAATTTGATATTTTTGAGGGAAAAAAAATTAGATGAATAGTGTAAATCAAATCCAATCCCCCAAACAAACACACCTTTAAAGTATATTTCCTTTCATATTCATCACATATATTCATAACAAAAACCAAAAATAAGTATTTCGAACAACAATTAAAAAATGAAGAGCACAACAAATTTTTGTTAACATAGTGAACTTAAAATTTGTTTTTGGCATTCGGTAAAATGTTCATATGCATTAATCGCCATATGAGTTTGACATTCATGTTTTTTTTTTTTTTTTCCTATGATATCATTATTAAATTTTAATTTGAGACATACGAAAAATAAAAATAGTGAACGGAAAAATGTGGATGATGAAGTGCTTAAATTGTCCAATCATCACTTTAATCATTATAAATAAAAGAAGTCTAATTAATTTCATAAAAATTTTGGAAAAAAAATATATATTAAAGAAATAAGGATCTATATTTATCACAATTTTTATTCTAAAAATGACACAATTAAATAAATAGTTAAACTTCAATAATTGATTTATTAGATTCTAATCCCAAATTGAAATCAATTCTATTATTAAAAAATTAATTTTCAATAAAAAAAAATATATATACATTATTTTTTCTTACCAACTAATATTTCTAATAAACTACCCTTAATCCATCTATTCGTATTATCTTTCTTGGGGGGACACGTGTCGATCATACAGACTACTGTTTGCCCCACTCCGGACGGAGCTTCTTTTACAGGCCATTGCGCAGCGAATGGAAGGTTGAAAGCGGCGGACAAGCTGAGAATGGGTGGGAAAATGGGAGGAGGATTGGGCCAATTACTGGCTGCAGTCGCGGCGACGCTGCTGCTCCGTCTTTTCTCCTCGCCGGGACCGGAGTTGCTTCCCGAGGGAGAAGACGAGGATGAAAAAGGGAGCGCGCCGGTAAAGGGGAAAGTTGCGCCGGTCACTATCAAATGGAAAGGAATTAATTGCTCTATATCTGATAAGTCCTCTAAATCTGTAAGTGGATTGCCGCACACAGTTGCATACTTGCTACTAGTTCGCTAAAGCCTGGTTTATCTGTTCCTTTAATTGCTTGAACAGGACTTCGTTTCTAGTTTTGTCATCATTTCCTTGATTATCGTATCTGAAGTTTAAGGCGAGATGAAAATGAATTTTTGCGTTAGATGAATGGGAAAGAAATTTGGAGTATGATTCGTCAGATGAACTCTTAATAATTGATGATTTATTTAAACACTAGCAGCACAAGTAATTTGGTTGTCTCTCCAAATCTTTGATATGAAGATGTTCATAATTGTAGACCAAAATTATGGCAATGGATGATAGGATTGGTGCTAGCTGGTGATAGCTACCACAAATTTTTTGAATACAAAAAACTGGTATCAAGTGTTCTTTTTTACAGTTTGTAGAGGTGGTTATTCTTCTGTATTAATTTGTATCTTTTTCTGTTAACTTTATGGTCATTGTTTAGTGAATCTGATACACTATCCTGAATTCCTGATGAGTAATTTAATCGAGTTAACTAAGGATCAGTCCTTTCTTAACCTGTTAGGTCCGATTTTTGCTGAAAAATGTCAGTGGAGAAGCGAAACCAGGTAGATTACTGGCAATAATGGGCCCGTCCGGATCGGGAAAGACAACCTTGCTAAATGTTTTGGCAGGTCAGATAGTGGCATCGCCTAGAATACATTTGTCTGGCCTCTTGGAGATCAATGGGCGTCCATTCTCAAATAAAACTTACAAGTATGTCATGTGATTCATATCGAATTGAGGTTCTTTCACTGCTTGGGAATCTTTGTTAGTTAATTACTTGTGTTGAATGTCAATGCAGGTATGCCTTTGTCAGACAAGAGGATCTTTTTTTCTCGCAGTTGACTGTTCGAGAAACACTCTCTCTTGCTGCTGAACTCCAGCTGCAGGACATCTCTTCTGTGGAAGAAAGAGTTGAATATGTAAATGATCTGCTGTTCAATCTTGGCTTGGTAAGCATGACGTTGATTTGCTCAAGTTTTTGCTGTTAAGGATTAACTTTTAGCAATTGATTGTTGTTAAGTTTGCACCATTTTATGTATTCTATTATTATTACATAACACAAAACTTATATTTCCTTCATAAGTCTGTGTACATCAGTCAATCTCATACTGTCATGGTGATGGACTTAAAATGTTGATGCATGATGCACTTTTGCTGTATTTCCTTAAAGATCAATTGCGCTGACTCACGTGTTGGGGATGCTAAAGTTCGTGGAATCAGTGGTGGGGAAAGGAAAAGGTTGTCGTTGGCATGTGAACTAATTGCCAGTCCTTCAGTCATTTTTGCTGATGAACCTACTACAGGCATGGCTGTTTCGACCTCCATATCTCTTTAGAACTGAGAAATTTGGTTGTTTCTGTATTTTATATTTTTGCTCACCCAATTGAATCTAATGATTTACAGTAGAATTAAAATACTCTCTTAACAGGCGCAGACTAAAATAATTTTTCGTAAACTGTCATAGTCATTCATACAAATACTGACAATATTAAAGTGGTCTTTTGATGAGCCAAGCTTGTTTTGCTTTCCTACAATAAGTCTCCTTTTCTTACATGAACGGACCTTTTCAGGACTTGATGCTTTCCAGGCCGAGAAAGTAATGGAAACCTTAAGGAAACTTGCAGAAGATGGTCATACTGTCATCTGCTCTATACACCAGCCTAGAGGATCAGTCTATGCCAAATTTGATGATATTGTGCTACTTGCTGAAGGTTCACTTATTTATGCTGGTCCTGCCGGAGATGAATCCCTAGCTTACTTTGCAAAGTTTGGGTATGTTAGTCTGACTGAATTATAATTTATAATTGTGACTGTTTCTCTAAATGCCGCATATTTTTTATTTGATAGATAATTCAATGCTGTGCCTATAGGTCTTTTGAAGATTCCTTGATCAGTTTTATATTACTATTTCAGCTGATAATACACTGATTACATTAGGAGTCACCAGAGCTAGAAAACTATCCTTTTTGTCATTCATGAACAAACAAGTGACATTTATGGTTACAAGGTGTTGAAAATAATATTCGCTTGGTTATCTAAAGAATTGTTTCAAACTTTTCAATAATTGACAGGTATACTTGCCCTGATCATGTGAATCCTGCTGAGTTTTTGGCTGATCTCATTTCAGTAGACTACAGTTCAGCAGAAAGTGTCAGTGCTTCTCAGAAGAGAATAGATGGTTTCATTGATTCATTTTCTGAACAGATGCAGCCCATCCTGTATGCTACTCCACTTACCCAGACAGATGCTAAGAACCAGGCAGACTTAAGGAGGAAAACTATCACCAAAAAGAAAGGTGGTTGGTGGAGGCAGTTCTGGTTACTCCTTAAACGTGCATGGATGCAGGTAGTCGCATAGTTTCTCTACTTGGTCCTAAGATGGATAGACAACTGCTGATTTGATAGATTCCTTTCATATGCAGAACATGGCTGTTTATATAAATATACATGTATTTGTGTGGTGGATGGTCAACATGAAGCTAATAATCAACGTATACATGCAAGTGTAGTGGAGTTATAAAGCATTCAACACAAGTTCTATCAGTATATAAGTAAAAATTCTGAGATCGCGAAAGATTTAGAATCCTTACTTATAGATCTTAGCTATTGATGAATCTCTTAGCTTCTGTTACTTCTTGACTCTTGTAATTTAGTTTTTTGTGTTCCAATTGGTCCTTCCCTGCTGATTGGAAAAGGCTTCCCGTGATGGTCCAACAAACAAAGTTCGAGCTAGGATGTCGGTAGCATCAGCTCTTATATTTGGTTCAGTATTTTGGAGAATGGGGAGATCACAAACTTCTATACAAGATAGAATGGGATTACTTCAGGTAACTTCTTCGACTTTCTTTAGATCCAGGTTCTAATCACAAAAAAATTTAAAATAAGTGATAAAAACACTATTTGCATGACACACTATCATAGTCTCATGGGCATATATTATATTTGCTCCTTAGCATTTGTAGGTCATCGATAGTTTGTGATTATAATCTAGTAAAAATCTCTTTGTAGAAAATTTTCTTGTAATTTTTCAAGATCTCCTTTGAACCCCCCCTTCCTTAGTGCATTTTTTTGAAAAGGGAAAAAAAACTGTAAAATTACTGCAAATAAGTATTATGTTCTCCTTTCTGAATTGTTCACGATAGCTAAGTTGAGTCAGGCAACATTTGGTTTCTCATGTCCTGCCCTTTATATTTATTATTCTTTTTTCGCCTTCTTGTTCAGGTTACTGCTATAAACACTGCAATGGCTGCTCTCACAAAGACTGTAGGTGTCTTTCCCAAGGAACGTGCAATTGTTGATCGGGAGAGAGCCAAAGGATCCTACTCGCTAGGACCATATTTACTTTCAAAACTATTAGCTGAGATCCCTGTAGGAGCAGCATTCCCATTGCTTTTTGGTACCGTTCTGTACCCCATGACCCGCCTTCATCCAACTATGGCAAGGTGAGTTTTTGATATCGATAAAAACAGGATATTGCTTAAGTTTGCTGTAATGCTATCTATTTAATTTGACAACTATTTTTTCTATTTATTTCATTAGTAGGATTATAACTAATTCTTCTTACAGGAAGCTTGTAACTTTGGATCGTACTCCATTTCTTTCTAATTATCCCAAAAAACTAGAAAAATGATTGAGCTTGGATTGTAACTAAAATTTACTTGGGACTAACTACAACTTTTTTTTTTTTTTTCTTAATCCAGGTTTGGTAAGTTCTGTGGATTAGTGACTATTGAGTCCTTTGCTGCATCAGCAATGGGGCTAACTGTTGGAGCTATGGTTCCAACCACCGAGGCAGCTATGGCACTAGGGCCGTCACTTATGACAGTGTTCATCGTGTTTGGAGGCTACTATGTGAATTCAGAGAACACACCAATTATCTTTCGCTGGATTCCTCATGTTTCCCTAATTCGATGGTATCATATTCTTAGCTTATGGTTATAATTTGATATTTTCTTTAGTTGATCAGCTGAATTCTCTCCTCCAAACTTAGCAAATTATTGCATGATTGCTGTTTATCCCGGTTTTATTTCCAGGGCATTTCAAGGGCTTTGCCTCAATGAATTCACTGGCCTCAAATTTGAGCATCAGAACTCATACGACATTCAATCTGGCGAACAAGTGAGTGTTTCTCTTACACCTGCGATTTGATCGTCTACATGTTGCTGTTTTAGTTCACGTCTCATATTCGAGGTTGCATTTTTCTGTCTGATTTCTCCTACTAATACATATTTCATGTAGCTGGATTGAATTTTTACCATTTTCTTTCCCCGGCAGGCACTCAATCGACTCTCCTTTGGAGGCAGTCGAATCAGAGACACCATTACAGCTCAAACCAGAATTCTTGTCTTCTGGTATTACACCACTTACCTTCTCCTCGAGAAAAATAAACCCAAGTACCAGCAACTCGAGCCACCACCATCCCCACCCCCATCGAATCCAATGCTCGAACAACCACCTGAAAGTGATCCTCCTGAGGAACCGGAATCTCCCATTCCTGACCAAGGTAATCCTGACCAGGCACTTGAGTCTTCTTCTCCCTCGGAACCACTTAACTTATTTCGCCTAGAAGGTTTTTAGTTAGTTGCTTGGGCTGTGCCTGTTGGTGATCTTAATCCGGGATTATTGTGCCGCTTGCTATTATTTTTGATCTCCTACAGGTGCCAACTAATTCGGAGATGATGCCATTACAAACCAGGTAGAGAAAATGTGTCGCGGCATACAATCAGGGTGAGTATTGAACTATTTTAGAAGCCGGAAAATTGTCGAAACTCGTCGATGATTTTTAGGTGAGAAATAGTTAGCTAGCTTTCCATGTAACTTATTAACAGTTGGTGTTTAACTCATTGGTAGATTATCAGTAGGTGCATTTTGCTCTTCTATTTGAACACTGCAAATATATTTACCACTACAATTTTAGTTTTGCTCTATTCTCTATTTAAAATGATGCAGATTGTGTACTTTGCAAAATTTCTTATTTGTGGGAAAGAAGCATTTGCTATTTAGTAGTTGAATATATATAATGTTTTACATAAAATATAGGTATTGAATGTGATTAGAGTTGTTAACGATCCGAGCCGAACTGAGTTGAGCCAAATTTTAAGTGTTTGTTAACGTTCGCGAACAAGGCTCGTGTTCGTTCGTTAAGCTTTCGAGCTCGTTCGTAGTGTTCGAGCTCGGTTCGTTAAGAATTTTTGTTGTTTGAGTTCGTGGTCGTGTTCGGCTCGTTTAGGCTTGATTAAACTCGTTCGAGGTTGTTTGTCTTATTTTTTTAAATTTTATATATAAATTTTAGAGAAAATTTAAATATTTTTATTTATATATTTTAAATTAATATTTTATTTATTTGTAAATTATAATATTATATGTATATATAATATTTATAATAAATATATTATTTAAACGAACTTTCGCGAACAAAGTTCGGGCTCGTTCGTTAATCAAACGAGTCTGTTTATGTTGTTCGGCTCAGCTCGTTAACGTTCGCGAATGAGCTTTAAATGGGTCGAATGAAGCCGAATCGAGTCAAGTTCACAAACGGCTCGATTCCTTTAACAGCTCTAAATGTGATATATTAGGAGGGAAAGATGATGGATATGTTAAAATAATTTTATATATAATCCGTAATTACTTAAAATGTCATTAAATACTAGAATATTTGTCATATGTGCTGAAATAGTGCTGCCCGAATTGACATGGATTAATTATTTGATAATTTCTAGCACTAAATATTGATTTTGAGTTTTTTTTTTAAAAAAATAAATATACAAATATATTAAAAATTTATATATTAAATTAAATTCATGTCGATATTAGTAATTGAAATTGTGATGTGATTAGTCCATATCGGCTGTTAGAGGTGATAATTGTTGATTATGATAACCAATTAATATCATTAAAATTTAAAAATTATGTTTTTGAAAATGAAAAATATAATTAAAATATATAATTTTAATTTTTTTAAAAGAAAAATGTGACATAAAATATGGAACCAATGAAAACGTGACATTTTAAAGTATAATATTAGTAAATGTAAACTTTATTTAAACGATCAAAATCATAAAATTGTCGCAACTATACTAAAAACAGATTTATCCCTGTATCTATTACAGTTGTTGGACCCTATTGGGTCCAGAATGAGTTTTGGGCCCCCTTTTTGCAACCATATTATACTCATTCCGCTCCCAATTTAATTTATTCATTTTACTATTTTTATTTAAATTTATTTTTTGAAAATATAATTTTGATATAAATATAAGTATATGTATTTTTTATTAAAGTGGAAGAAAGAGGTGTAAAATAGAGAAAAACTATTGATGAGTTTCTCTACATGGGTGTTTTTTTTTTTTTTCCCTACATCGGTTCTCTTAATATGTTCTTAAGCCGACGTAACATAATTTGTAAAAATAAAAAGTAAAAAAATAAAAGAAATTTGGGGAATGCAAAAGATTCTTACATTGCACAGGTCTAATAATTTTAAGGTAGATGCACAAGCAGAAGATTTGTTTGTTATAGACAACACAACACAACATAGATAAAATATATCTACTCCAATTGCTGTATAGTAATAACATGTGCCTCACTGCCCGTTTCTTCTTCATCTGCTACATCAACAATGTCACCCTGCAACTGCAACTGCAACTACAACATATGATCAATGTTAGAAGATCCAATCAATCATGGATTCTTTAATCATACATAATTACTACTTAACGTTATAACTATGTTACCTGTTCTTGCCGTCCTCGATTCTCGAGGACCGAAGTCGCCCCTCTCAACAATATGCAAATCGGGACCACAATTCCCGCGATCCGAAGCGCCAGCAACTGCTACGACAGCAATGACGACGAGGAGGAGGAATGAGTATGGTCATTGTCTTCAGGTGTACAACATGTGTAACTAACTACAAACTCTTTTTCTTACCACGAGTAGCGCGAAAGAATAGTCCCCCGGTTGGCTCACGATGACCGGGAGCGTGTGTCGAATGATCAGCAGAATCATGAGCTGCATAATTAAGGTAGATGTGGTAAGAAAATCGAGGGAAAAAGAGAAGACGATATTTCGATCATCGCGGAGACAAGAAGAGGATTACGATTATGGCGACGGTGCGACAGCAAACGATGCTTCGTAGCGTGGAAGCCGCATACTCGTCATATTCTGGATCTAACAGAGTTTGAGTTCGATCAGTTGAAACCATCGCGATAATGTGGGGATTGTCGGGATCAGTCCTCGTGATTCGCCAGTTTCCCCTGTCACGGCGACAAATAAGTTATGACTGTTGAAATATTTTAGATATCCAGTTTTCGATTTAGAAGATTTGATTTTATGCATAAATTTGAGTCTATAATGCAATTTTTCAGTTTCCCTAAAAGATTTTGACAACTACAAACCAAGTAAGGACAGGGTAAGGATGTGTGCTGTAATAAAAGGGCTTGCGGAGAACTACCTCAAGTTCACCGGAAGTCTCCGGAGACGGAAGATTGGAGGCGGCGCCGTGTATCCCGGCTTGAATGGCTGAATTAGAAGGACGCTAAGGTTAGACATAATTTTGAACAAGATTTGAGCTCGAATAGGATGTAAGAATTTTCGAGGGACTAGAAGCTTACGGTATGGCATATTTCGCACGTCGTGTCTCCCTTCTCGTTGCACCATCGCTGTATACATTTCCGGTGAGCGTACTGAAAAAGCACGGCGAGAATCGAACACTAGAGTTATATACACCGGAAAAATTTGAACATCGAAACAGGAAAATGTAAGTAAGAAAGACTCTAACAACCTCAAAAACATGTCCTACCAAGACAGCCATTCATTCATTCTTGCAATGTAATCAAATCAATTCAAGGTAAGCAAGAATCATCGAAACTCAATTCGAAAATATGGCTAATACGAATGCTAACCACTCGAAAAAAAACATCGTAACAAAGCAATGTAACAACGAACTCTCTAACAACCTCAAAAACATGTCCTGCCAAGACATCGATTTGCTCATTCTTGCAATGTAATAGTAATTTCAAAGATACAAAAGAATCATCGAAACTCAATTAAAAAATACGGCTATTACGAAACACTAGATTTATATTCCAACATCAAAACAGGACGATGTAACCAACAAAGACTCTAACAACCTCAAAACCATGTCCTGCCAAGACAGGCAGCCATTTATCCATTCTTGCAAAGTAATAGTAATTCAAAGATTATCAAGAATCATCAAAACTAAAATCGACACGATTGATTACCTTCAAGCTACCCGAGCAAGAGCAAGGAGCCTCCATATTCAAATCCACGTCCTCATCCTGACATATCCGGCATTCCACAACTTCCCCGACACCTCCTGCCGAGGCCTTACACTGCGAGAAGCTGTCCACGCCGATAGCAGCTGTTGCCGGCGGCGCAGCTTGCTTGGATGAAATCCGACTCTCGATTGCCGCCTCGAGAGTCGATTCCGTTAGCATCCGATCCACCAGAAGAACAAAATGATCCCCCATATTTGCAATTCTACAAAATAGTTAAAACAACAGAACAACAATAGACGAAACTGATCAGCTATGATGTAATAACATCAAGAATTTCAAAATCAACACACGAAAATTCGGAGTATTATATAAATTTTGATTGTTCTAGCAGGTGGTTCGAACTGATAAAGGCGTGATTAAAAGGCGGGAGTGGTTTCAAATAAGGGAGACCAGTTCAATATGTAATGATTATTGCGACTCTGTCTGAAGCAGACAAACAACAGAAAGAAACAAATTCAAAAGGTGGGGGACGGTTTGCTTTAATTTTTTCCTCGAGAAACAAATCGACCATTGGGAGTATAATAACAATAATATAATAATTAATTACTTCCGTTGAAAGTCTGAATTAAAAATAAGAACACCACAAAAATCAACGATACAAACACGAAATGAATTCGAGCAGCAGCCAAACAAGCCCTTCCTTAATCGAATCACATTCAAGTGAAGAAAATTTGAGCAAATCCAGATGAAGAATGAAAATGAAAATGAAAAATCATTAATCTTAGTTAATCCAAGTTTGCAGAGAAAGTTGGGGGAGAAGAGAGTTACTTACAAGACAGGGATTTGGGTGTCCGAAAGCTAAGAAATCTATTGAGTAATTTCTCCCTCTCGATCTGTGTTGTCTGAACGACAATGAAATGAACGAACGAATCAATAATCGCCTGTTCTTCAAACTATGCAATAAATAGGGTTTGAATCTCTGTTATTATATATACGCACCCACACGACACCGTTCGAGACATCTTCAGACCTTAATAAAATAAATAAATAAATGATAATAATAATAATAATAATAATAATAATAATAATAAAACAGAAAACGTAAGGAAAAAAGTCACACAATATCTTATATAGAATTTTATGTACGATGTAATTAGTAAATAATTAAAAAATATATTTGTAAAAATAATTATAATTTAATAAAAATAATTAAATAACTTAATTAAAATAAAAAAATTATAAATTATGAATTTTAAAATGTGATTAAAGTGTATAATTATATTTTAAAAAAAATTAATAAATAATATGAAATAGACAAAAATAGAAAAAGTGGATAAATTAAGTGGGATAGAGGGAGTATATGATTTTACCCTAAATTAAGGGTGTGTTTATTTTGATTGATTTGGAAGAAAAAAATTAATTTAAATTCGATATTAAAATAATATTTGATAAAATATTTGTGAGATAAAAAAAATATAATTTTCAAATAGTAAAAAATTGAAAATTTTGGGCTAAAGAAACACACGATAATTATATATGGCTTGGTGATAGTTCCACTAAAAATGTTATAAATACAATATGTCTTTAACATTTTTTAATATTTTAAATCAAAATTAATTTTATTTACAATTTCCACTACAAATATATTATTCTCTCTTACGAAAGATTATATCAAAATAATATTTAAATTACTTTAAATATGCAATAATGCTATCAATTAATACAAATACAATACTCATCAAATAATTGAGAAACTCCATCAACAAATAAATTGAATATGACACTAATCAATATACATATATATATATATTTGGATAACGTGAGAATTCACAGCCGCTACTCGAAAATGCGCACTGAGTAAACCTCGGCCGAACCTAATAGTATTTAGCAACAATCAACTCAATAAATTTAAATAATAACGAGTTTTATCATATTGTTTACATTTTAATCCTTTTTTTTTTTCCTTTTCCATTCAATTAATTTATCAATTTCTTAAAAAAATATCACATGTAACTCCTAAAAGCGTATTTACTATAAATACATACATAAAACATAACATCTAACTATAAATTTATTAAAAAAAACATATGTGGAAAAAAAAAAAAAACACACACACACATACACATAAAAGCGTATTTACTTGTGACTTATATATCCCATCCAAATTACTAATTTTCTAAAAATATTTAAAATTTTATTTAGAAAAAATAAAAATCAGACAAGTGAACCAGCCGTCGTATGGTTTGACTAATTCATTTACACAAGAACGTGCATTTACGGTCAAAACCAATTACAACTTTTGACCGAAAATATGTTGACTATTTCAACCAACAATTGACTTTCGCGGCCTGCATGTTGACTCGTCAGCGGTCCATTTCATCCCTGGGAAATATATTCACATATTATTAAAATAAAAAATTATATAAACATAAATAAATTAGGCAGTAGTAATTTGTAAAATTAAATTAAATTAAATTAAATAGTCTACAAATGTAAGAAATATTACTTTATCAGTAGTTCTAGTGATTTAGGCAAAACAAGGAACACGATTTATGAAATAAAAATAATTATTCTAGCTAATATTTTTTTTATTTTATTTAATAAATATTTAGCAGTGGCCACTAAATGAAAATTGTACAAAATTAGGTGGAACCACCTGCTTAATTTTTATCCAATAATAATTGGGAATCTTTTGGATATTTGTGACCATAGATTTTGGGACTAATCATTGAATCAGAGTCGTCGATAATGAAAGTGGACGAAATCCTAAACTAGATTGTTAGGTCTCCACGTGGACGTCGCCAATTGGACTATTATTTTCTTTGTGAATAAATTGGGCAGGTAAGTTAGATGATCCAACTCTAGCCTTTTTTATATAACAATAAATATATTCTCGTATAAATTAATTGTACACATCGCGTAACAAGAAACCAACACTCGACGAAATAATTGAAGAATAACAATAATACATTAATATAATAATAATAATAATAGTAGATTTCAAGGAGAAATTATGGGCCGGCCCACTTATAATGGGCTCATATTTGAAGCCCAATACATGTTTTATTTAAAATCTTTTTATGTTTTCTTTTTTGAACGATACATGGTAGAATAATAAAATTAATAATAATACTTTTTTATTAAATATTACATTAATTTGTTTTTTTTTTTTTTTTTTTGTTTTTTTGTTTTTTTTCAATTTCTATTAACAAATCACATCAAACATGTGTTCTTTTTATATTTTTGTGTATTGGTTTTTATTGTGTGGGTGAAATAATTGTTGAAACATATATTATTATTTATTTCAAATGATGTACGTGTGACCGAGGAGAGAATTAGGTATCAATAACGTAATTTTTAATCGTATTTGCAATTAAATATCAGTTGTAAGATCAAAATTTAGTTAGATTCAATTTCAATGATTAAGAAAGGTATCTTTTGTAGAACCATTAAATTATATTGTTGACTATACATAGAACATCATCAAATGATCGAGTTTTTTGAGTGGGAATTTATTACTTATAAGAATTCCGATTAATACATACTTTCAAGAATAACGACTGCAAATTTTTATATTATAAAAAGAAATCTCGACCAAGAATAAAACGTAATTGTACTTAAAAAAATAAAAGTTTGCATCAAATAATAAAAATTGGCAATTAAAAGAGAAACAAATGAAGGGTCAGTTGCACAATCCATGACCCGACCCATACATGTTTGACCCGGCCCACATCTTTCCTAATACTATACTATGTGACCTATATATATATATTAGAACACGCTCTTGCGCGGTATACCGCGCGACTATTCTATAATGTAATGTAGTGAAACATTATTTATTTGAAATATAAACTGTAAAACAAAAATGTAATCGAATTATTTGTGCTCAGGTCGGTGGGTCAGGTCATTTGGTTTGGTCGGTTGGTCTGGTCGGTTGGTTAGCGGTCGGATAGGCAGGTCGGAAGGTCCTCGGTCGGTTGGTCTGGTCGGTTGGTCCTCGGCCGGATGATCAGGTCGGTTGGTTAGCGAACGGATGGGCAGGTCGGAAGGTCCTCGGTCGGTTGGTCTGGTCGGTTGGTCCTCGATCGGATGGTTAGCGGTCAGACAGACAGGTCTGATGGTCACCATATCGGACAGACAGGTCTGATGGTCTGCGGTCGGATAAAGTAGGTCGGCTGGTCTGCGGTCGGATAGGCAAGTCAGCTGGTCCGCAGGTGGATGGACAGGTTGCTTGGTGGGTGCGGCCAAGGAGTCTTTTGGTCTAGCGATTGGTCTCTGGATTGGTCGATTGGGCTATTTGAGTTCTGGAACTGGTGGAGGCGTTTGGCGAGGCGGTTGATGTAACCGACCAGACGACGTTTCAAAATGTTTCGTCTTGGGCGGTTGACGGCGGTTGCTGGCGACGGTTCCAAAACGTCTTTTCAAGCCAGTACAAAGGTAGGGTAAGAGCTAAATTGTCATTTTCGAAATGAGGGGCATGATAGACTTTTCAAGTGACAAATCCATACAATCTCGTGTATAACAACATACAAGTTTTAATACCCAAATCAACTAATACATAAGGTCTTATTACGTACAAAAATAATAATAATAATAATAATAATAATGGTAGCAGTGTCTTGAAGGAAGGTAAGACCCGAAGTCGGGTAAAAAAGTAGAAAAATTTGCGCTCAGGTCGGTTGGTCAGGTCGGGAGGTCCTCAGGTCGGGAGGTCCTCAAGATGGAAAGTCATCAGGAAGGAAAGTCCTCAGGTCGGTTAATCAGGTCGGTTGGTTAGCGGGTCGGAAAGTCTGTAGGTCTGATGGTTAGTAGGTCGGACAGACAGGTCTGATGGTCAGCAGGTCGGACAGACAAGTCGGAAGGTCTGCGGTCGGGTAGTCAGGTCGGTTGGTTAGCGGGTCGGATGGTCCATAGGTCGGAAATTCTGCAGGTCTGATGGTCAGCAGGTCGGACAGACAGGTTTGATGGTCAGCAGGTCGGACAGACAGGTGTGATGGTCAGCAGGTCGGACAAATAAGTCTGATGGTCTGCGGTCGGATAAAGTAGGTCGGCTGGTCTAGCAATTGGTCTTTTGAATGGTCGGTCGGGCCAGTTGAGTTCTGGAACTGGTGGAAGCGTTTGGCGAGACGGTGCAAGACACGTGTCAATAAAGGAGGAATTAGTGGGCAGTTGATGTAACCGACCAGACGACGTTTCAAAGCGTTTCGTCTTGGGCGGTTAACGGCGGTTGCTGGCGACGGTTCCAAAACGTCTTTTCAAGTAATATTTAAGGATTTAGATTTTTTATTTTCAAGCATCTTCAATCAACTTCAACAAAGCAAAGTCAGATTGGGGATCACCACTTTAAATTTTCAGCATTTTAATTTTCCAATCAATTTCCTTTTATGTACCGTACAGTGTTTAGAGATTCCTAATCTCAGACGCTAAAAAATCAAATTTAAGGTGTTGCGTACAAAAATAATAATAATAATAAAAATAATGGTAGCAGGGTCTTGAACGAAGGTAGGACCCGAAGTCGGGCAGAAAAGTAGAAAAATTTGCGCTCAGGTCGGGAAGTCCTCAGGTCGGGAGGTCCTCAAGACGGAAAGTGGTCAGGTCGGGAAGTCCTCAGGTCGAGACGTCCTCAGGTCGGGAGTTCCTCAAGACGGAAAGTGGTCAGGTCGGGAAGTCCTCAGGTCGGGAGGTCCTCAAGACAGAAAGTGGTCAGGACGGGAAGTCCTTAGGTCGGGAAGTCCTCAGGTCGGGAGGTCCTCAAGACGGAAAGTGGTCAGGTTGGGAAGTCCTCAGGTCGGGAGGTCGTCAAGACGAAAAGTGATCAGGTCGGGAAGTCCTTAGGTCGGGAAGTCTGCAGGTCTGATGGTCAGCAGGTCGGACAGACGGATGGTCAGCAGGTCGGACAGACAGGTCTGATGGTCAGCAGGTCGGATAAAGTAGGTCGGCTGGTCTAGCAATTGGTCTCTGGAATGGTCGGTCGGGCAAGTTGAGTTTGGGAACTGGTGGAAGCGTTTGGCGAGACGGTGCAAGGCACGTGTCATTAAAGGAGGAATTAGAGATTCCTAATCTCAGGCGCTAATTAATCAAATTTAAGGATATTTTCCATATATTTGAATTTTACTTTTTGTCTGTTGAAAAAATACATCAACACTTTATTTTCAGATTTTACTTTTTATTGTTGAAAAATTGCATCAACAACAATAAAAAATAAAATAGAGGAGAATGTAGATGAAATGTTTGAGATAAGAAGGGTGACCCTGCATCTCTTTATGAGTTTTGAAATGTCAAAAATAGCAAGGATATTTCAACTTTGATAATTGTTACGCAAAAAAAAAAAAAAAAAATAATAATAATAATAATAAGGATAGCAGGATCTTAAAGGAAGATAGACACGAAATCGGGTGGAAAAGGAAAAAAAAATTGCGCTCAGGTCGGTTGGTCCTCGGTCGGATGGTCAGGTGCGTTGGTTAGCAGTCAGATAGGCAGGTCGGAAGATCCTCGGTCGGTTAGTCTGGTCGGTTGGTCCTCGGTCGGATGATCAGGTCGGTTGGTTAGCGGTCGGATTGGCAGGTCGGAAGGTCCTCGGTCGGTCGGTTGGTATGGTCGGTTGGTCCTCGGTCGGATAGTTAGCGGTCGGACAGACAGGTCTGATGGTCAACAGGTCGGACAGACAGGTCTGATGGTCTGCGGTCAGATAAAGTAGGTCGGCTGGTCTGCGGTCGGATAGGCAAGTCAGCTGGTTCGCAGGCGGATAGACAGGTCGCTTGGTTGGTGCGGCCAAGAAGTCTTTTGGTATAGCGATTGGTCTCTGGATTGGTCGGTTGGGCTATTTGAGTTCTGATACTGGTGGAGGCATTTGGCGAGGCGGTTGATGTAACCGACCAGACGATGTTTCAAAACGTTTCGTCTTGGGCGGTTGACGGTGGTTGCTGGCGACGGTTCCAAAACGTCTTTTCAAGCCAGTACAAAGGTATATTAATGGTTAAATTGTCATTTTCGAAATGAGAGACTGGATAGACTTTTCAAGTGGCAGATCCATACAATCTCGTCTTTTCAAGCCAGTACAAAGATAGGTTAAGGACTAAATTGTCATTTTCGAAATGAGGGGCAGGATAGACTTTTCAAGTGGCAGATCCGTACAAACTCGTATTTATAAGATATAATATATATATATAATTATAATTGGGATCTACGATTTAACTTTAATGATACAAAGTGGGGTTGGATTCTATGGCATAATTCAATTTATTTTAATTTTCATTCTTCTTGATAATATAGAATATCATATCCTAATACTTTATTTCATTTACTTGTACATAAATTTACACGTGGCAGTGATCCAAACGTGACAAAAACACCATTGATGATGAAACCCTAATTCTAAAGAATTTTGATTTGTTTGCATGGCCATGATAAAAAGTGATTATCTGACGTGGCAACCACTATAATTTATATTTCCATCTTTAAAATTTAAAAAAATATATAATGACTTCAATGATTAGATTTCATTGCCACATGTTAAGCCCTATGTAACAATTTGAAGATTGAGTTCGATCAATATGCACTAACTCTAAATATTTAATTGGGCTTCGTTGTTATTATTATTATTATTATTATTTTATTTAATAAATTAATTTTGCCAAAACCATTTGTTTAATAAAATTTTCGAACTTTGTAATTTGCCAGTGCTTTACTGCTTTCCAACTTTAAATTTTGATTCGAGTATTAAAGCCAGCTATATATATAATTAAGCTTTAGAAAAGTGTCTTCGAAAATTACATCAGAGTTAATAATATAAATTACTTAACCCACTTTTCTTTTAAACAATAATGAATGTTTCATATATATATAACGATTTGTTCTAAATTTATAATGGTAATTAGAAATTAAAGGAATATATAGGTTTGTTTATAACATTGATTTTATGTATAATTGTTCATTTTTTATGTATAACTTTTTCATATTAATTCATTGTTTAGGGTGTGTTTGTTTGGAGATTTGGATTTGGGATTTGGGATTTGAATAATAAAAGTTTTGGATTAGAATAATGATATGATTTGAAATAAATAGATGTTGATATAATATTTTCAATGTAAAATGATTTTTTACTATAACTATTTACAAATTCAATTTATCAAAAAAAAAATGACTTTAACATTTACTTTTCAAAATAATAATTACTTTATATCACAGTCAGTTAATCGATATAATTGTTGAAAATAGATTATATTTGTTTTTAGATTTTAGTTGATGTTGTTTGCAAATGGTCCGATCAACGAACGAACATTGATAAACAAATTCAGCCCAAATTGTCTTGAGCTCAATCAAACAATAAGATGATCCAAAATTGATCAATCCAATGAAGATACAAAAAGAAGTGATCGAGGTTGATAGAGGAATAACAAATTTTGGTTGTAACAAACTTAGTGAAAGTGGCAGAGAGATAGTGGAATAAAAGGGTTCCATTGTAGATTGAATTTGTTAGATGATTATATATGTGAATGATAAAATATAATAAATGTGTGGAACATTCTAGTTGTGCACATCAAGAAAAAGAGAGATTATTAAACGTTGAGAGAGTGAGCATAGAGAAGGTAATTTTTGGATTGGGGGAAATAATCAAGAAATGAGTGTGTTGATTTCTTGAGGTGTGTCCAAATATTTTTGTGTTTATAGTTAATCTAGTCTGGGTTGAAACCCTCATATGTAGGCTAGTTAAAGCCGAATTGGGTTATCAATTGTTTTGTATTTTTCGTTCTTATCATTACCAGTGTGTGCATTTCTAGTTCGATCATCCTGCAAACAACCTTTCTGTCTTGAGTGAATTTGCAGATTTGATTTTGGAAATAAGTTGTTGTTACTGAATAAGTTAATCGAAATTTGAGGCCAACAAATATTCATGTCCAATTCAAGTATATAGTTGTGAATGGATAGAAAGTAATTTATTTTCAAAACATCCCAAAAAAAACACAAACCAATACTATGCATACATGCATGCATACGCACTTAATTAATTATGTTATATACATAATTAAATATATATTGATAGGGTTGGTACAGTTAAAATGAAACGTCGTCGTAAAGGAATTGGTTAATCCCTCTAGTACAACCTAGCTAGTTAAACCAATGCCGAAGTATTCTCAGAAAGTCCCGGGAGTCCGACGCCAGATCGAAGACGTACGATTGAAGATACCCGATGGGAGTGGCGTTAAGTTGGAGTCCTTGGAGCGCTCAAGAATATAATTGCTCCAAAAATATCCTGCAGGAGGCTACTAATATCCCTATCAGGACCTAACCCTATATATATATAAAAAAGAGATCGAATACAATAATATATATTAATCCATATACATCATATCTTACATATATATATATATATATCATCGCGATCTTCTGTATAGAAATAAAGCTGTGAGAGAGAGAGAAAGAAGAGAATAAGATTACTGGGCGTTAATGGCAGCTACAAGGGGTACTTGGAGGTTCTTGATCTGGTTTGGCAATGGAAGGTCAAGAAATATTAATAATAATAATAATAATAATAATAATGTTAATAGTATTTCATGGCAGTATTCCAATTTTATCAGATCATCCCAAACCCTCCCAGATGACGACCAAGGTACGTACATACACGATGTTCATATATACATACATATATATATATAGTGTGTGTGTGAGAAACAATTATATACAGACTTCGCTACTAGATTTGACCGAAATTTATCCAAATCGTACTAAAATAAATAACGAATGGGTTTGAACCTTGTCAATTTCTTGTCGGGATTTATCCAAATTGCACTAAAAAAGTAACAACTAAGAATTGAGTGTGTGCCAAAATTAGGGTTTGAACCTTGTCAATTTTTTGCCGAAATTTATCCAAACTGTACTAAAAAAATAATGACTGAGAATTGAGTGCGTGCCAAAATTAGGGTTTGAACTTTGTCAATTTTTTGCCGAAATTTATCCAAATTGTACTAAAAAAATAACGATTGAGAATTGAGTTTGTGCCAAAGTCAGGGTTCAAACCTTGTCAATTTATTTCCGGAATTTATCCAAATTATACTAAAAAAAATAACAACTGAGAATTGAGTGTGTGCCAAAATCAAGGTTTGAACCTTGTCAATTTCTTGCGGGCATAAAATCTTTCAATCTCCAGATGATATATTCTGATCCGATTCCTACAGCTCCAATGAACACGCACATACATAAGAAAATATACATCACATAGTTCATTTTACATAAATATGTATTGTATTAATTGAAATCATTTGCTAATAGTTCACATTTATATATATATATATATATTTTACGAATTTATTTCCTATACTGAAAACAATATTTAACATAAATTATAGTTTTTTGTTATTCAATTATGTGTTCAAATATTTGAGTACGAATTTTAATAAAAATATGTAATAATTATTACTTTTTGCTGTTTGTAGGAAAAAGAAATAAAAAAAAAAATGATGTACTATTTTGCTAAAAAGAAAAGACAATATTTTTTTATAACAATTCAAAAAAAAAAAAAAAAGAGTATAAATTTAGATGAAAAAAAAAGTATATTGATAATTAATATTTTATGTGATATCAACACTACACTAATTAAAGTGGTGATTTAGGGTTAGATACATTAAATGACAATTTATTTAAGTGATTGGTGCTAAGTTATAAAGATGGTAAAGAAAATATAAATAAATAAAAAAATCTTGAATTATACTCTCTCCGTCTCAATACATTAGTCTTGTTTATTATTTGTGTCCGTCCCAAAACAATAGTCTTATTTTCATAAATAACTATATCAGCATAAAATTATTCTTATTTTTTCATTTTTATTATACAATTGCCACTATTTTTTACACTAATACACTCACAAGGGTAAAAAAGTTTTTTATCTATATTTTTTACCGACTACTAATATAATATCAATATTCATTAAATCTCGTGTCCAACTCAACTAAGACTATAGTTCCGGGACGAATGAAGTATATAGCAAGCTAGCATCCAAAATTAATCAATTCTAATATTATTATACTCAAATATCTAACCATTCAAAGTATGTAAAGACATTTTTAGGAGATTCTAATATAAACACAGAAGTAAGGTTTTCACTTCAATATATAGTATATATATAGAGAGAGAAATGAAACAAAATTTTTATTTTCTGGATATACTACAATTAAACTAATTAAAATTGAAAAAGTAATCACAGGAAGAAATTTCCCAAACAAAGTGGATGCAAACATGAATGTTTTAAGACAGAGAATGGAGCATGTAAGAATCAAGGAAAGCAGCAGCTGGAACAGTAGTAGACGACGACAGTTAATCGGATGGAATTATAACAGCACTCGATACGACGATCACCGGAAACGGTGGCGCAGCCTCAACCTTATCTTGATGTCGTCGATGGAGCTTGCTTCTATTTTTGCATCGACAATAGCAATGGTTTTCTTCACTGCCTCTCTCTGCATATTCATAGTTGCATACATTTTTAAGTAATTCTTATATATATGTGCATGCAATATCTCCAACTTTGTTTTTGTTTGTGGCTTTGGATTTTTAGATTTGGATATTGGAATAGTAAGTTGATTAGTTGTTTCATGTGATATAAATAGATATTAATATTATATTTTTATATAAAATAGATTTTAAATATAATACGCCTTCCGTCCCTTAACAATCTATTCATTTTTTCATTTTCGTCCGTTTGATAACAAAGTATCTATTTCATTTTTTAGTAACTGTACTATCTACCTAACATTACAAATGCTCTTCTAATTTTATAATATATTACATAAACGTCATTACCTTTATATTATACAATACTAATAAGGGTATTTTTTTTTACTTTTATTTCTACTACATCTCAATATAATATTAATATTTTTAAAACTCCGTGCAAAAAGTAAATTGATAGATAGATATGGGACCGAGAGAGTATAAAAAAAATTATTTGATTTGATATTTTTAGAGAAAAAAAATTAATAGTAAAAATATATTATAAAATTTACCATAGAACACAACCAACGTTTTGAATTTACGTCACGACTCGATGACATGACACATATTATGTACATGACTTTATACTACATAAAAGTAAACATTGTCGAATTTATATTATACCCTTCTATCAATAAAATAAATAAATAAAAATTAAATAGATAATGTTGAGAACTTAATTGTTACTACAATCTTGTCTAAAGAAGAAACAGTAAATTATTTAGAAATTTTACCAAAGTTTAGATTAAAAATAATAGCAAAGCATTCAACAATGGGAAGTACATTAACACAATTGGTGCATGGGGGAAAAAATAAAAAAATAAAAGGTCATATATATATATATATCTTGTTCACCATATGTTATGCAAATAATTTATATCATTTGTAATAAAAGTTTATCATTCGATTTAAAATTATTGTTACGTACTTCTGACAAATTCAAAAATGATAAACTAAACACCCTTGATTTGATTCTTGAAATTCAAACCAAATAGAGGATTAAAATCAGGTGGAAATTTTATTCAAGACAACTAATACATAATCGATGAGCAATATATATCCCAATTGATCGATCAGATCCATATTACTACAAAATGTGGATCCATAATATGTAACTTAATTCCAAAGTCAAAATAATAATCACTAATAATAATAATCCACCTGCCATTACATATTATTAATAATTAATTAGAATTTCTTTCCAGAAGCATGCAATCCAGAAAAGTAACTTTTGGGATTGCTCTCGAACCCGGCCCGAGGAATTTGGGCCCCACCGCCACCCGGTGCCTTCATCATACCCGAACCGCCGGAGCTGCCGCCGCCTCCTTTTCCAGGCACTTTTTATCAATTTAGGGTTTGGAATGTTTTAATTACAGGTGAGTTTGATTGTTGAAACGTCAGTGCATGTCTATTTATTGTTGCCTATGTCCAATCATGTTAGGCCACGTGTACTTTGACCTTGTTGACAGCTCATTTTCGGTTTATGCAATACAAGTTGTTTTGCAGATTTAAAGGTTATTTTTTACTTGTCTGTTTTTAGTTATATTTTTGTACCAATAGACTTTTTTTTTTTTTTTTTTTTTTTTAACATTTAGGGCATGTTTGAATTCTTATTTAAAATACTTTTGGCTTTTCTTTTTTGGGAAAAAAAAAATTATATAAATTTGTATGGATTTTTTTGTTGAAAGTAAAAGCCGTTTTTGGAACTCCAATAATTAATATATTTTTAATAGGTGCTTTTGAAAGAATAAAAATAGTTTCAAGTTCAAAACTACTAATTCGTTCATAACTAGGAGTACCAATAGGCAACTCAGTTTGTATGATAATAATAATAATAATAATAATAATAATAATAATAATATTTTATATATCATATTAAAAATATCAATATTAATTATATGAGATAATTTAACATTTTAAATATGATTTATAAAATTTTAAAATAAAATACAAGTTCATTAAAAGAAATACAAATTTACGCTAATAACCTTTTTTTTGGATAATATTGAAAGAGTGAATTTATTTTTTTTTATTTTTATTTTTTTTACTTTATTGAATAAAATAGCATTGAATATTGAATAAGAAGGTATAAAAATATGAAGTTATGAATGACTAGATTCAAATTATAAAAATAAATAAATAATCTCTTATTATTTTAGTCATTGATAAGCGAAATATATGGCTACTTGAATTTCGAATATATTTAATTTAATAACTCAAATTAACTATTTTTTTTTTAAACATGCAAATTTATTTGTTTATTTGCATATCGAGGCCCTTCAATGATTTTCAATTTTCATTTACAAAGTAAATCAAATTCAATTCCAAAACACATTTAATTTAAATTTTCTTCTCTATTATTTTTTTTAAAAAATTGAAGTTACAAGGGTCAATTCCCAAAATGCAATTGAATATTAATAAAAATTATACTTCGTATTATTCCTTTAATTTTATAAGGGAATCGAACTTTGTTCAAAAAATAGGAATTTGTATTATACTATATTCTAATAAATATATGCACTTCCCTATGCATTTTTCAAAGGATTAATTTAATTTCCATTTATGGGATTGTGCATTTCTTTTTCTTTTTTTTAAAAAAAGTTTTTTACTATTAAAAGATATTATAGATATATATATAATATTATATTCAATACCTATATTTTACCTTTAAAATATCTAAACGAAAAACATAAACATACAAAAAGAAAAAGAATATATATAAATTAATACTAGTTGCACATTAGTATGTGATTTTTTAAAAAAGAAAAAATTAACAATATAATTTTATAGAGAATCATCAAAATTAATTATAGATACATTATTAATGAATTTATATTAAAAATATCAAAAAAAAAATAGATAAAAAAATTAAAAAAAATTAATTATGTGTTATTCTAATAATAATAGTGCATTTTATTTCATAAAATTAAATTGCATAGTCTCAATTTAGATAAGGACGAGTTTGTTTGTTTATGATTTAAACACAAATTTTCAATAATTAGTTCGTACAATATTTTAAATAAAAATATATTATTTTACATCATAAAATATTATATCAAGAATATTTCAATAAAATTTTTAATCAATATTTCATTTCACATTAAACTACAATCAAACAAACTCATCTTTTTTTAAAATCACAATCAAACGAACTCATGAAAATTAGATGTATGTTGTGGTTTTTTTTTTTTTTTTTCTTTCGGAAATACGATCGCAAACAATTTGATCCGTCAAGAGATGAACTACTCTGACTAACGGGAAACGGAGCTATGAACTACAAAGATAAAAAATAATATAGTTGTCACGTAGTAGGCAAAAGCGTAATAATTAAAACCCCGTAATGAAATAAACAACAAAAAAGTGTTTGTTGACTCAATTCATTATATAAAACTTACATAATGAAGATTCTAATCCAAAAGTGTTTATTATACATATTCTCCAAAAGAAATATGAACAAATGCATCAACAAACAATTATCGATAACTATCCTCTCAAAAATTACGTCATCTTTTATAATCGATCAATCTCCGATATCTCATTTAGAAATTTGACATTTTCTTGAAAACATGAAAAATGATAGAAAATTTGAAAATAAAAAGATAATTTCTCTCACTATAATTCTCTATCAAATTGAGATCCCTCAACAATTCTCCACACAACTTGATTTTGAAATATGTAAAAGGAATTTAAATTAATTCATGAACATTGTTAAATAAGGACACTTTTTTTTTTTCAACACAATATTAAATTAATTATTTAAACAAAAATTTAAATAAAAAACAACAAAATCCAGATAATGATTTCGATTCTCGATATGATTTAATTTGCTTCATTTACAAAGAAAATCGATATTCAATCCCAAAACACATTCGGTTTAATATCTACTGCTCCCTCCGTCTCAATATAACAGTCTTGTATATCATTTTTGTCGGTCACAAAACAATAGTATTATTTACATATATAATCATATCACCATAAAATTACTCCTATTTTTACATTTTTACAAAAAAATCTTTTATCCATACTTTTTATCCACCACCAATATAATATCAATATTTTTTAAATCTCGTGTCCAACCCAATTAAAAATATATTTACTGGACGGAGGGAATATTATTTTAAAAAATTTGAAGTTACGAAAGTGTCAATTTCCCAAATGTAATTGAATGCTTATATATATAACTTCATGTGTGTTCAATTCTAACAAGTAATTAAATGAACTGCGATCATTGGAATTTGTATATATATTTATACATACATTTTTAAAAATATATATATATATATAGATATATATGCACTTAATTCCAATCCATTTTTCAAAGGGTTTAATTTACTTCTCACTTGTTTTTACTTGTGATAATTAATGTTCTTGGATTTTGATTTTTAGTTTTTATTTTTATTTTAATAGGGCTTAAGAAATGATGTTTTTATAAGAAAATTTACATTTCTTCTATTTGTAATTATTTTATTCATTTTGTTAATATGATCCATTTACAATTCATATATTTATTTTTCTTTTAGCAATTGTGGTCTATTTTATAAAATTCTTACATTAATTTCCTAATTAACTTATATGTAAAGAAAGAAAAAAACCCTTAATTGCCCAATTAATCCCCACCATTGTTATACTTGAAAATATATGTACGTATCGTGTGTCCATTGCATATGTATATATATATATAACTGGAGAGAGAGAGAGAGAGAGAGGGAGAGGGAGGTATTTCATACTAACAAGAGGACTATATACATACAATAAATATATATATATATGAGGAATTAAGCATTGATTTAATTAGTGCAGTGATAATTGTGTGGGTGCAGAAACGGAAGAGTAGCTGCGGCTGCAGTGGTGGTGGTGGTGGTGGTGGTGACACGCTGGCAGCAAGGGCACATTGTGACGGCGGAAGTCGGCGGCGGGAGGCGGCGGCCGGCGGTGGCTTTGATGGCCCTGAGGTCCTGGACTTCCTTTTGCAGTCTCCGGTTCTGCTCTGTCAGTGACCGTAACCATCTTTTCAAGTACTCGCATTCCACTTCTGCTTGCTTCATCTTCCTCCTATCATACATACATACATATATATATATATCACCAAATTATATTATTTTTATTTTAAATAATACTTACTCATCCGTTCCACTTACCTTCTCTATGTCGTCGTTTCTGTTCGTCTCACATGTCACTTTCTTCTTTTGAAAAATGATTACTCATTTTAATTTTATTTTAAATTTTTTAATTTAAATTTTTTTAAAATTTTAATTAAACTAATTAATTATTTTAATTTTAATTTATAATAATTTATATTATAGATTTATTATTTCTACTACTATATTCTTAATTATCTAATTAAATATACTTATTCTAAATTGTCGTGTTTACAATGACCAAGACACCAACATGGAGGGAGGTAGTGTACTTCAACAACAATAATAATAATAATAATAATAATAATAATAATAATAATTTATGCTACCTTGCTCTGCGATTTTGAAACCAGACCTCAACCTGCCTTGCCCTAAGCTTTAATTGATCTGCTAATATTTCCTTCTGCTTCTGAATTATTATTTTTATATACATATAATATTAATGTTAATGATCGATAATACAAATATAAAGAATTGAAATAAATAATAAAAAAATTAAATTTAAATTCTCACTCTCACTCACTCACAGGGTTTAAGGTCTGATTCTGTCTGAAGCTTTCTTCAAGAAGGCGAGACTGATGTTTAGTAAGTCGGAGTTTCTTTCTCGGGTTCGGGTTCGGGTCACCTATATTCGGGCTTTCTTCATCTTCTTCCTCGCTTTCTTCTTCTGTTACTAACTGTTCAGGCGAAGGCACTTCGTTTATGTCCAGTAATTCCTTCATCGCACGTTGCCCTAAAATCGATCACCAATCCATGCTTAATCAATACATATACACCACAATTCTATATGTATATATATATATATCTCCATTTCTGTAAATTAAACGATATTATTAATTTTACCAGAAGATCGAATCGACGGAGGCGTAGCTATGGATAGGTTCAGACAGAAAGAATTCTTGCAAAGCTCGTTCATGGAGCTTAGCTTAAGCAAGAAGACGACCATAAACTTAGGGCAAATCGATTATATATATACAGAATTGTGTGTAAGTAAATAATAAAAATCAATGGCGTTTAGGACACAGTAGTGTTGTGGCTGTGCTGTTGTCAAGTCAAGGATGGATGACCGTCCGATTGGAGCCACGTGTCGACAGGATAGAGATTGATGAAAGACAAAGCAGCAGTGGGGCCTCCCTGTTTCGGGGACGAGTTGTCGGCTCAAAAACGGTCAGCTCTTGTAATGATTGGCTGGAATAATAATACTAATAATAATAATAATAATAATAATAATAATAATAATAATAGAGAGTGTTGGTAAATTAATTAATAAAATAATAAATTAATGGAGGAGCAGCGGATTTCTTGAGCCTCCAAATTTCAATGGCAATAATGAATGAATGCTTCCTTCCCCAACCCAACCATCATTACGACGTCGTGTCGATGTCTATGTCTGTGTGTTTTGTGAATTTTGTGTTGTGTTGTCCGTGCCAATGTATGTAATGGTCATTACTTCATGCACGTGTGTGTGTCTTTGCTCGATCCAGACACAAAAACATGCCCTGTTCTTCTTCGCTGCAAAAATAGCTTCTTTTATTATTTCTATTTAATCATTTATAAAAGTCACTCAAGATACAATCTAAAATGTTTTTTTTTTTTTTATTTTATAAGTATATCTTCAAAATTTTATTTTATTTTTTTGGGTAGTAGTTTGATTGTTGGAAACAAAAAAAATAACAATAATAAAAACTTTTATAATTTAAAAAAGTGGTTTTAACCTTAACAATATATTTTTAACAACAGTACATAAGATATAAATAGATAAAATATATTTTTTTACTATTCATCACTTACAAAATATATATATTTTTTTATTTTGAATATTCCAATTATAAAATTCATGTTTTTAGTAACAATTGATCCATTAATTTTTTACAAATTCTCTGTTTTATCATCACATATGCAAATTACGATTGAGAGTTGGACGATATATAGCACATATTATTAATTTTATCACGTTAGATATATTAACATTGTACAGATAAAATAAAATATGCAATATACTTTCTTTGTTCAGTAATATTTAAATGTCAATATGTAGTACAATTTAAGAAAAAAAAATTATTTATCTCTTATAATATAAATACAATAAAGTAAATTATCAAAATATAAAGATATCTCTAGCGTCAACCACACTATGCAAAAATTAAATGGTAATCTTGCATCGGAATGGTAGAAATATATTAATAATCTATAAATAATATGTGTTGTATAAATTATCGGTGCGTATTGTCGAAGCATATTTGATAGATTGATTATGACTAAAAATAAAAGGATATTAGTGATGGTAATTTCCTGATAAATATATAACCAGCAACAAAACGAGTCCCATTACGAGGTGTTGAATTGGAGGAAAATGAAGTAGATGAAAAATTGCTCGAAAAGGGGCACACTATTTTATTATCCAAAAAAGAATGTGTGCGGTGTGTCGTGTACCAAATTGCAATAAAGCAAGCAATCATCTTCGTCGTCAATCCTGTCCGGAGACACGCCGTTGCTGGGTGACACCATCTGGGCCCCACTTGTCTTCCATTCATATTCTGCCCCTATTAATCAAAAACATATCCTAATCAGTTAGATTATGAACTTTCCATCAATAATAATATGATCCTCTGATTTCTTGAAGAGAAATTATAGAGAGGTTGATTCTCTATGTGAAACGAAAATAAATTTGGATATTCAGTTACAACAAATCCAGTGAAAAAATACAAAAGATTATGGATGTATGGAGAATATGAGGTTGGTGGTAATTGTGATGTGATAGTGTAGTGAGTATGTGTGATTTAGTCCGAAAGAGAAGAAGATTTTAGAAGGTGATACAGATTGTGTGATGTTAAGGCAAAAAAAGTAAAAATCTGAGTTGAGGATTTCTAACATTGATTCCTTGACGAGTTGAAATGAGCTTGGACTGAAACCCCGAACGTAGGTTATTGATGATCGAACTGATTAACAACTGATTTTGTGTGTTTGAATTTAGAGCTTCCAGCGTGCTTACGTTGTCTGGTCTGATTACAAACTGTCTGTGTGTAATTGAGTTCATCTTGAATATTGAGGTTCTGTTTTTATTGTTTGCTGGATTTCATTAATTGGGACTTACATAATGGATATGGAGTTTCGAACCTCATAGTAATCGGCTACTCTCGACCCCGACACATCTCGATGCACAAATGCTGGCGCTCCGTAACAGGCATCGTGCTCGGGCGTCGAGGCTCGATTGCACCGTTCCGTTTTGACTGTCGTTTGATGCATTGGCATTGATGTCGGGTGAATTCCTGGGGGCCCGGGGGCGTGGGAGGGGAGGCATTCGTCGGTTCTTACACTCGATGTCCAAGTTGTTGTTGTTGTTGTTGTCGTCACTGTCTATGGGAGAACAGACGCGTTCCCTGCAAGAAAATAACGTTGAATTTTCAAATTGTAAGGAAAAATGGCCTTTTGATGATCTAAAGTAAAGTGTGTATTGATTGCCTTGGCAAGGAGGCATAGCGCCTTCGCAATGGGTTCCGGTCGACTTTCTCCAGGTGGACAAATTGTTGCTTGAATCGCTCGATCCCACTGAAACATTACGAGCCTATAATTAAACGGTGTAATAACCCGAGGTCGACTAGGATGCAATCATAGGAAGTAAAGAAAAGATAGGCCTGAAATGTTTGTATTAAGATAAAAACTGGCCTTGGATACATGAAGTGAATATGATCGGAGCCACCGAGGTACTCCCGGAGCATCCGCGGATGATATTCCAAGATCTGTCCGGTAAATGGATAGATTGATTAAACGATCATACAATGCAAGGACCAGACAACATTTTTACTTTAAAAACGAATATACCTCTCGGTAAATTAGCTCCCTCACGTCGTCTTTGGTTAACTTTCTCCTTTCGAACTCAAAATTGAATTTCGAAATGGGTTGGGCCAATGGCTCTTCTTCCACGTTCGCCACGCCGTCAAAATATGGATCTGCTAGAGCCTGGACAGAAATTTAACCGTTAGACCTAATCGAATTCAAAGAACAACATTTGTAGGGACTAGTCGTGCAAAAAATATTGCCTCTGCAGCAGACGGGCGGTCCTTAGGATCAAAAGCAATCAAACGTCGGAGGAGACAAAGAGCCCGGGGATCAATATCGGGGAACTTTTGTAATAAAGAGACAGCAGGCTTCTTTCTCATACAGCTCAAGTATCTTCGAGCCTTTTCGTTCGGAATCTGCAGATAGCACAAGAAAGTAGAAACCAAGACGTTGGCATAAATTCAAATCGCTAAAAACAGAGTTCTTGTAGGAAAACACACCCTTGAAATGGCTTCATCAGAAGGGGAACCGAGGAGATCGGTTATGAGATCCAACTGATTTACGACGTTTTTCCCGGGAAACATCGGTTTTCCGATGAGCATTTCTGCAAATATGCACCCTATGCTCCATATATCAATAGCAGGAGTATACTGCAATGGACAGACATCATAGTATAAAGTATTGCATCGATTTTCCATTACAGAACTATATGGAAAAGCACAAATTAATACGGAGACGAACTTTGGAGAAGAAAGAACCGCAAAGTTCAGGAGCACGGTACCACCGGGTAGCCACATAGTCCTACAGAGAATAAAACTTCGGTTAAAGATGCAAAATAGTATCAAATGAATGTATCATTCATTGTATTGATCGACAGACGACGTACAGTCCAAAACACAGGCGATGGAGCATCGCCAAACGCAGCACGAGCCAGCCCAAAATCGCAAATCTTCAACTTGCAGTCAGCGTTGGCGAGTATGTTCTTGGGCTTCAAGTCGCGGTGGAAAACATTCCCTGCAGAGATTAAACAAATTATTCAGAGGATTCCAAGAAACGAACTAAACAGAACAATAAATCGAAGCTTGAATGATAAAAAGTTAAAAGACCAGCCTGAGTGCATGTACTTCAACCCTCGAAGCAGCTGATACAGAAAATACTGATGATGATCAGGGCTAAGATCATCATTTGTCCTGATCACATGATGCAAATCCGTCTCCATCAGCTCAAACACGACGTATATATCCTTGAATTCTCTCCTACAGGGAGGCAACATTATGTGCTTTATTTCCACAATGTCCGGGTGCCTAAGCAACCTTAGGAGCTTGATTTCTCTAAGAATCCGAGTCGCTTCAGACACATGTTCGAAAATATCAGCTATCTTTTTTATGGCTACCTTCTCCCCAGTATGAGTGTCCACCGCAGCCGCCACTACGCCGTAGCTCCCCTTGCCGACAACCTCCTGAACTTCATACAGATTTGCCTCGCCATACTCAGTGAAGAAATCATTGAACGGCATACTCTGCCATGGAATTCATCATATCATCGCCAAATGCATATCTCCAATTAGAAAATCTATATATCCACAAAATCTTTGGATTCTTACCTGAAGGAATATTTGAAGAATTGATAATGCACCGCAAGAATAAACACGCTGCTAAAATGCACTTGATCAAACCAAATTCCTCAACTCCATTAAATACTACTTGAAGTAAATGAACCCTAGAAATTAAAAAAGAGTTGACATTCTAAACATAGACTTTCAATGAATGAAGAGGCAAAATGGACGACGTCAACATCTTTATCCTCAGATTCTATAACGTAGTACGACAATAAAATTTCACTTTCCAGCTTTCAGTGAAGAAAATCCAGCACAACAACGATCTCTTATCCACTGCAAAATACACATGATTTTTTTTTTTTTCAGAGAATATTCAATTGCCACATTTGCGAGCGTGTCGTGATCCTAAAGGTGTAATTGTCAATGTCAGCCTACAAATTAGTAAATCACCCAAATTCTTTTTCCCCCAAATTAAAAATAACCCTATCTACGAAAACACAGGAAAATTAGCTGATCAAACACCACACAAAACAGTCAATACAGCCAATTGCCTCTATCAATTTGCAGTTTCGATTGGAAGAAAGGACGTCGCAAATTGCAAGAAATTAAATGCGAGAAAGTCAGCATGCGTAGGTAAATTATTGCTGTCGAGACACAGAAAAAACCGAGTGAAAGCCTCGAAATTGAAAGCACGCACCTTGTGGCCACATACAGAGAAAATCGGCTGACCGATTCGCCACCGGCGCAGACTTCTGACTGTCCTCTCTCATCTCCCTCTCCAACTTCAACAAGTCTTGTGGATTAATTGATGCCTACAATTCAATTAAAAAAATTTCAATGTGAATAGTTATATAAATTGGTACACTATAATCTTTTAAATGTAAAATTAATTATTAATATAATATAAAAAATAAAAAGTAAATATTTGATTTAATAATTTTTTAAAGACGACAAAAATTGATTGTATAGTGTATTTTTGGAAAAATACCCAAACAAACACACGAATGAATGGAACCAAGTTAAACAAAAATTGTAATTAAATGAGGCTTAATGTGATGATTACTTGATTAGTGATTGCTGATTAGACTAATTAGCATCTGCTGCTTACTACCTTCAGATTAACTTAATCTAAAGATTTTTAAAATTGAAATTTATTCAATTGATTTTTATCTTTTTAATTTCAATATTCTATAAACTTTAAAAATTTTATGAATTTTATTTAAAATATGTTATTATCATTATTATTATTATTGATATATATATATATATATATGTGTGTGTGATAAATACTATAATAATATTTATTACACCCTTTGTAATTTTTCCACTTTTCCTTATTTTCTTGTTCTTTTCTTTTTTTATATATAATTATATATTTAATTATATTTTAAATTTTATAATTTATAATTTTTATTTTAATTAAACGATTTAGTTATTTTAATATTAATTTATAATTATTTTTATTAATATACTTCTTAATTACTTACTGAATTATTATATTTATAATAGTTTAGTGTATAAATTAAAAAAAGACAAATTAGCTGGGAGACGAAAATAATATTTTTATAATAATTTAATAAAAATAATAGTAATAATTTAAAACTAAAATATACTTAACATGTTATTCTTAAATTTTTTGAAAATGTTTGTTTTATATTATAAATACAATATTTAAAAAATATTATTATTTTATCATAATAAATATATTATTGTTGTCCACTCTTTACTAATTATTAATACACTACATTGCTATTTTGGTAAAAATTGATGAGATATTTATATATTTTCTTTGTTAAACTATGGCTAAATTGCACCAAATTTACCTTAGTTTTACACAATTGTGTCAAATTTTTTATATTTCTAAAAGTGCGTCAAATTTTCTCATAATTTTATAAACTTTCTATTTAACATATAATGGGTTCTTATTTAACGGTTTTTTATATGTATGCGTCTAAAGGTGTGAATGAATTTCAGAATCTTAATTTATATACTTCTAAATTTACAAATATATTTATTTATCTTATAATTATCTCCAAATCCCAAATGACAGTAAACATATTAAAAATAGTTATTTGGGGTTTTAATAGCTTCTTTTACTATTTTTTGAACCTAAAAATACGATGATTGAATATATTTGTAATTTTCGGTGTCTATAAATTTAAAATTTAAAATTCATTCGCATTCGCAGTTTGAGCGTGTGTAGGTTAAACATCGTTAAATAAGGACCGTCGAGGGTTAGACGTTATGAAACCACGATGGAGTTTGACGCATTTTTAAAGTGTGTTTGTTTGGGGTTAGGATTTTGAGTTTGGATTTGAATAGTAAATATTTTGAATTTAAATAATTACTCCCTCCGTCCACAAACTAACGTCCTACTTTCCTATTTGGAACGTCCAACAATTATGGTCTTCTTTCTATTTTTATACACAAAATTTACTCTTTTACCTTTAGTTTATTTACTCTTTCATTTTTTATACACAAGATTAAGGGTAAATTTGTCATTTTATAACAAAAATTCTAATTGCCTAAAAATGCGTGTAAATATCAAATAAGATATTAGAAAATGGACGGAAGAAATATATGATATGATATAAATAAGTGTTAGGTGTAATGTTTTAAATATAAAATTGATTTTTAGTATAATATAAAAAATAAAAAATAAATGTTTGATTTGATGTTTTTAGGGTAAAATTTTGGATGAATAGTTGTTTTTTTCTCAAAATCCTATAAACAAACACAGCCTTAGAAGTACGAAAGATTTGGTGCAATTTTGTTAAATTAGATGTGAATTTTTTGTAATTTAGCTTTAAATTATTGATTTATGTATATATTTTTTAAATTCCATTTTTTTAAATCGTAAATTTTGATTTGGATTTTATTTATATATTTTTTTATGTAAATAATTATATAAATAATAATAACTAATAAAAATAATTAAAATTGATATATTAAATAATAATATATTTTTAAAACTAATACTATACTTTTGGTATTTTATTTTAATAATTTGAATGATTTTTTTATCTAGAAATGTATTTTATATGGGTTTATAGATATAAATTATTAAAAAAATATATATTATAATTCTATAAAATCTATATAAATTGATAAATAATTGAATCAAATTTATAAAATTATCTAAATCAATATATAAAATCAACCAAACTCAGTTAACCAAATTCTAAACTCAGTTTTGTTAGAACTTTATTTATAAAAAAAATTAATTGACCTTCAAATTATTTAATGTAGTCTAGATACGTGGTCTTTTTTACTGTAGAGATATGGTGTATTTTTTACTATAAATAATTTAAAATAATATAATTAAAAATATAGTAGTAAATATTATTATTATTTAATAAAAATAAATTAAAATTAGAATAACTAATTAATATAATTAAAATAAAAAAAAATTAATGTATAATAATTTTTTTTTAAAAAAAAGTCACAGTGAAACATAACAGAGGAATATTCATTATAGAATAATACTTTTTTTTATGAAATTATATTACGCTTATTTCTTTTAGGGTGTGTTCGGTCGAGAGATTTGGACAAAATCTCACTATTCATCCAAAATTTTCCCTCCAAAAACATCAAATCAAACACCTATTTTTTATTTTTTATATTATACTAAAAATCAATTTTACATTCAAAACATCACATCATCACCCATTTATATCACATCATACAACTATTCAAATTCCAAATTTTTACTATTCAAATCTCAACTCAAAATCCAAACCTATATCATCTGTGTATCATTTCATTAACCCTCAAATCAAAAAGTCACTTCAAAAAATCTCCAAGTCCATCCATCCATATATATACACAATTCAACAATTCCTACAAATTCCCTTCTCAGATAATAAGCAGCTCTGCAAGATTAAAGCTTGACAGAAGATAAATAACCAAAAATGTAAGTAATAGGTCAGAGAATAACAACATCCATGGCATCTGTTGCTATGCCTTCACCGACGTCGACGAATCACCTGGTGGTTCCCACGCTTGCGCCTCTTTCCTCGACCTCGCCCAGGCATATACTCAGGATCAGCTTCGTCCGGCTCCATCCTCCGTTTCCGAGGCCTGAGCTCCCTGCCTTCTTTGGGTAAGTCAACTGGTGCACCTTCCTCCTCACCATTTTCGGGGCCGTGAACAGGCAAATGCTTCGGGGCTGATTGTGGCACCAACTGCCGAATCTCCATGTTGGCTGGTTCTCGAGGTATCTTAGTCACTTTCGGTACACGCAGATGCTCACATCTCTGGTGCCTCATCTTGCACAGTAATCGGCACCTTTTGCACGTCTTGCACGATTTGCAAGATCCATAAGCGGTCGCCAGCTGCACAAGTTTCAGTGTCGCCGTTAGCTTCTGCAATCCAGTGAGTTCAACACCCGAAGGCCTTTCTGATGATAAAGGTTCACAAGTTTCAGGACTGGTTTCTCGGCTGGATGAACTCGTCTCGTCCGACCACGTCTCCTCGTCTGCTGCATTCGAGCATGGAATCTCTACTGAAGTACAGTTTTCAGCCTGGTCGGGTTGATTCTGCACTAGACGTTCGGTTGACAGCGTCTCTTCGTCGTTAGAAACAGGCTTTTGGTCAGTATCTTCACCGTCTATTTCGCTCGGTTGATTTCTTTTCTGCCTGTGCCGCCTCCTTTTTATCTCGCACTTCTTGCACAGGCACTTACTCCTTGTTGCCTTTATCTCAGCTGCGGGGGTTGCTTCAGGGGCCGGTTCTTCAACTGCGCTCAGCATGTATCTCTTGCCCCTAGTTGCAACGACGTAACCGGATCCGCGGAGCTGTCGCAGATGATGTTGCAGAAATTCTTCATGTGCCAGAGGCAAATTACTGTATCGGTTTTGCACAAATTGAGATATCTCGTCCACAGTCGAACCATTTTCATCATTCAACTCAGCAAGAGCAGTTTCTATCATCTGAAAAAATAAAATAGGAAGATATATAAACCTTAACGACATTTCAGCATGGTTGCATCAGAAATATTTCAACAGTATTTAGTACAGAAAAGCAAAAAGGGCATAAAGGAAAGAAAGAATCTAAAACAAGAGAGGCACCATGGACGACAGCTTTAGAAAGCAGAAACAGGCGTAAATGTTGCATGACTAATATATTGATAATATACATAATATGCAATACAACATAATCATCCAAGTACCTTATTAACCATAACAAGCATATAGCTACCACGGAAATAAGAAAAATTAACCAAAACAAGCATATTGCTACGGCTTTAAATTGCACTACATGCCATGTGATACGCCAAATCTCGCACTATAATATGCACAGCTAATCACTCGATGGCACCAATTATGAATCACGGGTTTTTTCACAGGACAAACTTTAATGAGGTGGGTGAAACGGACAAGAATCATTCAATCATAAGGGAGAACTTGACGCTTTTCTGCTCCCATAGATATGGGTGAAAATGTAGTCTTTATACCCAATATAAGAAAACCATGTGGACAGAGAAAACAGTGATCGCACACCCGGTGTCAGTAAATACCCTCCTCCGACAGGAAAAGAATTTAAGGCAGTCTAATGCGCCCATAGATCAGGCATGAAAATGTAATGCATGTTCCCAATAGCGATCCCACACTCAAAATCAATAAGTACCTTCCTGCGACAAGAAAGAACTTAAGGCACTTTATGTTTGTTGAATTTATAGATTCGGAGGAGGGTTATTCCTGACATGGATTGTGATTACCATTTTCTTTGTACGGAGACAATGGTGAACATACATTCAATGTCCATAACTATCTTCCTCCGATTGGGAAGAATTTAGGGCACTTTATGTTTGTTGAATTTATAGATTCAAAGGAGGGTTAGTTACTGACACCGATTGTGATCACCGTTTTCTTTGTACAGAGACAATGGTGATCACAAATTCAATTTCAACAACTACCTTCCTCCGATAGGAAAGAATTTAAGGCACTTTACTGCCCCCAAAAATCTGGTGGGTGTAATAAGCTTTCCCAATATAAGAGAACGACTAGTACAACAAAGATGATGATCACCAGCCAGTGTTAGTAACTTACCCTCCTCCAAATCATAAATTCAACAAACAGATTTCTTTCGTTAAAAATATTACAAATTGAAACTACTGCAAAACAAGCCATAGAACTTTACAAAACTAGCACATAAAACCAATCAAATACACAACTCCTCAAGCTTACTAACATCTTACATCATTCAATAGAAGCCCTCGCATACTAAGAAATGTTAAATGCTATTCGGAGCACATATAACATCAGAAGCCTAAATATTCATCTTCAATTAACCTTGAGTTACACCTAGTTAAGTGGAAGCGAATCAATGCCTTTCTAGAGCTATCCAGCATCCCTTAATTCAAGATATTTGCAAGCAAAACAAAACCCTCTATTTAGATACATAAACACCCTATTACAGCCTACACTTAAAAACCCTAACGTCATTGAATTACAGTGAAGGTCAATTGTGTTTTATTCTCATTTTTCGCACTGTAATGAAATGTTTTTCAATCCCAAAAACATTATTTTCCAACATCTTGTTTTCCATTCGAATCCAAGATCTACTTTTCATGAGAAAGCATCACTCCCAATATATCTCAAACACAAGTAAAATAGATCCACCATATATCGCCCAAGCACGAAATGCAAATCACACAATTCCTCCAGCGAACATAAATTAGCTGACAATTTTTTTCATAAGGCGGAGAATTAAGAATCAACTACCAAATACGGGTGTAGAAGAGACACGATTCGCACCCGAAAAACAAAAATCGAAACGAACATGACTGAAGCCAGAATTATTACCGCTGAATAAGGAGGGTGGTCGGGGTTTTTGTACTGAGAAGCGAATTCCCTCAAGCGATTCCGGACAAGGTCTGTCTCAGCTCCCGTCAGTTTCCTATTTGGGCGAGTCTGCGCTAGCTCCATGACAATGCCTTGAAACGTTTCCATGCCTTTGTTCTTAGGGCTTTGCGCCGCATCAGCTGGAGGATTTGAGGGAAGGGTTTCAGCAGCGAAGTGGGGGCGATTCCTACCGCGGATTTTCATTCTCGATATGCCTTTGTCCTCAGGGCTCTGCTCCACATCGGCTGGAGGATTTGGGGGAAGGGTTTCAGCAGCGAAGTGGGGGCGATTCCTACCGCGGATTCTCATTCTCGATATGCCTTTGTCCTGAGGACTCTGCGCTGAATCGGCTGGAGGATTTGGGGAAAGGGTTTCGGCGGCGAAACGACGGCGATTCCTCTCACCGCGGATTCTCATTCTCGGTATCGATCGGAGACGGAAAGGGAAAGGGAAAGTTCAACGGCTAGGGCTAGAGCTAGAGAGAGCGACAGCTAGGGTTTCGTACTTTAGTTTGCCAGACGAATTGGAACACTGAGTCTGAGAGTGACGAGAGACTTTTATAGAGACTCAAAAATGCGATTATGCGAACTTTGGACCAGCAGTTAGTTGGAGCGTAACAAAAAAAAAATAATAAAATAATAATAGTTAGTTGGAGCGTAAAAAACTATAGAAACACCTGGGAGCTCGAGACCCGAACAAATTCACGCGATGTCCTGACGTGGCGTGGTTATCAATGCGGACAGTGGAACTGAAGTTTTTCTTTTTCAGTTTGTTCTTAACATTTTTGTTTTTTAAAAATTGTCAGAATTTTAATTTTTTCCAAATAGAAAACGTTATTTGCTCAATCGGTTTCGAAATGGCGGTTGGAACTTCCGGTTCGCCGGTTTCAAATCGAACACATCGAATCCAAATCGAAACAGATTTTCCCAAGGTTTGCTTTCGGTTAGAGCCTGCGATTTTGTATTTTGTATTTTTTTTGTTTTTTTGATTTTTTTTAACATTTTTTTTTTCATTTTGATTTATCAATTTTTCATTTTTAGTAATATTATCTAACTAATATTATAAATATTATTTTAATTTATAATATATTACACTGTTGGATACGAAGCTGATTATATCGTAAAATCTAAGAAATATGATTTAGATATTATATTTTAAATTTTAGAGATATGATTTAAATATTATTGACATAAGTTTAACCTATAAATATTCATATATTTTCACTTTAACAGATGTCTACTTATTTATAGTAAAATTCCTGGTTTGGCAGCGCCCCGAGATTTAGATCATCGTGATCGAATTGGATTACCAAATTATTGTGTTATTGTGTCCTTGTTTGTCTCTACTTGATTTTCTAAAATTTCTATAACAAGTGGTATCAGAGTCTGGTTCGTTGGTAAGATGAATTGAGAGGAATCGGACATTGGGTCGTTGTGGGAATCCCTTGTGACCTGCGGAGGTGCCTTGTGTCGAAAGTCCCCTGGTAGTGTTGGGTCGGTCCCGACTGGTAGGTCAGGCAGCGGGTCCTTTTGTGATAGGCGGTGCAAGGTTGGCAGGGAAGGATAAGGGTTTCGGCAAACGCAACGGAGGAAATATTTGATGTGCTCTCATATCAAGTGAACCTTAGGTTTGTTTGTGGGAGTCAAGATGGATGAAGTCGAGTAAAAGAAGATCGACAGGAAGACGATGAGTGCGGTTCGACTAACCCTTTGGGAGAATGTCTCGACTAAATTTAGATCTGAGTCAAAAGTAAATGATGAAGATCAAAAATGGTCAAAGTTGAAGCTGAAGAATAAGGACAAGGAAGATGCAAGTCAGGTCATATGTTGAAACTGCAAGGGGCACTTGAAACGAGAGTGCGGGGTGCCAGAGAATGATCAGGGTTTGGCAAACACAGCGGAGGAGATATCCGATGCGCTGATTCTGAACATCAGCAGTCCAATGGAGTCATGGATCTTGGTCTCAGGAGCGTCATTCCACTTATGCAGTGATTCGGGAATCATGAAATCCTATACGACAGGTAATTTTAGCGTTGTCTATCTTGCATATGATGAGACATTGAAAATTGTAGGTAAATGAATGATTCGAATCAGAACACCGAATGGTGGGGAGTGGAGATTGAATGACGTGAGCCATGTTTTAGGTCTGAAACGAAATCTGATTTCTTTTGAACAATTGGATGAGGCAGGTTATTCGACAGTTTTTTGGACCTAAGTCGTGGAAGGTAACCTAAGGATCCATTGTAGTGGCCCAAAAAAGAAGAGATGAAACTCTCTACCTGAAGGAAACCATGCAAGACAGAATCAATTCCGTGGCCATAAATAACACAAATTTATGGTATTCTCGTCTCGAACACATAAGCGAGAAGGGGATAGGGAAGCTCATGTCAAAGGGAAGATTGTCAGGTCTCAAGTCCATCGATATTGGAGTATGCGAGGACAATATCTTTGGGAAGCAACGAAAGGTGGTGTTCTCAAAGGATATGAGAGACCTGGAAAATGAAAAGTTGGAGTTGGTTCATACGGACCTGCAGTAACCAACTTTTGTATCGACCATTGGAGGCTCACAGTACTACCCTGTGGTCATTGACGAATGGAGGTATGAGTATATTTCCTTAAGTGTAATTATGATGTTTTTTATACCTTTAAGAGATGAAAAGCACGTGCAGTGGGAATAGTAAGTCGATTTATGAGCAATCCTGAAAGACAATGGGCCTCAATGGATATTTATAGGCTAAACTTATGCCAAGCCAACTCAAATCATATCTCTAAAATCTAGAATATAATATCTAAATTATATCCGTAGATTTTAGGATATGATCAGACTTCATATCCCAACAATCTCTCACTTGAAGACTGATTTCATCTTCCACTTCAACATTTTACTTCATCCGCAATGACAACGTCAAGCCTCCTTCTTCACTCATGGAGGCCCATTCAGGTTGAACACAACCTATAATATATTCATAATTCTCACTTTAATAGGTGTCTGTGTACTTTATAGTAAAATTTATGGCTTGGCAGCGCCCCCAAACGTAGATTATCGTGATCGAACTGGGTTACCAAATTATTGTGTTCTTGTCCTTGTTTGTCTCTTCTTAATTTTCTAAAATTTCCGTAACATATACAAATATCATTATCTTTATATCATACAAAGTTAATTTAATCTTTTTACTGCATCTGATTTCTAAACTTCGTACAAAAAAAAAACAAAATACATAAATATGAGACAGAAGAAGTATATTTAGGGGATGGTTAAAATCAACATAATATTGATTTTTCATAGTAGCACACGTCATATATGCAAACAACCCACATTAGTATTATACACAGCACATGCTATGTATAATAAATGTATGTGTTGTTTTTTTAATAATAACAAGTGTGTTATATACAAGTATGTCATATGTTAAAATCAACTGTTGTGTGTATTGTATAAGATTATAACATGTGTTGTTAGCTTATGTGTTCTATTGATATTATAATATAACAAGGTATCCATTTGTCTTTTAGGTCATTGTACTTAACATTGAAAATATCTTTTTATTTATATAATTTTTTATACAAATGTCATTATTATATTAGTATTATAAGGCACAAATAGAAGTATTTTTGTCATTTTATCTTGATTTATAATACAATTTGATATAATAATTAATATTCAAAGATCAACACATAAAAAGTAAATGGATACCTTGTTATGGGACGGAGGGAGTAACATATACAATGTGTTGTCTGTAATACGGTGTGTTGTTTGTAGTAATATTGTATATTGTTGAGACTATATCATGTGTGTTTCATGTGTTGTATTTGTATTATATTAACATTTACAGTGTGTTATTTATAGTAATATCATGTATTGAATAATAGCACACGATGTGTTGTTCAGCACCGTGTTGTAACCGCCGCCTATATGTAAGGAAAGAGGGCGGGGCGCTGTGCATGTGTAATGAAATAATAATTTATTAGGGCAAAAATATTTATTATTATATACTTCATCTGTCTCATCTACCTTATTTATTTTTCTATTTTCGTTTGTCTCACTTATTCTATCATTTTTATTTTTTGGAAAAGTATTATACATTTTAATCTCATTTTAATTTTTTAATTTATTTTTTAAAATTTTAATTATATTAATTAGTTATCTTAATCTTAATTTAAAACTATTTTTATTAAATAATAATTATTTTCACTAATTCATTTTTTATTATTTATATGACAATTGACATTTTTATTTTTGTATAAATTTATTAAATAAAAATATAATTAGTAAATATAAATTAATTTAATTAATTAACAATAAATATTTTTATCTATGTTTAGAATTTCACATCTTTTATAAAATTAATTTATATTAATTATAAATAAATATATTATTTTATTTACTTTATAATGTAGAATACTCTCTCATTCCCGCCTCATTTCTTTTTTTTTTTACTCAAAATCTCTCTCTTTTTTTTTCCTATTCAATAAACAAATACTTTTATTTATATTTAAAATTTTTTATTTTTTATAAAATTAATTTAAGTTAAATATATATTTATTTATTCTATTATATCTACAATTTTATTATTTATAAAATAATATTTATATTACATATATTTTATTAAGATATAATATAAAAATATTTAAAATACCAACAATACTATTTATATAAAAAAATAAATAATATCATAACTTATTAATGTACACTACCTAAAAATATTCTAAAAAAATGATTCATATTTGCCGAGGCAAAGTATTTATTTTTTATATAATGATATTCATATGATATATTTTCTCTGTTTCTTAACAAGGTATTCATTTGTCGTTTACATAATTGTAATTAACATTAAAAATATTATTATATCGTATAATTCTTTTTACAAATATCATTATATTAGTGTTGTAAAATGTTTTTGCAATTTTTTTTATATATGTTTTGATATAATAATTAATATTTGAAAATCAATTTTGATATAATAATTAATATTTAAAGATTTAACACTTAAAAAATAAATGAATACTTAATTAAAGGGAATAATATTTTAAATATTTAAATACATGTTCTAATTTATTTAATTATATATATCAAATTTATTTTAAAACTATCAATATAATTAATTACAAAAAAAAAATAATAAAATAATATTATAATTTACTATTATTAATTAATTAAGCATCATTATTTTAAATACCATAAATTGATTATTTTTTATACTTGATATTTAATTTAATTATTTAATAGATTATTATTTTAATTATTTTTTATGCTGTATAACCTAATAAATTATTATTATTTATATTATTTGTATATAATTAATAAATATATGACACGACCCCATTCACACTATACTACTACGCCAATTCAACCTATTTGTAAAGGGTAAACATGCTATAATCCATCTTAATTACTTACATCTATAACAACATGTTCACCTGTTATAAATTTTTGTTTTCAGCAAAACATAACATAACTCAACAGTAACCTATTAATATTTACCAAAATGATCTCAAACCATATCAACAACTACACAATCGACATACTATTTATAACAATACCATACAACTTCTAAAACATACGTAATATAGCACAACGAAAGCAAAACAAGCCACGGTCATGCCCGCAGGTCGTCATCTATGTACACGGTAACTCAAAATGCCTGTAAGAGCGCCATGGCTACTCCAGTCTGTCCACCAAGTCATATATCATCAGGATTACCTACAATGCATAAACTGAGTGAGATTTATAAATCTCCGTAATTAGAAATTATGCATAATGTGAAGTTTATCTCAAAATTCTCACTATGCAGAATGTGCTCTCGTTTGAAATCACCAATTTATTTATGAAATACTTTCCAGGGCCCCTAGACACACTGTTATACACCGGAAGAGCTCAATATCCATATATTCAAATCAAACGGTGGCCTACACCAGGTAGCCTACACCGGGTTTCCTCGTAAGGTTTCCCCGGGTAGCTTCTTCCCAGGTCGCCTCTTCCGAATGCATTGTTTAAGCATTGTATGCAAAGTCACAATAGACGGTGGCCTACACCAGGTAGCCTACACCAGGTTTCCCCAGGTCGCTTCTTCCCAGGTCGTCTCTCCCGCCCTCGGTGTATAATCAGCGGTCAAACATAGTAAAACCATCTTATTTCATTTCAATGCATGATATGCATGTTTAATGAAAATGCAATGCAACATATTTCACAATATACAGATATTATTGAACTCGTTGGTTCAAACCACATCAATTTTGGAGCTCACAGACTCCTTCAACATCAAATGTAGAGTTAGGCTCGACCAGACCACATACAGAGCTCACATACTGAAACCAATTTGTATACGGAGCTCACAGGCTCAAACCACACAATCACATAATATTAATCACAGCTTTCTGATATTCACATATTATCAAACGAACATAAATAACTTACAAAATAATATATTTATGCATTGTAGTTGCAAATGAGTTTCTACTTACCTGAAATTCACCAAAAACGTCAATAATCCTAACTCTTAAAGCCTTTTTCCCGATTTCAGTATTGTACCTAAAAATAATTAATTACAAATATTACCCCAATTTACTAAATAATTATTTCTACTCAAAACTTCCTCTATTTAGTAAAATAGTTATAATTCGTGAACACGAAAAATACCTGAACTAGGCTTTTAACGAATTCGATGTAAAAGTTTTTTTTTTTTTTCTTTTCTTCTTCGCATTTCCTTTCCTCTGCCTTCCTTCTTCTGCAATGATATGAATAAGATGGGGGTTTGGGGATTATTACCCCCACCGCCTTAATTTTATATTATTATTATTATTATTAATATTATTATCATTATTATTAGTATTAGTATTAGTATTCATATTTATTATTATATTTATTTTATTTTTATTTAATTATTATAATTAATTTTCAAAGTGATCTATATTTAACTTACACCATTAGTATCCAAATAATTTACCCAACTTATTTGTATCCTACTAGAATCTCATATACAACACCTAAAATATAAAATATATATTGGCCAATGAGTAGTGAGAAACTCGGGTATCACATTATATATTCAAATAAAATTAAAATTAATTGCTTTTGAATAAAATTTAAATTTTTAGAAATAGAAAATATATTTAAATAAATGAATATAAATTAACAGTACAAGTTTAAACTAATAGTCTCTAAACCTAACCCGTCAATGATTCAAAAGATTTAATTTGAATTTCACATTTTGGTAAACAAAACATACAGTTCAAATTGTTTGGACAAGTATAACTTATGTTCATAAAATGTACTCTATTATTTTCTTAAATTTTTTTATTGTCTTCGTTAAATTTATATACAATTTATTCATATTATATTAAATAATTTTATTCATTTGAATTATATTTCATTTTTAACTTCATCAAAAAATTCTCATACCTAGGAATTAAATGTGAAACTTAAAAAATGTAAATTCTTTTTTTTTTTAAAAAAAAAAATCGATATAAAATTTAAATTTTAAATCTCAATATTATGGACAAATAAAAAAAATGATTATCAATTGATATAGGTTTGAGAGCATTACTGAGATAGAAATCTCATAAATATATTAAAATCAAGAAATTATATATTTATTTTAAATAAAATAAAATAATAGAAAGTAAATTCTGTTTAAATGAGCTTTGATTTTGGAAATCTATTTGGGCTGGCTTGAAGTAGAGTTAGGTAAAGGCTAATGGGCTTACAAATGTCTTTTTAGTTTGTTTGCTAAACTTTTGTCTGTTTATTTATTTCTAATTTTATTAATTTTATGTTAATAAATGATAACATTTTTTAATAAAAAAATGAATAATAAAAATTATATTTTATTTTTATAATAATAAAAAATTATTATTTTTCTATTTGAAAAACGAAAATATTTTTTCTTTAATGATAACAAAAAATAAAATAAAATTTAAATGACATTATTTTTTTTCATTTATTCTATTATTTTTTATTCATTAATAATTTTTTTTGTAGTATTCTTATTTTACTTATACATATCACTTTAATAGCATAATATTACTATTTTTTCATTGATGTAACAGCCAAAATTATATATTTCTTCCGTCCATGTTCAGTTAAAAAAGTATACATATTTTTATTTTGAGAAGTCTAATTAAAAAGTAAATATTTTATTAAATACTTTACTTTTTTTCACAAATATCCTTATTTTACATCACATCATTACTTTTACACCAGAAAGAACAATAACAAAAATATTATTACACTACTTTTAACTACCAATTATAATTAAAATACTATTATTTCTTAAACATACCGCCAAATAATTACTTTCTATGTAGACGGATGAAGTATAATTTATACTCTATTCGAGTAAATTTTTCATTTGTCATTTTAAAATTTGTTTTTATATCATTCAAACTCAAATTTCTACCCGTCTACACTTTAGATTTTAGAATTATATATATTTTCTCACAAAATATCTCATATATACTATCTCCCTTCCCCGTTTGTTAATTATAATGACACAAAAAATAAATGAGATCCAATACTGAAAAAGTATTATTTTTATATAAACTAAAATCAAAATTTTTCAAACAGACAATATAATTATGGTGTATATTTTATTTTGTTTTATTCTTTTAACAAATTATGTGTTGACAGATATTGTAAAAAGAGAAAAAAATCAATTTGGTCAAATTTATCAGTTTCAATATAAAAAATTTTAGTTTATTTTATAAACAATTTCAATCAATTTTAATTTTATTATAAATAATTTTAATTAATTTTGATCTCACCATTAAAAAATTTAACGGAATTGTTGACGTGGACATAACAGAGGTGATTGTGCAGCTGACCTGGAAATTACACACGACCATGTATAATTATACACCACCATGTTGTTACACTAACCTCCGCTATGTCCACACCGGCAATTTTCATTAACTTTTTAACAGTGAGACCAAAATTGATTGAAATTGTTTATAATAAGTTGATTGAAATAATTTATAATTGGACTAAAATTGATAAATTTTTTAATTATGACCAAAATTAATAAATTTTAATTAAATTAGACCAAAATTTTAATAAAAATAATAAACAGCGGTTTTTTCCCATTAGCTGAAGCAGCAGAGCAGAGCAGAGGTTCATTACAAGGAATCCAAGAATAGAGAGACAGGAAAACGATAATCAGGAAGCTCGCGATTCTCCCAATGCATCGTGCCTGCGCCTAATCTACATTACTCTCCAGAAAAGAAAGAGTCGGACAACACTGTGTGTGTATACAAGAATTGGATGGACATCAGTCAGAATCGTATTATCTATTAATTGTTGAGGCATTGGAAGCAAGCAAACCCCAACTCCCCCCAAAGATTCTCTTATCTAATACTTCACGCTTCCGCAACATTAGGTTCTTCTTCTTCGCGTCAGTGTGTTGTGAGGAAACATCCATGGATGATCAGGTGGTGCAGCGGGTATTCCAAGAAGGGGGCCGTGATTTCTACCAGCAGGAGCCTTCAACTTCTTCGTCTTATTCGTCCATTCTCCAGTCTCTGCCGCTGCACGTGGTATGCGATTTGATTTTTGTTTCTATTATGTTTCAATTAATTGGATTGGAATTGCCCCTTTTTCAAAGTGGGGGGATTTGTAGGGATTGAAGATGAATTGGAAAATTGAACTTCAAAGTTTCAAATCCATATGGCTTAAAATGATTGCTAATCGTGAGAATGCTTGCTTTGATGTCAATTAATTACACAAGCAGCTGCCCAGATTCTATATCGATTGTTTATTTGATCTTCTCAATATATGTTAGAAGGTTGAATCTAGAGGTTTCGATATGAGCAGTTCAAAGCTTTCAGATTCTTAAGAATGATGGTTTTTACATTTTGCAGTCTTTTGATCGTGGATACTACTTGCTGGTGAAATCTATTCAAGAACTTAGGTCCAAGAAAGAGCGTGTGGTTACAGTTGGAATTGGAGGTCCTAGTGGATCAGGAAAATCGAGGTCTGTCTTTTTCTACTTACTATCAGTTTGTGGGGGGCAATACATTGTAGATTTGGATTTTTAGATTTTTAAAAGAAGATTTTATTAACATCATTTACTGTGTTTTTTTAATTCTTTCTTGAAGCTTAGCTGAAAAGGTAGCCTCTGTAATTGGTTGCAATGTTATATCAATGGAGAACTATCGCACTGGAGTTGATGATGGGCATGATTTGGATTCTATAAATTTTGATCTTCTAATGCAGAATCTTGAGGTAAGTGTTCTCATTCAATTGCATTATCATGTTCTTTAGAGAAAAGTTATTTCCGTTTGGATATGACACCTATAAGATATCTTTGTTATTGAATAAAAGAAGATAGAATGCAAATTAATGCATTGCTTGAATGATTTTGGTTTAAGTAGTTGATGTTTGAATGCTTATCGATCAACTCTCGTTATACAAACTGTTTCAAAGTGTCAGTGAGGTGTTTTAGTTGCATGTCTTTGGGTGAGATTCCACTTTTCATTTTTTAGTTATTTTAAGTATAATACAACGTCCGCTATTTATCTATCCATTTTGTCATTTTTTTGTAATTGTACTTCCCACTTAAATAAAAAATACCACTATACTATACATAACATTACAAAGAAGGCTATCAAAAAGCAATTGTGTTTAGAGGTAAAAAAGACTTTTTATCCTACTATTGTACTATTTACCTATAAAATATTAATATTCTAAAATTTATCTACAAAAAGCAAATAGATAAATACATAATGGAAGGAGGGAATACAATTTTACTAATCTACCGGTTATGTAACAATTAGTGTTTGTAGACAAAGGAAATGAAAGTAATTTAAATGTAAGTGTATAGAGTAGCAAAGTAACATAAACAAAAAACCTCAATCATTTTTAGATGTAGAGCATAAACAAACAGCTTAATACACTCAGATCTAGGAAAAACAATTTACTGAGTGAGAAATGCACGCATAATGTGTGTAGATTAATTCAAGCACACCTTTAGCGTTGCCAAGAAATATGCCTCACGAAGTTCCCTAGTCTTTGCAACCCCATGCTGAGATGTTTACGTTCTTAAAAAAGACATCGTAAAATTTTATTGGTGTTTGTATTTAGCATGATTGCAAAGCAAAATGAGCTGTTTAACATGTACTCTGTTGAGATGTATGATATAGATCATAATGTCTGCAATTTTTATGCTGCAATAGGACTTGATAAGTGGCAGGGAGACATCAATTCCAGTGTTCGATTTTCAAGAAAGAAAACGCGTTGGTACAAATGCTGTAAAAATCATTTCATCTGGGGTGGTAAGTCTCCTGATTATTGTTATACATTTCTCATCGGGTTTCGTAGTCTAATTCTACACGTTCCTGTTGTAGGTTATTGTTGATGGTATTTACGCCCTGCATGCAAAGCTACGTTCTTTGCTGGATATAAGAGTTGCAGTGGTAAGTTTGTATTTTGCATCAATTTAGCATGTATAACATGTCCCAACCCTAATTATGTTCTGCCATAATACTTTCAAATTTGGTGAGAATAAATACTTCAACGGGTCTGATTAATCTTTGTTTCTATGGTGAATTAGGTTGGTGGTGTTCACTTTAGTTTACTTTCCAAAGTTCAATATGACATAGGAGAGTCTTGTTCGCTGGACTACCTCATTGACAGCATTTTTCCACTCTTCAGAAAGCATATTGAGCCTGATCTTCATCATGCTCAGGTTGGCATTCAGTATCCCATACGCTTAATATTTTATGATTGTATTATTCTCATCCTTGAATGTTTTGCATTTGTAGATCAGAATTAACAACAGTTTCGTTTCGTCATTTAGAGAGGCAATTTACAAGCTCAAATGTAAAAGCGAGGTATGTTAGCATTGATTGTTTGAGTGAGAATGTCCTTGATTTGAATTGTTATCTTGGTAAACTCTTCTGTAACTGTTAATTGATCCCACGTTCGGAACCTTCTTAATTTTGAATTCATTGTCTGCCAGTCTCACAGTGGACGGGCTGCCTACATTTTTCATGGAAAGGATACACAAATAGACAAGTAAGCTGTTTGATCTGTGGAATTTTACTGCTTTAGATGTCCATGAAGATGGTCAATTGCCATTTTATTTGTCATTTTGTTTCTGTTAGAAGAATCTGAGCTTGTGGATTTTTGCTTCAAGTTTTATTGAGATGTATTTGAGACCACCTTCTGCGAGTGAAGAAGCACGAATAAATGATTGGATCAAGGTGCGGCAATCTGGTATTAAATACTACCTTTCGCTGGGTGATCAAAGGCTTGTTGACAAATATTTCATCATCCGTCCGAAGGCAGAATTTGAGGTAATTTCCCTCTTCCTTGTGATTGCTCTTACCTTATACAGGAAGCATATCCTTTGAATACTTTTGACTGAAAAGCAACCATTCTGCTCTCACCACAGAGCTGTGTTTTTTTAAGCTTGAATACCTAAGAATAGATCTGTTTTCCGATGTGTGGGGCAGAGTGGAGAACATATTTTGAAGATGCTCATTAGAAATTAAAGTTTAAATGCCATTGCAACTTAGCTTCAAAACTTGGGAGATATACATCACAATATTACACATGGATGTTCATTATATGCACCATAGCCCTGTTGTTATTCTTTTCACTCAACAGACCAAAAAAAAAAAATTCTAGTCCAGTCGTGGATGGCATCCCCTTTCCTGCCATTGATCACTGCACCTATGTTTTATATTTCTACTGATGTTTGATGGGCTGGAAAGAAAGTAAAACAAGAAGTAGTTGCGTATACTACATGACTATCTGTGATGAGTTGCATTTTTTATATCGTGTTGTTTTCATTTAAAGAGATTAAACCAAGGACCATGACAAGGGTGTGAGATCCTTGTTAACCTATTGCATATTGGTCTGGATAATCCACAGTATAGTAAGTTATAAAATCATAGTGCTCAACAATGCAAAATCGACTTGCTGCACTTACATTGTAATATATGATAGCTAATTACTTTTGTCTGGCATTGACAACCACTATCAAAACTCAATAAAACCTTCTGTAGCAGATGCTGTAATATATGTTTAACTTCTTGTGGGACAGCAATTTGGAATTTATTGATGCAACTATGATTAAATTAGATGTGCGATGATTCTTATTCATACTTCTCTTGTTAATTGTTATTTTGCAAACTTGTATTTTTGTTGTAATGAACAAATGGACATAGATACATGCTTAGTATTTTGAAATTACATTTATGAATTGTATGAAGAAGTTTGAATTCTTGAAGTTGTAAACTAGTTTCACTGTTTATTCTTCATTTTTTCCTGATATAAGCAGGAAAAGGTGTTTAATGTTATGTTTTTCACTATTTTGAAAATTTCTCACTTGTAAAAAGTTCGAGTTGCATATTTCATATTCTTATTGCATACTTCTTTCATATTACCGTTTCAAATTTTCATGTACTTTAGTGGAGCTTATTCAATGTCCCCTGGAGGAACTTTCATATTTCCAGGTTTATTGCCAAGTGAACAATTCAAGAACATTATATTGCCTCAAATCTTCAATTACTAAATCTATAAAAATGTCTTATGCTTTCAAATGATGAATTGAACCATTTAATTTGTTTAACTTGCATTCCTTGTGGTTACTGATACTTCCATTTCTTGCCTCTGAGTGTTACTCACTCTGCTAGTGTTGTTTTACAAACTGCTAGTGTTTCTGTTTTACCGACTTTCTGTATAGAACATTATCTCCAAATTTTAAATTGTAAGCCCATTGCATTTAACTCCCAACAATTTATTAAACTGTAGAGTTTGTGATGGATATGGTTATATGCACTATTTAAAAGTTGTATTACTATATCAGGTTGGCCGGATGACTCTTGGGGGTTTGCTAGCCTTGGGATATACAGTGGTTGTTAGCTATAAAAGAGCATCAACTACAGTCACAGATGGCAATCTTTCAGTGTCGTTGGAAACAATTGATGCTCTTGGAGAAACCTATTTGGTGTTCAGAGGCACCAATAGAAAAGTATTCTCTTTTCTCTTTGCAATCTAATGGATTCTGAATTTTGCAATTGAACAAGAATTGTGTTTTTTATTATGTTTGCCAGTTTCTTTTATTCTTAGTCATGCCTGTGATAATGTTTTTAGCTGTAATCCCACTGTCTAGAGTCATTTAGATAGATGGAGTGTTGTCAGTGCATTCAATCAAGCATATTCTCCCCTATAGACTTAAATATAGCATTCATCCTTAGTAATTATAGTTTACGTCAGGTTCTATTGCCTTTCATCACACGAAATCCACTTTTTGTTATGCCTTTCATGGTTTTAACTGTGGCATAATACATAGCAGAGCCTTGATTTAATAGTGAGGGCTAGTATTGACTTGAGCTTATATTTGATTTGGTTAATCCCTTGTGCAGATAGTTGGGACTGAATCATCAAGGCTGGGCATCAATGGGCCATGGATTACAAAATCGTATCTCGAGATGATCCTTGAGAGACAAGGTTTGAACCTCAATTTGTAAACACACACACTCAGTGCAACAAGATTTCCATTTTTAGGTGCTAATTCATCTACACGAGTTTCTGTTTTTATAGTTATATTAATCATCAGTTACACCACACTTAAATCTGATTTGACATTGGCAATATTTCTAATTGGTCAATACAACTTTTAGGGGTTCCACGGCTTAATACACCACCACCGGTGTTACAAGCATCTCCTGTTGCAACTCAAGAAAGGTTGGTTTCAGCCCCAAAGCCACTCCGCATAACTCCAAACCTGGTCAATCGGTTTGAGGATTTATCTCTGCCATGGACTCGATCACCTACAAAATCTAAGATGGAACCTTTCATGGCAACATGGCATTTTATCTCTTCAGATCCTGTCACATCTGAAGGATCTCTCAGTGGTATGTTTTTATGCCATAAGTAACAACATTTACCGAGTATTTTCTGAATGAAGTCATCTGCATCAAAATTTACTTGATGAACTAGATTATATTTGTGAATTTGGCTTTTTATATCTTTGTCCTCTAGATAGATTCTTCTCATAAAACAACCACAGGTCCTCCCTCTTCCAAGGACAACCTACGACTTGCTCCAATGCCCGACTCATACGACTTGGATAGAGGGCTGCTTCTTGCTGTACAAGCTATACAAGTATTCTATTACTACTACAGATGGGATCTTTTTACTTTTTGAACTAATGGTGTTTTAATCAACCTGCCAAAATTTTCATGAACATGAAATCAAATGTGCGTTAACTGTTGCAGGCATTGCTGGAGAATAAGGGCCTACCAGTTATAGTCGGAATTGGTAAGATGGACCCATGTCATATGCATGTATAAAATCTTTGGTGCAGTTAATACTAAAAGCAGCTTGCATCTACTGAAGTGTGTTGGTGAAAAGTGTTTACTTGTCCCCTTAAGATCTTCTGAAGATCATCAGGGGAGAGAGTGTAGCTTTTGGAATAAAAATTGCTAATCTTACTTGAAAAAATGATGTGATAAGCTATTTAGAGGCATGACAAATCAAGTATATCTCAAGTTTATATATTGATGTATTTCAGATAAGATTACTGCAGAATTTGGTGATTGAACAAATAATGACAAGTGATTCAGTTGTTTCATAATGCTGTAGTAAAGTATTACTATTTTGCATTAGCTTTCAGTCTGAGTATAAACCAGAAATATGATGACAAGAGGTGCAGACATCTGATATAGATACAGTAGAACTGATAGATTGACCTTATAAATAATCTAAATGTTGGGGCAAGGTTGGGGTGAGGTATAGTGCTTTCTTTGACCCCAACTGAGAATGTAAAGTTAGGCTTGTTAGCATAATTCTTTCTTGGTTTATCATACACTACTTACAGTTTTTGCTGTTGGGTCTGAACTTAATTGTCTGGTTTTTAAAAACCAACTGGCTTCTCTAAACTATTTCTTGTGTTCTTATCTGATAGCCTTTCATATGCTGTGAAAACTTGAACTATGCATATGGAATCTGACTCTTTAAGTTTCTTATATTACTTCATTTTCTGCTTAATCTTGTTGTAGGAGGTCCAAGTGGGTCGGGGAAAACGAGCTTGGCCCGTAAAATGGCAAATATTGTTGGTTGTGAAGTTATCTCGCTTGAAAGCTATTATAAATCTGAACAAATGAAGGATTTTAAGTACGATGACTTCAGTTCTCTTGATCTGGCTTTACTGTCAAAAGTACGCATTTATTTTCCCTTCCTTTATGTATTCTATATTATTAAAGAAATGAATTTTATTTACTTATGCTTTTTTCCCTCGTGGTTTGTAATCTAGAAATAGATGCATGACTTATTTGAGTCTTGTATGCGACTCTGATCTCCACAGGCATAATACAACAAACCTATCACATTTTGCAGTTTGATGTTTTGTATTCGTGGTTTTAAGTGGTTAAGCATCATTGAATCTCTCATCTATATATAGAAGATTTGATAATGAATGTAACATGGTTAGTTATGATAACTTGTAGTAAGGTGAAATGTTTTAGTGACAGCTCAGAAGTGTTTTTTTTTTTTTTTTTGTTTTTGACTGGATGCCTATTTATTTCCATCTACATATATATATATATATATATATATATATTTTTAAATTCAGCTAATTGTTTCCCTGGCCCTTTTCACGAAATACGAACACAAAAAACCCATGAAATTTTCTAGAAAAAACGAATTGTTTGATCAAGTCTTCTTGTTATGATGGTATATAGAATTTTCCATTTGGTTTTTGGTTTTTGGATCTTTCCTTTTGACAATGTGTTTATGATCCATGGTGAGAACCATTATAAACTTATATTTTGTAGATAAACATCTATGTTGATGATGTTAAGTTCTACGATCCCCCGGCTTGTAAAACTATTGAATTATGTGTTCTGTTGCAGAACATTGATGACATAAGAAACTGCTATAGAACAAAAGTACCTGTATTCGATCTGGAGACAGGTGCTCGCAGTGGTTTCAAAGAGCTTGAAGTTTCCGAAGATTGTGGTGTGGTATGATAAATAATTTTTGTTCTTTAAATATTGTGTCGGCGGATCCATTCGTTTACTTTTCTTGTTTAGCATAATAACAAAGGTATAATTGTTCATAATTCTCCCGTGGTTTCAAAATTCAATGTAAAATCTCCCCATACTTAAAAATTGTATGACGTTCCTTTTATACTATAAAAAACGTTGGATAAAACCCTACGACCATAAAACCTCCCTTGTGTGATAAGAAGATGATTTAATATCTATATTTTTTGCATGACGGGGGTTTCATGCAACATTTTTTAAAGTACAAGCGAGCACCGTACAATTTTTAAAGTAAAGTGAAAATTTACTGAATTTTGAAACCCCAAGGGAGTTTTGAACAATTTTGCCTAATAACAAAAGTTATTAAGATAACTAGTGTAGGAAGTGATAATATTCGAAGGTTTGTATATATTGATGTTATTTGAGTAAATGATCATTCATTAATGTTAAACCATTCTTATTTATTTCATCATATATGGTCTAAAGAGGATGACGATTCTTTTTCTCAAAGGTAATCTTTGAAGGCGTTTATGCGTTGCATCCTGACATCCGGAAGTCTCTGGACTTATGGATTGCTGTTGTAAGTAATGATAAACACAATCCTACTTTAGTTTCATATGATCAGTTCGAAAGTAGTTTTCATGTTCTGAAATAGGTTGGAGGGGTCCATTCACATCTCATATCCCGGGTTCAAAGAGACAAAAGCAGAGTCGGGTGTTTCATGTCCCAAAATGAAGTTATGATGACAGTGTTTCCAATGTTCCAACAACACATCGAACCCCATCTTGTCGAAGCCCATGTAAGTCTTCCATTTGTGTTTCGGATAACACCATTTTAGTTGTTCTTAGATTTTGACTCGGGACATTCACTACGACGCAGCTGAAAATCAGAAACGACTTCGACCCTGTTCTCTCGCCTGAAAGCTCATTGTTTGTGCTCAAGAGTAATAACCATGTAAGCTCTCTTCCCTTCCCCTCCTCAAACATCTGATTATTTTCATTTCATTTGTCGCCGCCTACCCACAGGTTGCATACCAAGACATTCTGAAAATTCTTGATCCTGCTAAGATCTGTAGCTCTGTTCAAAGTTTCATCGACATATACCTTAGGCTATCGGGAATGACAGCTAATGGACCACTAACCGAAAGCGATTGCATAAGAGTTAGAATATGCGAAGGTAGATTCGCACTGCTGATCCGAGAGGTTTGTTTTCAGATTGAAGATTTGTCTCTTCTCTTGTAATTTCATCTCCATTTCGTTTCGACCGTATTGATGCTGCTTATTTGTGCATCTCTTTCCCTAAAGCCTATCAGAGAAGGAGACTTTATAATTCAACCGAAAGTAGATTTCGATATCAGCATCAGCACAGTTGCCGGCCTTCTTAATCTCGGGTATGTTCATACCTTTTCTAAGCTCCCTTCCCTTTGTGTTGATCTTTTCATTGTATTGTTATGATTTCAGGTATCAACCGGTGGCATATGTCGAAGCATCTGCCTATATTTACCAAGACGGAAAGGTCTTTCGATATCCTATATTATGAAATTATTGAATCCTAATATCCCTAATCTTACAACCGTGACATCTACATCTAAGGAGCTTCGACACTGATAAATATCGCGCCGTTTCTCTTTTCCTTTTTCAGATTCTTATTGAGATTGATCACTTACAAGATGTCCCGAATGCATACCTTCAAATTAAGGGTGTCAACAAAGAAACAGTTGTAGCTGCCGGTTCTACTCTACAGCTGGATGGTTCCTACACCACAAAGGTCTTGCGCAACATAATTTCTGCTTTTACAACGATACACTAAACCAAAAATAGTATTCTAACCTTGTTTTCATAATTTAAGCTAGCAATCTAACCAAATTCGTCTTTTATCAGAGCTATCTTGAGATAATTCAGGAGAACTTACCGGAAGCCGGGAGGAGTTCAAGTGGGATTCATTCTCAGCAAGCTGCTCGACTGCAAGAACTCGTCGAATACATACAATCACAGGGTAGCAGTTCAGTTTCAGAATCATCTCCAAGTCGAGAAGCTTCTCAGCTGGAAGGCGTAATCGAAGAGATGCAGATGAAGATCAGACGACTCGAAAGATGGCATGCCATTAACACTGTATTCCCACCACCTGCTGCATAATTTTTTTCCCTTTTTCATATCCATTATATGCCATCTGATCTGTAGTAGAGACTCATCCAACCTACATCCCTTGCTGCAGGTTCTTTGGACATTTTTAATGTCGGCATTTGTTGGATATTCGCTCTACCAGAGAAGGCGCCAATAACTCAAACCGACCAACAGACAAATCGTTGGGAATCGGCGTATCTTTGAGATTTTATTTCCAAATGTAAACCACAGATGCTTCTAAACCTCACAAACACACACCTATCTGGACAAAGCATTGAGTAATATGATAATAAACTCATGTAGGATAGAATTCTACTTGTCCGAACACTTGAAGCTAATTGTCACATTTTGATCATTTTATACTTAAAGAAAAAATCACAGTATACAAGAGAATTAAAAGCGTATGTCGTAAATCGTATTTATACATTCTTTAATGAGCATGTATCAACCTTAATCAAAAAAGTATTTCTAGAGCAAGAGATGTGTTGTAACCTGCAGATATGGCAACACAATAGCATTTGTGAAGATCAAAGCTTCAGGGGCAAGAGTTCTTTGGTTTTAGCGTAATAAGAAGCTATGGCAAGTAGAATGATGAGGAGAATAACCCACAGGTTTGTTCCTGCAAAAAATTAGATGAAGTGACAACGAAGTTCTCAAGACACCTACCATACCGAAATGTAAAATAAAATCTGCCGCAAAATGAACATGCCCGTGTTCAAACAGACCCTAATTCATTAAGTACTAAATTGCTGTCAAAAAATTTGATTAATTTAAATCCAGCCAATGTGTCAAGTTCCTTATTCAGCCTTCCTCATCAGGAATATTTACAGTTACTAATTTACTATGTTGCTAAAAAGAATGAAAAACAATGTGGAAAGTGTATTCATGCTAAATTGCTGTCAAAAAATTTAATTCATTTAAATCCAGCCAATGTGTGAAGTTTCTTATTCAGCCTTCCTTACCAGGGTTATTTATAGTTACTAATTAAGTGGTTGCTGAAAAGAATGAAGAACAATGGGAAAGTGTAGACAATGCTTGTTTGCAACTATAATTTTGTGGCATGAATAAGAAGAGTACATACCTCCTTGCTTCTTATCCTTGATCAACGTCACCCTAGCACTGGAATCCAAGGAAGCCGACAGCAAGGCCCTGCCCAAAAGGCATTGAATATATTTAGGCGTGAAAGAGGCGCTCATACAATGTAAATAAAATGGATAAGACTTCGCAACCTTGAATCTGGTGAAAATGCTAACGCTGTTACGAGGCCCAGATGCGCTTTCTTGACAACAGTGTGCACCCGCATGCCAGCAGAGCGTATAATAAAGACATCCCCTTGAATTGTCCCGCTGCAAAGTAAGAGGTTTAAATCGTGAAGGTAGCTTACTTTAAATCATTTTATTGGAAAATAGGGAAGATATCATCTTACTAGGCAAGCAAGCGCCACAATAAGTGATGATATACCTTCGAAGAAGAATAAAAGAATGCCATAAAAGAAGAAGCAAATAGTTGTGATATTCTTACATCGCAAGGAGCTTTCCGTCAGGGGACACATTAAAAGCAGAAATGGGATCTCTGACAATGTGACTTGAACTTATCCTTCTCCAGGTATTAGTGTTCCACTTCACAATACTGCCACCTTTATCTATAAATGATGGGCAGAATCGGTAAGTACTGTTACTGAAGCATCCCCTTTGTAATAAAAACAAACATGTAACATACCAACCTCTCATCGCTGTCGTGTACAGAATCTGATCTGTATCAGCAGCTCGTGAGAATCGACAGAAGCCAAAAATCTCATCCTGGAAGAGGTTAGAAAAATTTAGTCGGTGATTGGCATGGTATGATAACTTATTCACTAGACAATGAAAAATCATTAATAGATTTATTCTACAAATGAACTGATGACTTCATATCCAACATATATGATAAGAAATAAGACGAAAAAATAAAAGAACACCAAATTTTTTAACAACTTATCCATGAGCTAAAAATGTTCTCAGAAGCGACAAGAAGATGAAGAAAAGCAAATGGTTTCAGGCTTCGTTCGCATATTAAAATCCAGTAAAACGGTACTAAGCCCCCAACACCTTCAGACTTCAAAAGGAAATTATACATTTTCCTTAGGTAGAGTTGCCAAAGATGCTGAAGTCGTAATATCCCAAATCCTTCCAGGGCCACTTCCCACAGAAACAAGAAACTTCCCGTCCGAGCTGAAAGTGAAAACCCAAGGGCATTAAGTGAAACTTGAACTAGCATAACAGGCTGCCTTATGTGAGTGTAGATGCAAATTTAAAGAGAACCTGAAATCTAAATCCTTCACAGAAGTATGAGCATTGTCCTCGTTGAGAATACATTCCATGATCGGCCACTTAAAAACCCTAAGCTTGCCATCCTGTACTGCAGCAATATGAGATAATCAAAAGAACATGTGTCGATTGCATAGTATGCATAAAGATGCATAAAGCGCAGCTAATAATTAACATTTCAAACTTTTAAACATGCAAACAACAAGGGATGCAAACCTCATTGAATCATGCTTTGAATGATTATTACCAGGATGCACCACAAAAGGTGGTTTGGGGTGGAGGGGTGGAATATAACTAAGTAACAAAGGGATTCACAACTACCTAAAATGAAAAACCAATATAGTGCTTCATTTTGAGTCACAATGGGAAGTATTCGCACAACAAAGGTTCAAGTTTTGCATTACTAAATGGCATTGTTGAAGTTTTGTAATTCTTTTACCTCACCACCAACAGCAAATAAGTTCCCCTCATCATTAAAAGTCGAAGACAATTGCTGCCCAACATCTTCCAATTGCACAAGGACTCTTTCCGATGGTATCAAACTCAAAGCAGGTTCATCCGTGTTTGTGCCAGAATCCCACTGAAACAACCTTCAGGAATACCCATGGATTTAAAATCAAGTAAGGAAAGTCCATGCAGTATATATTGTCATGTGAGGGAGATATACACACACACACATATATATATACAGTCCCTAATGGCTGCAAAGCAACACTAAATTTTGAGCACACAGAAATATAATCATATAAGACATCTTTGGGATTAATTACACTATTAGTTAATCACATAATTTGTGGACAGAAGCATAGACCAACAGTGCTAAACCCCAAATCCGAAGCAGTGCTTATCTTAACACATGATCCATCAAACTAAGAATAGAAATTCGCTCAAAAGAATCACAAGAAACATCCTTGACAAAGAAGACCATCCTAGCAAGATCGCTCACGACAACAAAAGGAGGTGAAGTATAAACAAAATGTACGAATCTGATCATATCTTCATAATTCTAACTTCTATAATGATAGAGTTAATACCTCCAGGCTATGGAAAACTCGTGAGCTGAAACACTAGATCATATCAATTCACTATTAGGATAACCAGCGATGAGTGTACCTGCAACTCTTGGGAAATGAACAAACAATGCCTTCTGATCCAGGATGTACGGCAATTCTGTATGGCAGATCACTGGCAGTTCCAAGTTTTGCTACCTTTATTGTGGAAAAATCACAACATTGTAAATAACCACAAAATGGAAGGGAGAATGATAATCCTCAACATTAGTTCAAAAAATACAACAATACATAGATATCGCTTTGAAGAAGAGTTGTACAAACAATTTCCAACAAAAATTCCCTCAATTCTCTTATAATTGCAACGCTGAAAACTCGCAGGCAATTCTATAAAACAACACCGACATTCTTCCTTCAACTCGATCAGATCAGAATGCATAAAAATAACCACACAATTACTCGAAAACACGAATCAATCTCGAATCTATGGCAAGTATACCAAAACTAATTGAGAAGAGGATACGTCAAATCATGAGTGTCAGTGTTCGTGGATCAAAGCTCACCGGCGGATTAGAGAGGGAATTGGATTCCAAATCGAAGGCCGTGACAAGGAAAGCATTCGGTATTCCACTGGAACCCTCGCCACCGCCGCCGGCGAGGACAACATGGCGAATAGCCGCGGGAGATTCCGATTTGTCTTCTTTCACGGCGGCGGAGGGCGGAACCCACGCCGCGCCATAGAAGGGGACGCCGTATTTCTGGCAGCTCAATTCGTCGTCGTTTTGCCTCACCATTCTTGTCTTCCTCCGCGCAGAACTGTAGCGTGATTTTGCTTGTCAGACTGATTTCGCCGGAGGAACTGGCTGGTTATTTATACTCGACCCAATTGCATCATTCAAATCGGGTCACACCCGAATCACCTATTCAAATACCTGGAACTCAATTTTTGTTCTTTCTTAATTATGATTTGTGAAGCTAATTTGGCTTTACTTATAATTTACTAACCACTCCTTAATTGCTTAAATTTAACTAAGGGTGTGTTTGTTTAGGTGATTTAGTTTTTCTGCTATTAAATTTTTTTTTTTCTTAAAATTATAATATCAAATACTTATTTTAATTTTTTAATGACGTAGAACCGGAACTACTATTTTTGGAATGTAATATACAATGCTAATTATAATTGAAAACAATCACAACTTATATGTATAATTATAAAATATATGTTGTGGTTGATTTGAGGTTTATTTTTTATTATTTTTCTATATATTTACCTCGTAGGATATTTTCGTAATAGTTATGGTTCTCGTGTAATATATATATATATATATATATAAAATAAAAAATATCTTGTAAGAAAAAAAAATAATTTGGCCAATGATGATAGAGACGTATTATTTAATTTAATGTTTTTAAAAAATTTAATAAACAAACACACCCTAACTTACTATTATTGAAATAAAATAATATTTGAATCCAATATTTTTTTCGATAAATTAAAGTTAAATATATATAATATAGATTTTATTTAATAAGCATCTTCATTTTAAAAAACAAAAGTGTCTTATCACATTTACTGGAAAAATACAAAACGGAGGGAGTATTATAGTAAGTACTTATCAATAAAAGAAATAAAAAGTGCAGCGTGGTCGGCAGGATTCGAACCTGCGCGGGCAGAGCCCACATGATTTCTAGTCATGCCCGATAACCACTCCGGCACGACCACCTTCTTGCACTTTTTGTCCGATATTAAAAATAAATACAAACTGTACAAACATTTTAATATTAATATTAAACTGATAATTTCAATATACCAAAAATATCAAAATTCGGTAATATACTGAAAAAACTTTAAATAACAAAAACAAAAATACACCCAAAATGACATAAAACAACAAAAAAAATTACTAGTCATACATATAATTTATATACGTATCATATCGTACCAACAATTAGAGTATATATATATATATATCCGGCCGAACATCCAGCAAACCAAGCTCGACCGAAAAGTCACACTAGATGAATCATGTGGCAGGTGACCTGAGGCGTCGGGTCGGGGATTTGAACCCATGACCTCACGGTCACACATCCAACCCCTACACCACCCAGGTCGCCCCTTACGGGACAACAATTAGAGTATAGATACAGTAACAAATTAACAATGATATATCATATCACACCAACAATTAGAGTATACCAAAAATCTCATATCTTCAATAGTTTTTCAGCACCGTATTATTATTAACGATATACAAAGTTTTTGGTAATGTAATTAACCAGCCATATAATGCAATTGCAGAAAACAAATTACAGCAACACAAGGTGTATAGCATGTATAAATACAATATATGATGTCTGAAAACTTCATAGTGTCCGGAGATCGATCACACATGAACAAAATCAAGTTTACAATCAGCAATGCTTACCGGATTTTCGGATGTGGGGTATCAGCAAACCTCCATGAGACCTTGTAAAGGGCCTCACTCGTGCAAATTCCAGCAACTTCCCTCACAGGAGCTGCCTCGTCGATCTCTCTCAAGTCGTCGCTCGTCAGTTTCACACTCGCGGCATGAACGTTGTCTCGAAGATTTTTAATCTTAGTTGTTCCTGAAAACAAAAAAAAAAAGTAATCAGTTTGCTCACTCGGCAATTTTCAATGGAACAAATTTCGAGAAATATTATTAAAAAAATACAAATATACACACATTAATATAATATATACATTATTCATTCATAAAAAGTCGATTAGTCAATACAAAATATTATTTTTTATATTACCAATACAGTTATCCATATACCACACAAAAGAATCAATTCATCTAAAAGCGCTGAGTAACAGACCAGGAATCGGCACGACATCATCTCCTTGATGGAGAACCCAAGCAAGTGCTAGTTGAGCCGGAGTACAGCTGTGCTTCTTAGCCAATTCTTCTATATGAAAGTATATGGCTTTGTTCTTCTCCCAATTCTCCCCCGTAAACCTCGGGTGAGTGTTCTGGTGGATAGTGTTGGCATTTCGTTATGTAAATTCGCAAATAAAATGAAGAAAACTTCGAATCTAATTAGCATATTCAAATATACGTAGACACACCAAGAAACTACTTTCAGGTACGCTTTCCACGGCTTTCTTCCCACCAAAAAGGCCACGACCAACCGGGCTGTATGCCACGATACCAATCCCAAGTTCTCTACATTTCAAGGCGATATACATACATATAAATATATATATATATATTATACGATTGATAATATAAGAATCATTCATGGATGCAAATTGCGAGTGGGTCGATGACAAACCGTACCTGCAGAGGGGAATGATATCTTCTTCGATGTCGCGAGTCCAAAGAGAATATTCCATTTGCAATGCAGTTATGGGATGAACTGCGTGCGCCCTTCTGATGGTGTCTGCATTAGCTTCGGACAGACCAATGTACTTGATTTTCCCTTCTTCGACTAGTTTTTTAAGTTCTCTCATCTGCAGCAATGAGTCAAATGACCAAACACAATCACGAGGACAAGCGCCAAATAAACACGAGCTGTGTGTAGGTCTAAGACGAAATGTGAGAAAGACTTACAGTATCCTCAATGGGCACTGTGGTGTCGATTCTGTGTATATAGTAGAGATCAATGTAGTCCACTTGAAGGCGTTCAAGGCTAGCCTCGCAGCAAGATCGGACATACTCAGGAGTTCCTTTAATCACGAATCCAGAGCTCGTGCTCGCATAAAAACCAAATTTTGTTGCTAGCTGAATTTGATCCCGAGGCAGCTGCTTCAGGGCCTAAAAATCACACAACTCAGCACGGAAGATGATTAAACTGAAGTTCCATTTCCTTGAATAAATGCAACAGGTAGTTAATTTGATGTTAGCTGAATTTACCTTGCCAACCAAGCGCTCGTTCGACGAGTTTGTGCCGTAAATATCAGCAGTGTCGAACAAAGTAATGCCTAGATTGAATGCCTCTGTGAGTATTGCAATTCCATCCTCCAATGAGACAGGAGAATTGTAGACTCCAGTGAGACCCATGCAGCCATAGCCAATTTTCGACACCTGAAGAAAGATACTTCAAATTGGAACGGTGAACTGGTGCAATGGCGATTCAAGTTCATAGCAGTGGCGAGGACATCTGTAACCGACAATAATCATGTATCTATTGCGCGGTGATCTCGTCGTATTTAGGCATTGAAATCTTAAGGAATTTCAAAGACCTAAGTAGGAAAAATGATTGAGGAATACAACACACCAGAGCACGACAATCAACAGCGAGATTTACGGTGAATACTGTGACGAATTTAGACAAACTCATCAATACAAAAATTGCGAATCCTACTCGGAAATTGTCATAAACTCACCTCTAATCCTTGGTTCCCCAGTTGCACTCTCGCCATGGAAGCTAGTCCCACTCCCGCCATCGTCGCCAAACACACACACGCACACACACAAACACAATTGGGCAAAATAGCTGGAAATTGTAAGAGATTACAGAAAATATTTACCACTCCTGGAGAGAATTCGACTGAATCAAGTATGTAGCAGCACGCAGCACACTATCGCATCCACAGTAGGATTCAAGGAACTAAGGAAGCAATTGGAACTAAGGTGGTGTTCGATCAAAAGACTCCTGAAATTTGAAGGTTGAGTTTGGGCCGTAAATGGGCCATAGAGTAATTATATTATTGAGCCTAACCCAAATCATTTCGGCCCAAATCTAAACCCTGCTGTCTAAAACCCTACGCCATTCCAGGAAGAACGCCTGGAAGCTTCTATCGTCTTCCTCCAGATTCTTCCTTCCGCTGGTTAAATTCGTGCTTCACCGACCCATTTCAGTCGAACTGCGGCGTGATTGCTAGGAATTTTAAGAAATGGCGAAGCGATTGATCCCCGCGCTGAATAGAGTCCTCGTGGAGAAAATCGTTCCTCCTTCGAAAACCACCGCCGGTATTCTCCTCCCGGAGAAATCATCCAAGGTATAATTTACGATTCTTCGATTAAGCTTTCAGTCGTAGTAGTCTCATCGGAGTTCTGACTTGTGGCGCAATCGGTGTGGTTATCTTCATCTCTACAGTTGAACTCTGGTAAAGTAGTTGCCGTCGGGCCAGGGTTGAGGGACAAATCCGGGAACACCATCCCCGTCGCTGTTAAAGAAGGCGACACCGTTCTCTTGCCTGAATACGGCGGAACTGAAGTCAAATTAGGCGAAAAAGAGTAATAATCTCTGCTCGATAACAACCAGTCCCCATTTTTAGGTTTCGTTTGGCTGAATTGATTTGATAATGCGATCAAATGCAGGTACCATTTATACAGAGATGAGGATATCTTGGGGACACTACATGACTGATTAATGGCTGGAATTCTTGAAATGCAATCCAGGTTTAGTTCTTGGAAGTATTCAACTTCAGTTCCTGTTTCTGAATTTTTGGGGTTGTTGCTGATTTTGCTCATTGGCCAAACACTCTGATATTTGCTACTTGATGAATATTTCCATCTGCTACCATTATTAAACGACCTCATTTTCTCCAAATTTTCTTCTAAAATTTAACTTTAATCCTAAAAATGTACTATTCAATATATATTCTTTGTTTTAAACAATTACATAGATTTTATTCAATTTTTATTACTTTATATATTAATCCTAAAAATATTTTATTTTTTTTCATGAAATTAGATCATACAATATGGATAATTTTTTAAATAATAAAACTAATAAAATAAATTTAATAAAAAATAATGATAAAGATACAATTATTTTAAATAAATTATGGCATAAATACAAATATAAGTAAACTGAAATATTATTCATTACAATTTCTTTTATTAATATATTGCTTCCATTAATAATTTATTGAAGTATTGTATAGTGATATATATACATTTTTTTGTCTTTATTTTGTTTTTGTCGACTAATAAATTGTTGAAATGGGATATCTTCATCGATAACTTGATGACCCTGACGATTATTTCAACCGTATGAAGTAAGACGGCTATTATACGTGTACATAAATTATATTCTTACTCGATAATCATATTATGTATGATAATGGATGCAAACATTATGTCTTGCATCATATTCTTATTCAAAAAATGACACGGTTCTTTCATAATTGCAAAATATGATTATAGAACTCCGTATGAATCCTATACTTTTCTTATTGTAAAATATTGCTTTTTTGTAGCTCGTGAATAGTTCATATACCTAAAGTATTGACTACTATTTTTTTGTCCGGTAAATGTAAATGTTGTGGGATCTAATGCAAATGATCGACCATCCAATATTCTTGAAAAGTCACGGTTATGGCCAATATCCAGAGCTTCATCATATTATTAGCATTAGATCTTCGCTAAGTTTACAAAAATTTCAAGACATGAAAGATTTAATTGCTCTCAACAATTCGAAGAAAGAGAGATTGAGACATTTGATATTGGTGATAAAATATTTCATCACGATTGATCATTTTACAACACCGGGCATAGAGTTTTTAACGAGCTGAATTGAATTAAATTTCAAGTGTTTGTATTGTGAACAAGGTTTGTGTTTGTATATAATTTATCTGTTTATTTGAGTATTATGATTTTATTGTTGGTGTATATCAATTTAATATATCCACTGAATTATAAAGTTATTTATAGTTGGATCAAAGTTGTTATTTATGAAAGATGGAATATTTTTAAAATATTTTAAATTTGAAATTAATTTGCAATCATATTCTTACTTTTGAGTTGGATACCTATTGGAGTAAATAAAACTAATTGAAAAGAAAGATTGAAGATGATGTTGCAATACAAAAACAAATCTATAGTTTTTGCTCCATTTGCATAGGCTAAAAATGTACGTTTTAGTCATCTTCAACCTTTCACTCTATTTTTGCGATTGTTATATAGTAATTTTATTTCAATCATAAATTTTAATTTTTACTTTAAAAAAAGTATATTTCCTATATATTAATTTTTTATATTATTTTATATAACTTTTCATATTTATAAATTATATTTTAATTTTAATTTATTTTTACATTAAATTCATACGCATATAATTTATATTACTTTTCAACAGTAAAATTATATATCAATTTAGAAAATAAAATTATACATTATTTTTTTAAAAAATAAAATTATATTACTTTTCAAAAATTAAAATTATATCACTTTTAAAAAATAAAATTATATGTTATTTTTCAAAAAAATAAAATTACATACAATATTTTCAAATATAATATTATATATCATCTACTAAAAAATTAAAATTACACAATACATCAAAAAAATACCAAAAATATAAAAACACCACAAAAATTTCACTTCAAAAACAAAGTTGAGTAACAGTGTAACACTGTACATATTTGCAAAAATGGGGGGAATTTGGGGTTGAGTTGGAGCTCCTCTCTCCATTTTTTGTACAACCCACTGCATAAATGCAGTGGATTAGAGATGATCTTATGTGATTGTTGTTCAAACTTTTTTTCGTACTCTACATGAGAGTATATACAAGACAATTAAATATTTTCAAATTAGAATCATCGTAAATAAATACTAAGAAAAAGAACAAAAACATAAAAGCTCAGCTTGGATGAAATGAATTTTTTTGGTAAGAATTGTATCATAAATATAAAAGATATTATTTTAGATTGAATATTTGATTTTTTGTAACTATTTTTGTATGAGTATTTTAATTTTTGACTTTTTATATAGAATATTATATTTTTTATTATTAAGAGAATAGAAAAAAGACTAATGAATCATGTATATTGGATTAAATATATAGTACTTTTCTATTCTGTCGAATATGATTGACTCAAAAATTAAATGATAATTATTTTTTTAAAATTTATAAAAATCATATTATTTAAAAAAGAAAATGAACAAATTTGTAATATTTTTTTGAAAATAACTATTATTTTTAATAGTACGTATAAAAAAGAAATAATGAAAAATGCCAAACATACCTTAAATGATTGTATATTAATATTATTATTGTTACATAGATATTAATTTTAATTTTATACTTGTGAAATGGCGGGTCTTATTCGTTAGTCTAAAATAAATATATAAATAAATAATAGAAAGGAAGAAAAGAAAACTGTTTTCGGTTGCCACATTGGGCATTTCCAACAAAAATCCACAAGAAGGGGAAGATACCGTAAATCTCGGTCGTTACCGTCGCCGTCACCACCGCCGCCATCGTCCGTTCGGAGCACGTGACCTCGCCACGATTCCTTCCCCGCGGCCATTGACGATGATTTGATATCGGAGAAGTTACGTGTGAAATCCGATCGGTTAACTCTGCTATGACGCGATGCACGTGTACAACCGGTTCCTCACCAGCGGACACAACAACCTCCCAACGTCTCCGTGAAACCGCCACCGCAAATCGAGCAGGTCGCCGCCTCTTAAGTCGCCTGCGCAGCGCCTCTCCTGGTGCATATTCTTTCCTCTCTTTAGACGGCGGGGATTTCTCCTGTTCGCTCCCCTCATGTATGTTGCGATGCTGCTGTTTTACATGGGGATGCTGTTGCTCAATTCCCTTCTGGTTAATAGCCTCCGGAATCCTGTCGGTACGGTTTATCTGAGCCCGCAGTTGTACGCCAAGCTCCGTCCTCAAATGGATTCTGATAATTATTCCGCTGATAATGCGGTTTGTGTGTTTTGTTTGTTTCGTTTCTCATTACTGTATCTCATAATGCTGATGATTTTAGTTGTTTCTGCGAATTAATAGTTTTGGTAATCTAAATGCTGTTAATGGAAGTGTGTAAATGATTTCAGATATTGGCTATTTGGAAACATTCTTATAAAGATGGTGTGTGGAGGCCCTGCATCAAAAGCTCTTCACAAGGTATTACAATTGCTCAAATGTTTTTGCTCTAGTTTCGATTGTGTTGTTTATACTTTAATTTTGCTATGTCAATATGTGCTGAATTTGGGCATTTTGTAGTGTTGATTGGTGATACATCGTAGGATGAAAATTAGCCTGTTGAATTGGTTGTATCTTTTATTGTTCTTCGCCTGTTATTTATAACATCATCTCTTGTTGTCCCCTTTCGTTGACGCCCTGCGTTTGGCTTCGTTGTGTTTTAAGTTCAACCTTGAATACCTAATTTTTGGTGACAACATAATGGATTTCATTTGCAGCAGTTATAATTCTGCGGAAATTCTCACAACTTTAGCATTTGTTTGGGCATTTTGAAGTGTTGATTGGTGATACATTTTAGGATAGACCATGCTTTGTGCTTCGTCGTGTTTCAAGTTTCAACCTTGAATACATCAATTTTGGATACAACAGAATCGATTTCACTTGCAGGAGTTATAAATTATAATTACACCAGAAGTTCTCTTAACTTTGGCATTTGTGTGTTTTGTATGTTTTTTCCCTTTTCGTTTGTTAACATCTCTAGATCAAATGTTAACCGTGATAGTCATTGTCTCCTTTCGTTGATGCTAAGCCCTGTGCTTCATCGTGTTTCAAGTTTCAACTTTGAATACTTCAGTTTTAGAAACAACAGAATGGATTTCCTTTGCAGCAGTTATAATTCCACCAAACTTCTCATAACTCTAGCATTTCCATGTCTGCGATTTTTTCTCTTTTCCTTTGTTAATGGATTGATCTTCTGGATTTAATAAAATAAGCATTATCTTTAACTGCAGGTGTACCTCAGTCAAATGGATATGTTTGGGTTGAGGCCAATGGTGGCCTGAATCAGCAAAGAACATCGGTAGGTTTAACTGCGTTCTTTGTATAAGTTCACGAAAAAAGATTGCTTCCACTCGCCATTTTGTGGCCTTAGTGGCATAATGATGGTATCAACAATGTTGATGCTTTCAGATATGTAATGCTGTGGCTGTGGCAGGGTACCTTAATGCAACTCTTTTGATTCCAAGCCTCCGGTTTCACAGCATTTGGAGAGATCCGAGGTAGGTGGCTAAAATTTTTTACACGTATCATGTGTATTTAGCCGAATGAATGATCTACATCATTATTCATGAGATTACTTCCTGCGTTCGAAGGAATAGAATGCCTGATGCTTTGCTTTTCTACGTGCAGCCAATTCGATGAGATTTATGACGAACAGTTCTTTATGGAAAGCCTAGAAAGAAATGTTCGGATCGTGAAATATCCTCCGGACTACATCATGGAGCGATTTGATTACAACCTGAGTAATGTATTCAACTTTAAAATCAAAGCATGGGCATCTATCCGGTACTATCGTGATACGGTTTTGCCGAAGCTTCTAGAAGAGAAGTTAGTCTTTCCATTTCTTCTTGTCATTCCCATTCATCTTATGGCCCCATTTTTCTATTGCACATTTGTCTTATTGTTTAAACTTTTTTTATCATTTGAACATTTAGGATTATAAGGATCTCGCCCTTTGCAAACCGGCTATCGTTCAATGCTCCAGCAGATGTACAGCGCCTTCGATGCTTGGCAAATTATGAAGCTCTAAGATTCTCAGACCCCATACAGACACTAGGTGAATCCTTGGTTTCAAGAATGAAAAAACACAGCGCAAACAACAATGGCAAATTCATCTCTGTGCATCTTCGCTTTGAGGAGGTTAGCGAGGATCTGACTGGGGGCTCTCTTTTTTTCTTTCTGAGTTTCACTATAGCACCAGCAGCATCGATCATCTACTTCTGCAGGATATGGTTGCCTTCTCTTGTTGTGTGTATGATGGCGGGGAGCAAGAGAAAAAGGACATGAATGCTGCTAGGGAAAAAGGTTGGAGAGGCAAATTCACTCGACCTGGTCGAGTCATTAGTCCTGGAGCCAATCGATTAGATGGAAAATGCCCTTTAACACCTCTAGAGGTACTCTCATGCTTTCTGTATTTACCGGAGTTTGCTAACAACTAATCATGCCCCTTAAGTTTTACTGTAGAAGTGTGAATCTATGTCGAAAGCTCCAAGGTTAGATCTTTGCTTTGCGTAACAGACTTCGTAAAACTTGCGAAATTAAACAGGTCGGTTTAATGCTGAGAGGAATGGGCTTCGGCAAAAGTACTTCCATCTACTTAGCATCTGGAAAGATATACGACTCGGAGAGACACATGGCTCCGCTGTTGGAAATGTTCCCGTTGCTCCAAACAAAAGATACGCTGGCATCTCCCATCGAATTATCTCTATTCGAGGTACAAATCGCATCCATTAATGTACTACTCTCGACACAATCCCACACTATTTACTTTTGTTTTAACTCGAGTTACGTGTGTTTAGAGCTACTCATCGAGAATGGCTGCTTTAGACTACATAGTTTGTCTTCACAGCGAAGTTTTTGTAATCACGCAAGGCGGGAACTTTCCGCAGTTTCTTTTGGGGCACCGGAGGTATTTATACGGCGGCCATGGCAGGTCTATCAGGCCCGATAAGCGCAAGCTGGCCCAGATACTCGGCAATCCAAGTTTCGGGTAATGAGATTTGGAGACACTTGGTTTGCTTTTTTGCTCCCCGAACATGATCTCACTTCTTCTAATGCTAGAGATGCTTCTTCTTCTTCTTGTAGGTGGGAAAGCTTCAAGCGCCAAATGCGCGCTATGCTCGCATTGAGTGATGATAAAGGTATGGAAATCAAGAGGCCTCGCGACTCGATATACTCGTTCCCTTGCCCCGATTGCATGTGCAAAGGCACGAGCAATGCTAACTCCAAGGCTTCGGCTACATCATCGTCGTCCTCGTCGAAAATGTGAGGTGTGTTCCTCTTTTAGTAGCACACAATGACAGTGTATGTGACCGTGTGTATTGTATTGTATATTATTGTAACATAGGATAGAAGTTTTTTTTTTTTTGTACAAATGAATGTTATGAATGATGGGTATTGTGGGTGTATTACTTTGTATATTTCTATTTGTATATGTATTTATATTGGGTTTCTTCTCCTGTTTTTCTTTTTTCTTTTTTTTTTTTAATTTTAAATTCGAATGTTTGAATATTAAGAAAAATATAATATTTTATTTCGTTAACCTAAGTTTTGCATTTATTTTATAATAAATATTAAAAATATTTATATATTTATATAATTTTTTACATTATACTCTCTTGTTTTAATACAAAAAAAATTTTATTATTTTTTATCGTCTTTATTTTCATAAATAACCAATATTATAAGACAGTGGGAGTAATTAATAACGCGGGTATAAATAACACATTGTTATAAATCACCGACAAGCGATAATATTGATATGAGTTGGAGCAAACGGATAAACTTTGAAATTAATAAATCAATAATCCAATACAAGGAAGTGCCGGGCAGTCGCTACTCGGCCATCGCTGCTGTTCTCGTCCTTATCAACTGAACCCTAATTTCACTTCTGAGATTGATTTTCCCCAAATATTGCAATGGTAGTAGTTGATGATGGAATTCTTGATTCGAACCGCCTCGACTTTTTCAATTCCAACGGTTATTTGGTATTGGACTCTTTCGCCGGTCCAGATGAGGTGCAATCGATGAGGCTAAGAATGGATCAACTCCTTGATCAGTTCGATTGTTCCACCAGAGCTTCCATATTCTCCACCACAAACCAGGTATGAAATACTTTCGATTTCGTGATGGTCAGAACTCCTTTTTAATTTTCTCGTTTGTTTATCTGGTCTTCAGCAACAGTCGACGGATGATTACTTCTATGAGAGTGCCGAGAATATCTCCTTCTTCTTCGAAGGTATGACGGTGCAGCAGTATATATCGTATTTGTAATTATTTTTATATCATCCGATGTTGAAACACGATGATGTATTTTGTGAATTCCTTTGTTTATATCATCGCATGTGTTTTCAGAAGTTATTACCACTGTTTGATTGAAACCATTAGAAAAGAAAGATATAAGAATGAATAGCTGAATCAGATGATTCATTTACAATGTTCACTTGCAATATCAATCTTGTGTTTGAAATTAGTGGTTTCTTCTTTTTGAATTATAATTTTTGTTGGGTTCTATTTATTTAATTTCTTAGAATAATTATCTGTGTTCTTTATATTAAACAGCTTCTCACTTGATGCTCCTTTAACAGAAAAAGCTTTTGATGATGAGGGTAACTTAAAGCAACCAAAGAAGCTCTCAATAAACAAAGTTGGGCATGGTATGCATTGATAAGACCTTGTACCAATTGAGTTCATTTTGGATGAAAATTCCTATCTCTACTTCATGTTTCGAGCTTTTGATTTGTTCATGAACTGAACTTTTTACTCGATAATCCTACATATTCTCATTTTTGCTTGAGAGTTTCTTCACTAAATTTTATGTTTGGGTTATTAATATGCTAATTATACGTTCTGTTTTTCTTCGCAGCATTGCACGAAAAAGACCCCGTATTTAAGAGCTTTTCTAGCTCCAAGAAAGTGTCAGGTTTATTATGCTCGCTTGGTTACAGAAGACCAATTGCAATTCAGTCCATGTACATTTTCAAGGTAAGTTTATACTGCCATCTAAATATCAAATTGACGGTATGTCTTCATTGTTGTTTATGCAATTCAATTCTTTAAAAACAAAAAAGAATTTGGATGCTATGTTTCCATTGTTTTTTTTTTGTTTTTTTATGTAATTGATTGTTTTATATATAATAATTTCCTGAGTATTTTACCTGTCAATCTCAATATTTAATTTCAAAGATATCTCCTATTATATAGTTGTATTGTAGTTATAGGCCGTCTGTCTTTGTTATTTAAATAATCTTATTTTCTATTGGTATGTCATCAGATGCTTCATGCCTAGACGAACTTTAACCAGTTCTTCTGCACTGTGTTGTGTAAATATTTGAATGTATTCTTTGCACCAATTATGCTAGGGCTGGTATATGGTGTTTCTATCCATGCGTGTATTTATTTCTATCTAATGATATATTTGCTAATGAACATTATTTACAGCAACCCGGAATTGGGGGTGAAGTGGTACCGCATCAGGACAATTCATTTCTCTACACGAATCCACCAACGTGTACAGGATTATGGCTTGCCCTAGAAGACGCCACACTTACAAATGGTTGCCTTTGGGCAATTCCTGGATCTCATAAACGTACTGTGGCATCATTATTTCATAAAATTGCTTCACTTCTCATTTCTTGTTATAAGAATTCTCAACACTCCCTAACTGCTCTGCTATTATCATTCTAGGTGGGCTGGTGAGAAGATTCATCAGAGGTGAAAATGGGGTTACTTTTGATAAGCCATTTCCCTCCTACGATGAAAATGATTTTGTTCCCATTGAAGTAAAATCCGGCTCCTTAGTAATCCTTCATGGGGATGTGATTCATCGAAGGTTTTCTACCTGCTCTGATCTTTAATACTACTTTTTTTTGGTATATGTACACTTTTTTAAAACTAACTTCACTTAATACAGCTCCGAGAACAAATCCTCTGTATCAAGGCACGCATACAGTTTGCATGTAGTGGACACTGATGGCTGTAAATGGGCTGAGGATAATTGGTAAGTTGCAAATATATATATTTTTTTTTTGCCTTTTCCATTTAGAAGAATTTTAATTTTTAAATGTGAGGTATTTTATTTATCGTTGACCTCCAATTTATAATTTCTGTAGTAGCCTACAATCCCTGTTCTGCAATTCTTGTTTGTTTCATCATCAATCGACTTAAATTAGTTAAACCTATACCGCAAGGAAAATATTCTTGATGCTTCCGAATTATATCTTCTTCCTTCTGCTATTAAATTAGTTTCTGTTTCAATTTGTTTCAGGATCAGAAGAAAAGTGGATCCCGAACCTCTCTATGCTTCCTAAGTTCTCGTCGCCTCAGTTCTTAATTTAAGATTGTAACACTCTTATTATGCTGATGAATGTCTACTTCACGTTCAAATAAAAGGATGCGAATGATAACAACAATAAATCATTTACATGCTCTCTGTATCCACATTTTTATTTCTCTTTATTTCAGGCATTGATCTTCCTCCCGAAACATTACTGAAATTTAATGTTTGGAGAGGAGATTAAAGGGGTTTGGGTAGAGAAATGAACCAACCAGTCATGTGAATTGATTTTTCGGTAATACAGTCTCTGTGTTGTTGGGGACATGGCAATGACTAGACTACCTACTAACATATTTCTTACAATCACAGGATTGAGCAACCTAAGAATTGCCATTGTCTATTAATGTGTTGTCTCCTTGTTTGTCTTCTTCAGATTGGATTTCACGGCCCTTTTTTCACGGTCGACAACTGAATCTGCTTGGTAAGATGCTTGAGCCTTTCACTTTTATCTGTTTCTTCTATTAAAGCTTTTAAGATATGAGTTCAAGTCGAGTCGGGAGAACTAACTATGCTAAATCATGATGTTTTTACCTTTTACAAAAATCATATATGTAATATGTTCCTTTGTAATGAATGGGTGCAAGAGATATTAACTAGTTAAGTAGTAAGAGAAGTTGTGGTATTGATCTTACTTGGTGGGAGAAGAATGTTTGGTTATGTTTTGGAAAATTTTTAAAGAAAATTTAATGCAGTTGAAATGAGACACTGTAAATTTTCACTAGAAATCACAATTATCTATAAATGTGTTTTTAATGATCTTGCACTGTCTTTATAGATGGTTGTCCAATGTGCAGTATTATTTTAGTACTCCCTCAGTTATCCAATTGTGTGCTCATTTGACCGGACACGGGTTTTAAAAAAAATATGTAAGAATAGAAAATTTTACTTTTTTTTTAAAGAAAAGTGGTAATTTTTTTTTCTTAAAGAAAAAGGAAGTAAATTTGGATGACAACCGAGAGAGAAATTTATAGAACTCTCAGTGTGTTAATTTTTTTTGGACTGTATAGGTTTTGGGAAGAAGATGGTAAAAAGAACTCCTTAGCTGTAGACACATGGCATAATATACTTTATCCGTTCAACTATATTTTTTTGGCACAAAATTTTAAAAATAATAGTATTTTAATAGGAGTTTAAATTAAAGCTATTTGTATTAAAAAAAAAAAATGAGATATTTTTAAAATAATTATTTTATAATTAGAGAGTCCAAAATAAAAATATATATATTTTGTAAATGAATGATGGTAATAAAATATATATATATATGCTTATACAAATAATTGTTAAATGAACAAAGTAGCTCGTAAGCTAAATTTGATTTAGATCGTTAACAACGTGATTTGACTTATTTATAAAGATAAACGAGTTGAATTTTGAGCTGGAAAATTATTTTTTTAATAAACAAGTCGAGCTCGAAGGTGGAAGTTATAATATATATATATAATTTTGTATCAAAATTTATATTTATTAATAATAATTGAATATTTTATTATAATGATTTATGAATGAAATTAAGTTCCTTAATTTATATATATAAATATATATACAACATGCATAAAATTCAAAGTTGAAATTGAATTCGAGTTTAATTGAAACTTGAATCTACTATTTTAACTCTGAATTCTTGATAAACTGAGCCAAGTTTGTACTCTGAACAAATTGGAATCAAGTTGGAACAGTCCATACTCAAGTCGGTCGGGTCATTTAATAGTTTTTACACTACAAGCGGGAGCATGCATCATAAAGGCACATTATGATTATGATTATTGTTATTATTTTATTTATTATGTTAAATTGGCAAAAGCAAGTGACATTGACTTAGAGCAACTATAATGGCTTTTTTTGAATGATTTTATTCAAATATATATATATTTTTTTTTATCAAAATCGAAAAAATATGTATACAATGGTTTTAATATTCAGAGAAAAAAAAAATTGAAAACTTGAAACAAATTGAATGCTGCTGCATTCAAGTTATCTTTTTTTTTTGTTTTTTTTTCTCCTTTAATCTCTCCTCTCTCTTGTTTTCTCTCTTTCTCCCTCTCATTCTTTTCATCCTAACGTAGAAATGCCATTGTATGGTAATATGTAAATTCAATCAATTTAAATGTTCAAAGCTTGGATACATCAAATTTGCAGAAGATATAGAAACTTTTTTAAATGTAGTGATTGCAGTTGCTCTTAGTATTTGAAGGTCCAAACTTGACATCAATAATATGAGCATTATTGTTGTTGTGGTTGGTCATTGTCATTGATGGGCTTGGTAGGAAGAAACTCGAAGAAGTGATTGGGAGGCTGTCTAAGACTACCAATCCCTATACCTAAACCTACGCCAACACCTACAACATTTGGAATAATATTACTACTACTGCTTGTTCTTCCCTCGTGTGGGAACAGCTCTAGTGTCTGATTCTTACACGTCAAATCACAATCTTCATCCTCATCAATCTCATCAGCACTAGTACTTCTACCAGTCATGTCTTTTCTACCTAATACTAATAATAGCTCGGATTCCACCATTGATGACGTTGTAGAAGCACAACACTGCAAAACAGTAACATATGTACGTAGGTTATTAGCTTCGGCTCCGAATTTAGAAAAAGAAAATAAGAAGAAGATATGTATGTATTACAGTAGTAGGAGTATTATTTAGAGAAGAAGATACATGTGATATTGTAGTGTGTGCAGGTAGGTACCTGCAGAGGAGGTGTAGTAGTAGTAGTACAAGTGCAATTTGAGGATGGAGAATGCACTTGATCAGTTGCTAAATGTTTCCTGCACCACTTGATCATTTTCATTCCTGCGAAATAATAATACTATTAATAACTAATGCAACCTGGACCACTATGTGTGTGTGTGTGTGGATGTCAGGACCTGTAGGTGTAGGTGTAGGTGTAGGTGTAGGTGTAGTAGGGATGAGGTGGTGCGTGTTTGTTGTTGGTGATGGTGATAGTGATAGTGATGGTGCAGGGCGGCGATGGCGGCGATTGATGCTCACGTGCCTCTGCTGCTGCTTTTTCTGTCTCTCTCTGGCCTTGTGGTTCTGGAACCAGTAGAAGACGTTCTTCCCCTCCACTTTTCCGAAGCGCCGGAGCTTGGCTGTGATGTGCTGGATTTGTTGCGCCGACGGTGTTGTCGTACCTTTTCTGTACAATTCGTCCAGCGCCTCCACTTGCTCCGCCGTTGGATTCCATCTGCTGCTGCTGGTACTGTTACCATTACTGTGAGTTTGAGATATTATTATTGGAGGATGTTGATTAATGGTATTGGTAATAGTTGACATTAAGGAGGTGCGTGGTGGTGGTGCGGCTGAGTTAGGGTTTCGGGGATGAGGAGGGAATGCGGCGGCGGTGGTGGTGGAAGGGCGTGGAATGAGAGGCCTGAATTTTGTGAATAAGGAATAGGAATAGGAATAGGAATAATGTTGAGGCGTTGAATGAGTACCATTCATCTTCGTCTTCGTCGTCGTCCTCATCAGGTCAGGTGATGTTGAGAGATTGAGAGAGAGAGATTATATATATATATATATTGAATTGAAGTAAATTAAAGTGAATAGAATAGAATTTGCAAATGCAGAGAAGAAATCGTCAGATGAGAGCAGAACTGCACTGCCACTGTAACTGCAACTGCAGGTTGAGACGAAGACGAAGCTCAGCTTCCAGCTCCACACCTACATATAATATCATATATATATATATATATATATATATAGAGAGAGAGAGAATGTAGAAGGTGACAAAACAAAAATGAGTATCTCTCCGTCCAAAAACTATAGTCTTAATTGAGTTGGACACAAAATTTAAAGAATGAATAAAATATTTTTTTTTACCGTAAGTGTATTAGTGTAGAAAGTAATAAAAATTGTGTAATAAAAATGAGAAAGTAAAGGTAATTTTACATGATTATTTATGAAAATAAAATTTGTTTTAAAACGGACAAAAAATAAAAATAGTAAATAAGATTATTTTATTGGACTGAGGACGTAATATAAATAAATAATTATAAATTATGATTAAAATAATTAATTAATTTAATAAAATTTATAAAATTTAAAAATTAAAATAAAATTAAAATGTGTAATAATCTCTTTTTTTTTTTTAAATAACATGAAAGGTGAGATAACAGAGATAAAGAGTAATACTTATTCCTTCCATTTTATTTGTTCATTGATTTTATTTTTCTTTAATCGTACTATTTGTTTTTTTTTAAATTAATTATATATTAAATTTCATAATTAATATTTTTCTATATTTTATTTAAATTAATTGATTATTTTAAGTTAAATTTATAATGTATATAATAATTATTTTGTTTAATAATTTTCTTAAACCCTTATTAATTATATTTTACTAAAATGATCGTACGAGGAAAGAAATTGGAAATTGGACATATAACGTGCCAACAAGAGACTAATAAATACTTACCGTGTATATATATTTATATATATATATGCTGTTGATACATAACATGAACATGATGTAAGTGTGTGAGTCAGTGATGTATGTCAAATCAAATCAATCATTTCACAAATATCACCTCGTTTAAACAGAGATATTTTGAATTTAAATTTTTTTAAATAATATTTCATCAGTCCCATCTTTTATTGGGATTAATACTCTTATTTTTTCATAACAGACGTCAGAAATTAATGAATAATAATATTTAATTAAAAAATAAGTATAAAATAAAAGGTAAAATATTAACTTATTTTATTTTTTTTGAAAAATTTTAAAAAGTACGTTAAAGTAATAATTTGAAGTAGTTGTGAAAAAATAAAAATAATTTGGTTGTAAAGTAGAGTACCAACTAGTACTAGATAAAAAAAAATGACAACTGTTTTAAAATTGATGAAAATGAAAAAAATAAAAAATAAATAAATAAATAATTCTTTTGAACGGAAAAAGTACTTTCATCGATTGTACCTAAAAAAGTAAAAATTTTGATATTTAATTAATCTATGTAAGTACCTATTAAAAATAACAAAATAAAAAATTTACTCTTAATATTTAATATGTATTGTAATAAAGTATAATATATTTATTTTGCTCTTGACACTAAAATAAATTAAAAAGTAAAATTATTTTAGTATTTAGTTAATCTAGACAAAACAAAATATATTATAATATGAGAATTTCCTACGATGTCACTGCTTCTAAGTATTACTCTAACTTTAAAATTATATGGAATATCACTTAATACATTATCACCAACTCACATGTGTATTCATTTGTCACACATAGTTTATCTAATGTGATTTATCTTGTCTAACTTAGTTTTTATAATATTAAGAGCACGTTCAAAGAGTAATAACTATGAATTTCTAAAATATAAAAATTAATGATAAATAATAATAATAATAATGATAATGGAGTATCACCGGTGACCACCCCCCACACACAAATTCACTACTCTGAGCTGCCCGCACGAAGGAAATTAAATAAATTTGAAACCCACCCTAATAATTAATTATAATGTCCTCTTTAATATTTAATACATTTGACTATTAAATAAAAATATCTCCCACCGTAAATACACATACCTTTCTTATACAAAATTATGAAATAGCAGTCGCTGAATCCCCCAACAACTAACTTTTATTATTATTATTATTATTAATGCTATACATTATTGAGAAATTATTATTATTATTATTATTATTATTAGTGTTGAACTCTGTGTGCAAAAGTCTTTTAATTCTTTATAGGTAAAAATGGTCAACATTTAAAGATTTAGGTTGTCGATTATATCTCACTTGGGAGAGATTTCACACCTAAAAAGGCTTCAGTATCCAAACAAGCGAGACAGTGAATATGTATATATAAAACAACATAGATAGATAGATAGAGATTTTTTAAATCTTAAAATATTATAAAATTGCATATTTGATATAATATTGCAATTTCTTTTTGTAATAATTATTTAAAAATAAATAAATCTAAACAAGGCATACACATAGCTACTACTATGAAAAAATGATCTCTATTAACTAATGAGCTCTAGGAAATATCAATACATAAATTTTTAATGTCAAAAGAAGTATTACCCTCAATCCATTGAATCCATATGGAGGGTAACAATATTTAAGATCAAATATTTGTAATTCTTATTATGAAGAAAGTATAAGAACCAAGAGAAGAAGAAAAAACTGTGAATAATTGAACAAGAATTGAATAAAAAAGTTATATCATTCAATATTGTAACTATAGCCAAAATAATTGAATCTATATTCAATTCAATTGATTTCATTCACCATAACATAACAAACAAGGAAGTAATAATTCCCATTTCTTTCTTCATTCAGCTGCTAAAATTTAAAGCTATCTTCAACCTCCTCTTCTTATTCAATCAATACTGTTCCACATTAAAAGAAGCAACCGCCCGACGATCTTCATCACTCAATGCACCCTTTACGCGTTTCCTGCAATTCATCGACTCAAATATTAATTTCCAAACACATTGTTTCAATTTCAATGCGAAATTCATGTAAAAGATTTCAAATTTTACAAAGCCCAATAATAGCATAAATCAACCACTTGAATATCAATTCCCCTCAGCATCAAATTCAAATTAAATAACAACAACAACAACAACCCCGTAAGGCACTTGCTTACTCCCAAAATAAGTCGTATAATTTGATGCACTTCCTCTGGCCCATGGGTTTCGATGGAAACTGCAGTTCAAAGCACTATCAGTTGTTCAGCTCATTTTAATCTCCTAAAAGACAGTTGAGGTGAAAAAATCGTCAGAATGTAATAAAGCACACATGCACAAATACACAACCAACAAATTCAGCTTCAACATGAAATCTGATTTTGATCACATTGAGAGGTGATGTAAGAGTTCTCCAAAGAGCATCAACCAAACCCCTTTTCGATTACCCTGTTTAATTACTCCATTTCCTACCCTCAAAATCCTCACTCAAGAAAAGATGCCATAAACAGACAAATACACAAACCAGGTCCTAATTGAGCAAAAGTTCCAAAGAAGACTTCAACAATTAGGGATCATGTGAACTATAACATCCATCAATGGTAATTGGATAATGTAAATCACAAAACTCACCAACAAAAATGCCATTAACAATCTACAGCTCAAAATTCAGGACCATAACAAACATTTTCTCAATGTGCAAGAATTCTCAGAACAAAATTCAAGAAGAATTTACCCTAGAGATCATCCTCCATTCTCAAATACTCCCCAATATCCGAATGCCGATGCACCACAATCCCATTAGGATCCATCTTCCTACAGTCCACCGTACTTTTCGCCGCAACACCAAACCCCAACGGGACATCCGTCATTGAATAAACCATCACGCCATCATTCACCTGGATGTTCTCGGTAATCCTCCCCACCCCTCCTTTTAAAACACTGTTACCGTACAGAAAACTCATCTCCGAAGTGGGCTTCAGCCACACCTTGTGCTTCGCATTGGCAGCTAACAAATTCAAGCTCTGAATCGTCAAGTGAAACTTCCGATTTCGTTAATTTACCGATTTGGATGCCGAGCGAAACCAGCTTCTCACGCTTCACGTTGGTGGCCCTTTTGACTAGTGATTCGGAGACGTAGTAGACGCGGCTCTTCTGGAGGCGGAAGCAGTACCGGCCGGGGATCGGATCGGGTCCCCCGTGCGATTGTGATTCCAGGACAATGTTCTTGTGTTGTTGCCAACGAATTTGTGCAGTTTCTCGAACACCAGAGTTGTTTCTTTCTCGTCGAGTGGTCTCATGGCTGTCGCTAGGGTTTCCGATTTGGGGATTTCCGAATTAGGGTTTTGAACGCTGCTCGTTGGAAGGACTTTATTGGGCTTTGGCCCAAAATATAGTGGGCTGAATTATATGCACGTGCGGCCTACAAACACGTGCTGGGGGTAAAAGAGTCAATTCACAGCACCGTCCACAAAATTGTCTGCCTAGCACGTGGCGTCCGATTATTGGTCCACTTGTGTCAGACCGTACGGTTGCTCCCCGGAGAGAATCTGTATCTGAGTGAACTCCATTGGCGGATGTGTACTGCACCACCGTCACGGCTATGGCCGTTCGGATGAACCGATCTACGACGGCCTCTCCGCTCAGTTCATCCGCGATTTCGCTGCCCAGAGATAGGAGACGGTGCCTGATTGCCTCTGGGTCTTGGAATTTAAATCCTCTGTTTTGTTCCTCTGCTTGCTGGATTGATTGCGTTTCGAAGGATAAGAGGAATCGCGTGGGAAGAAAATCGATTGGAGAATTTACTGTCAACAGTAGTTCGAGGAACCAGAAACGAGTTACCTCCTCTGTAGCTTCTTCCAACAATGGATTGAATTTCAACTCGATCTTTGTGGCGCCAGCGTCGTGGAAGAGGATTTTCTTTGCGTCAAAGAAAGTCAGGAGCATCATTTTGCTTAATCTTAGCTCCCTTATTTACGGTGAGACTCTTAAATTCGGAATCCTTCCAATTCGTTCTTGAATCTTGTTTTAGTAGTGTTTATTTTGGTCACTTTGGTTAAACACTATAATGGATCGTAGATTGGGGTTTTCTTTTAGGGCTTTATATGCTGATTTGATCCTTATTCATTGAAGTGATGATCCTGAATCTCTGTTTACTTAATTTCCATTTATTAAATAATTTTAGCAGAAGTGTTAGATTGCATACATTTCTTGATTCCAAGAATTTGAATCCAGGAAACATTAGTGATTTTCATGAGATGGATATGGCTATGCCTAAATGAGTAAATGCTCACAATTGCGTTGTATATAGAAAGAGAGAAGTCATAACTTACTGAATTGTGATATTATTCTAGATATGGCATTGAATGGCTTTTCTATAATTCTATGTATGTGTATATATATATATATATATCGAACTTGTGGCAGCCAGTAATATTTCAGTTGTGAAGGAAGTTGAAGCCATCACTGACCCCGGAGTCTTCAATGTAATGCGGTTTACTTTAGCTGCCATTCCATTTATCCCAATAGTCCTCTTGGCTAGAGATGATGGTCACTCTCGTAGAGCGGGAATGGAGTTGGGATTTTGGGCAAGCCTAGGATACATATTGCAAGCAGTTGGACTCCTCACATCTGATGCTGGACGAGCATCTTTTATATCGATGTTAACTGTAAGGAACTCTTCCAGTCCCATTATCTGATAATTGCTTGGGGCTTCCGGACGGGTGCCTGCTAACTTGAGGTAGATACAGGTCATAGTTGTGCCCGTAATTGATGCTATGTTAGGATCTTCCATACCTGCTCGTACCTGGTTTGGAGGTCTCATGTGTATCTTTGGGGTCGGAATGCTGGAGTCCAGTGGATCTACTCCTTGTGTGAGTGTATCAAGTGGTATCATAAAAGGTTTTTTGTAGCTCTTAAGTCGGTCTAAGTTATTTATTAATGCTGTTATTCTTGTGCCGGTTTTCAGGTTGGAGACTTGTTAAATTTCTTGAGTGCGGTGTCGTTTGGTATTCATATGCTTAGAACTGAACATATTTCCCGGAACACAAGAAAAGAGGATGTTTTGCCACTCCTGGGATACGAGGTTGGGTGATATTTCGCGTTCAGACGGCTGTTTGCCTTTGATTCTTGTATTAATCTTGTAAGATGCACACTTTTTATTCTCATAGGTATGCATTGTCGCCCTTGTATCGATCATTTGGTATTTCATTGAAGGACGGTGTGGGGTACAAGAATTTAATCCAGCAACATGGAAATGGGATGCAATCTTTCATTGGATTTCTTCATTCCCTTGGATACCTGCACTTTATACCGGAAGTTTCTCAACGGGCGTATGCTTATGGGTAGAGGTATACTTTTGTGTTCTTTGGCTTAATATCCTAAGTTTATACCAATATATGTTCGTGATTTCCCTGATTTTCTTACACGAGCTTAAATATTCGAGTTCCCTTTTGTTGGATCATTACATGGTAATGTTAGATGATTTGCCAAGTAATAATTTACCAAGAACTATGCAGATGGTTGCCATGTGTGATGTTTCAGCCACAGAAACTGCGATAATTTATGGTTTGGAACCAGTATGGGGTGCTGGATTTGCTTGGTTCCTACTCGGTGAGAGATGGGGTGTGCTTGGATGGATGGGCGCCGCCTTTGTTCTCGGTAAACACCATCGTTTGCATTATGCAAAAATCAATTTCACTTGAGAGAACAAGAAAGATTTTTCGCTTCATGTCTTATTTAGTCACGAGCTGCGCAATGTAGGTGGAAGCTTAACGGTGCAGATGATGGGAACCGGAACAAGATCCTCATCATCATCATCATCAAGAGAATGCAAAAGGATGGATGCAGGATCAGACAAACTATCATAATGCAAGTGAATATATAATATTTGTTTCACATATGACTTGGGATTATACTTATGTGTATAAAAATGTATATAGATTCCCTACATGAACTCTTTTCCACATACAGGACAAGTACACTTAAAAACAATAAAAATATGGTAGCTTTTATATGTTATAAGCTGCCCTTTCTTGGTTTTTAAGGCATTTGCCATCTTTGATGAATAAAATAAGCTCTTTCTTTGACTATGGATAAGAGTAAAATTACTACCAAGTCCAGTGGGCAAGTAGGCAATAGTAATTCAAGAGGACATCTCTGATAATGAATAAATAAAGTGCAACTCTTGATTGGACGAAGAGCCATAGCCCAAAAATTAATGCCCCAAAGGCCAAACTTTGATGATTAGTAGTCAACCATCAACACAAACAACCAAACAAGATAACATGGGAAGAACCATGGAAGTTCAAGAATCAGATAAAGAGACATTATTCTTGTTATTTATTATTAAGAAGAAAAAGAAAAGCCAATTCATTCTGCTCCCAAAAGCCGCATAAAAACTTCTACCATCTAAGTTATGAGCAAAGAAATAGCACATGCTAATTCTCAACATCGCTGTCATTGCCCGACGAGATGAACTCTACACAGATATGAATTAATCCTAAACATAGCACAATGAGTTTTAAGCATCAAATAAAAAGTGAAGGCATCCGGCATCCATCAATGGAAAAGAAAGTATAAGCTTTTATTATAGACAAGAAACCCTCATCATGGTTTTCAATAATTTGTTCATATAAACAAAAAGATCGCCAAGGCGAAAACCTAAACACCAAACATAATGTATATAATCACTCAAAACCTTCTGATCCAGACATACCTGGAACAGAGTCCTCTTAACTAGTCCTATTAGAAGACAATAACTATAACCCAATTGCCCACCATAAGATTTACTCAATGAGAAGATATCTTCGGGCTGGTAGATTTATGGAACCAAGACTTCCAACTGCCACTGCTCTTCCGAGAGATCGCGGGCAGTTTGTTTTCTTTAGTGGCATTCCCAGCATCAGGCTTCTTGCACAGCATGAAGTTTCGGACACCGAATGATCCAATTGTATCCCATGGACTCAGAGCTAATAACCAAAGACAAGTAAATAATGCAACATCAACATCACAATCAAGACATTTAGTTAATAAAAGTTATAGTCCGAGTAAAGACTTGAATCAACATGAGTTAGAAGAAACCATTCACAACAAAGAACAACAAGGACAAACCTCTGAAATCTAATAACTCTCGCAATATCACAATATATTTCAATAGATACGCAATCACAATCGAAATTGAAGATATAAGAAGAGTGAAATTGAACAGCTACCTTCTGTTTCCGGACCGGGGCAGTAGAGCATGAAATTATTGAGATTGGTTCCTAGAACAGGCAGCCTTTCCTCGCGCGCGTACGATTTCAACGCAGTCTGGATGACAGCAGCGACGAGTTCCTCCTCGCTCACGATGAATCGAATCGGACCGGCGCTACCAAACACTGTTATACTAATCAAGAAGCGGTTGCACTTCGTGGCCTGACTCTTCTTCCTGTGAAGCGCCATGTGTATCGTTCGATTTTCTGATGGTGAATTTTTAAACAATAGAGATCTACACAGAGAGACGGTGGCGAAAACCGAAGAAACTAGGGCTCGTCGCAAAATTCAAAGGAGAGAACCACAAAAACGGAAAACGATTAAGCAAACATTCAAGGGTCGAGGCCGAGGCAGCGGTGGTACCAGGCTTCCTTGCACGACGCAAAGCAAAAGGAATTGGCGATGGTAGCGGAATAAATCGAAATCCCCCTACTTGAGGAAGAGGGGAAGATCATGAATTGTTCTGTCGAGATTTTCACCATTCACAATGGAGGGAGAAACCACAGGCGATCGGCGAACGCAGCACGGGGTAAGGAAGATATAGCGAATGAATGTCTCGCCGATTAGGGAACCAGAAATCGGAAGAAATCGCCGATCACCGATGAGGAAGGAGGACTCGAATTTGGGGGTGGAGACGAAGCGGCAAATAATTGAGGAAGAAGAGACGTGATTCTGGTATATATATATGGAGAGAGGGAGAAAGATAGATACAGATATATGTATGTATCTATCAAATATCATCAATATCGGTGAGGAAAATAGGTATTAAGTTGTTTCAAAATAATACCATATATTTAGAAATTAGTATAATCGAATATTTACATAAATATGTGGTTCTATCACATAAGATATTTTTACATATCTTACTAAATTTGCGCGTGTTACTTCTTTATCCATAAATTTTATGTTTAAAATTTTACTGTATATGTTTTTATTTTGAGAATATTATTATTATTATTATTATTATTATTATTTGAAATATATATATGAGTTAAGATTGAAAATTGAAAATTGCAGTGCTGCCGCTCCCACTAGTCCACTACTAGAGATCAAATTGATCATATTTTAGAATTTTAATCGCATTTAGTTGTCCAACAAAGAATATTGATAGATACTATAATAGTGGACACGCCCGTGTTAAAGTAGAACAAGTTGAATGAACTACTGCAATGCTAAGCAAGTTTTTATTAATATTAAAATGGGCGTGTTGGGTGATCAACATGGCGTGTTGAAGCACAGAGGTGTTTTATTTTATAAGTATATAGGCATAGCAGAAAGGAGCATGTTGCATGCAACGTTTATGCACGTGTCATTCCGAAATTTGAAGTTCTTTTAGAAGACAAAGTTGTTTGACTTTATTTATTTATTATTATTTTTTAATAACGTAGAAATTTGAAGCCGTTGCCAAAAATGTAAACGTTTGGTCGAACTTAATGCCTTGCAAATTAAACTTGACAATGCAAAATCACGCGAATTATGTGTGGCCGATGAACCTGGAAGTGTCGGAGCGGACAAAGTTGTTTGACTTTAGAAAATATGTCATGTGTGCTTGGTTGAATTTTTTTTTTTAAGGTTTGCTATTATTCAATATATAAATCAATTTTTTATTTTTTTTTATTGTATTATATATTAAAACTAATTGTACATTTATAATATTGTATAAATACTTATTTATATCATATTAAACAATAATTTAAATTTAAATACACTTTCATTAGTGACATGATATTTAAGGAAATAATATTTAAATAATTAATAATAGAAATTTATAATATTATTTTATTATTTTTTATATAATTAATAATATTTGATAGTTTTAAAACTAAAGTTAATATATACTATAAAAATAATTGGAATATTTATTAGATTATTTTTTAATTAAAATTCAATAAAAATATATAAAAAATATAGATATCAACTTTCAAAAATAAATTTTTTATAATACAAGTAAATAAAAAAGTGTTTTGAACGACTTCTACGTGATTATAATATTATATAGTATTATGTAATTAATTAAATTAAATTTGTATTTATTAAATATATTTTGATTTAATAAATTTTATTTAAAAATGTATCAATGGTTATGAATAAAAAAAAATTAATAATCGTAGGACGGATGTAACACAATATAATACAGAATAATAATAGCAATTATTTTTACTTTAAAAATAACTCAACAAACTTTCGAGCATGACGTGTCAAATCTACAATGGCATTGTCCCTCTAATTAATTAATCCATCAAGCTCCAGAGAGACCAACACCAATAGATCCACACCGTCGAAAACTACATCAACGGTGGAGATTCATCCGCCTTTTAACTATATATATATTTCAGCTTCCCTCCCTCCCTACCATTTCCAGTTTTTCCGTACGAAAGGGAAAACGAAGAAGATCGAATTCGTGGAGATTGATGAAAAATCGTTCGTCGATGGAAGTTTCGGGACTCCTGAGGATTCGAGTTCACCGAGGTATCAATCTCGCCGTGCGAGACAAGCGCGGCACCAGCGATCCTTACGCCGTCGTCAAATCCGGCCTCCAGGTCTGTCTCAATTTCCTACATCGAATTTCAATTCTAGAAGCCAAAATCAGGAAATAAAACCGCCTCGATTGTTCGATGGTAATCAATTCGATGTTATTCGGACATGAGATTCCGCTGTTGTCTGAATCTATGGATTATACATTGATTTTTATATTGTTGATGTTGTTATTGTTATTACAATTACTCGATGCAGAAAGTGAGGTCGAAGGTGTTGAGAGACACTCTGAATCCTGTCTGGGAAGATGATTTGACGATTCACATTAAGGATCTAAATCTCCCAGTCATTCTCGTAATTAAACATATTCAATTGATGATTTCGATATAATTTGAATCAATCGAGGATCCTTAATTTCCTACTATTTGTGCAATTTTCAGACAGTCTACGACAAGGACACATTCACAGATGACGACAACATGGGGCACGCTCAGCTGGACATCAAACCTCTGTTCGAATGCACGAGGATGGGATTGGAAGATCTTTACGACGGGACTACGGTCGAGAAGATCGAGCCGAGCCCCGACAATTGCTTAGCCGAGCAGAGCCGAGTCGTTTGGACCGATGGTAATTTGTTCATCAAATTCATTTATTTATTTCTGGTGGCATGATACGTATAAATATATATATATAATAATAAAAAATAAAATAAAAAAAAACCATATATGCATAACAAAAAGTAACAAAATTCAATACAAAAATATTATTTTTATATTATTCATAAGATTTTTCATATTTAATATAAAAACACATTAATTAAAAATACAAAGCGAACAAACTCAATATATCATTATTAGTTACGTATAATACTATCTTGTCATCTAAATTTTTGTTCATTTGAACGAGTACGAATTTTAAAAATAGATAAAAATAATTTTTTTTCTTTTTATAGTAGAGAAAAAATAAAAAAAACATAGTATGCTTTTACTAAAAATAGAAATAAAAATATTTTTTTATGACAAAAAAAAATGAGTATAAATTTAAATAATATGAAAGTATAATATGATCATTTTGCTTAAAATTTAAGTTAATAAGAAAATACATTATTATTGACAGGTAAGATGAGTCAAGAAATGAAGCTCAAATTGAGAAATGTGGAGACCGGCGAAGTTGAAATTAGGATCGAATGGACCGATCTTCCGGGAGACGTAGGTATACATATTTAAGGATGAATTTCGAACATGAACATGAATGACTTCCGTTTTTGCGGTTGTTTTTTTTTTAGGTAAGATTTAAGGTATTTATAATGATGTGTAATTTAAGGTTGTTGTAGGTTTGTTTGTGTTGAGTGAATTATGAAATCATGTTGTCTTTAACTTGTAGGTTTGATGCCATTGTTGTGTTAGTCGTGTGTATGTATTTTTGTATATGTGTTATAATGTTATTTAATGGCTTCTCTTTTCAATGAAATTTAATGAATATTATAATTTAATGACAGTTAGTGAAATTTTTTTGACGTATACAATTATTTTACTATTGTCTCGTAAATTAATGTAATTATTTTTTTTTTACGTATACAATTATTTTACTATTGTCTTGTAAATTAATGTAATTATGTTAACGTAAATAAATATAAGTATAAGAGTTTGTAATGTATGATGAGATTTGTTGCTGATAAAAATGAAATTTAATATTGTTGGATCACGAAAAATAATAATATTGTTACTTTATGAGTGGAAGGAAAAAATATACATTAATTAATAATAATAATAAATAAATAAAACTCATTGTTTTCGGTGTTTTATTTTATTAATTTGTTTTCTTTTTAATATTTAGTTAATTTATTTATAATTAAAATTGCGTTTCATATTTATTTCTTATGTGCTATATTATATCCAATCAATTTTTTTATTGTATATATTTATTTTTTTTTTTGTGTGTGTGTGTTTTGTATTTTGTTATGTTTTTTTAAATATATATAGAGAGAGAAGAATTAGAGAATAAAAAAATAATAATACACAAAACACCATAGCCAAACCGTGAAAAAGATAAACAAAGAATGCGCCTCTTTTGAGTCATTTTTTGAAATTACTTTTTTTATTTAAATAGTATTTAATGTAATATTATATATATATAAAAATATTTACTCTTTTCATTACCTAAATGTTAGTTGCTAGTACTAGTAATAAACTATTTTACTTTTTGTGTTTTTCTTAAATATAATGATATTATTATAAAATTGATATTATTTATAAAATGTAATGATGTCTATATTTACTAAAAAAAATTAAATACTGTACACTTATCTTACCAAAAATTATAAAAATAAATATTTTTTAAACAGATGCAAAGGGCATATACAGAGCAATTACAAATAAACATACTCAAACAACACACCTTTATATATATATATATATATATATATATATTTAAAAAGAATTAATTCAAAGTACCCATAAAACATAAACAAACAAAAATTTATTGATAATGTGCAATAAAAAAAAAAAAAAAAAAACTCTTTTCTCTTATGTAACTAAGATCCAAATCCCAAACAAAAATACTCTTAATTTATTATTATTATTAGGGTAACCATAATGGCCCTTTTATCATTTTAGTCACGTAAGTGAAGCTTGTCGTAAACTAGTTTCATAAGTGAAAAATTTTCGTTGTTTTAGTTCTCTGGTGCCGGAGACGTCCGCATGGCTCGCCGGAAGCCACGTTGTCTCGCTAGGTTAGCGACACCTAACGGACAAGTGGATTTAAATTTTTTTTCAATTGAACCAAATAAAAAAAAATTAAAAAAAGCCAAATATAATTAAAAAGTAATTTAAAATCAATTTTTTAAAAAATTTAAAAATATAAAAAAATAATAATAAAATCCACTAGTCAGCCCTTAGCCTCCGGCAAGCCATGCGGGCGTCTCCGGCGTCGGAGGACTAAAACAACGAAAATTTTTTACTTATGGGACTAATTTGCGAAAGGCTCCACTTACGGGACTAAAATGATAAGGGGATCCAATTATGAAACTAAAATGATAAGAAAGTTCAGTTATAGATTAAAAAATAGTTTACCCTTATTATTATTATTATTATTATTATTATTAGTTGACGACGTGAGAACATACAATTTCTAATTTTCATATGTATATTGAGTAAATTTTCGAACCAACATAATAAATTACAAATTATGTTGGTAAGCAAATCATATTAAACAAATTATGTAGGAGACACATGTTGATAGTATCTTGTTTTCACAAATTATTTAAATATCATTTTCATCCCACCAAATTTGAAAATATATATTCATGTGTTTGGATTGATTTTTAGGTGAGTGAGTGTGTAGTCATATCCTAAATATCCGATTTTATTTATTTATTTATATGCAAAAATACTGCTAACAAATAGTAAAAATAGATTTAAATAGTGAGAGTTTTAATTACACCTTCTCATTCTTATTTAGGGGGAAAAAAAAAAAAAATTATTTATCAACATATTTTTAAAAAGTTTAACACTATTTATCAATATTATTTTTTTTAAATATATATCAAATATTTAATTTTTTTATGATATAAAAATTCGATAAATTAATAGTCTGGAAACTTATATCTTGCAATTTATGATCTCACGGTCACATGCTGACCCTACCCTGTACTACCAAAACATCCTTATCGGACTTTCAAGTTTTTTTTCTTTGGCGAACAAAATATAACAATTAATATAAGTAAGTATTTTTATTTGAAAAGTCTCCAATAACAATTAAATTAAAAACCAAAACATAAATGCACTCAATTATTTTTTTAATCATTTTTTTTCGTTTCACTTAATAGTATCTTTTTTTTTATTTTAGTAATAGAAATTATAAATTAATATCAAAATACTCTTAATTTTTACTTAAATTACAAATATACTAGTATGTTTATTTTTTATTTTGAGTTGTTTAAAAAAAAATTATGTCATTTTATTTTTAGGAAAAAAATACATTAATATTTGTACTTTTGTACTATAAAATGCTAAAATGAATAATTATTATCAACTTTTATTAAAATTTGACATCTAAAACATTTGAGCACACGGTACGGATGATAAAGGGAGTAGTATTTTAATGTATAAGTGAAATAAATAAAAGCAAAGTGGATGTGGTATCGAAAATTTATTAAAGAATTGTAGTGTAAGTAGAAGTAATTGTAACAAATTGATTATTATTTGTTAAAAGAAATATAATAAAATTATGGATACATAAAAGTATTTATTATAAATAAATTATACACAAATTTAACAAATTATATATAAAAAAAAAACATATGACATAATTATCCTGAATAAAAAAAATACTAAACAAAATAACATAAAATTCCCATGTGGTTTTCCGAATTCTCTGAAAACCTCATTTGGTTTTAAAATTTTATATTACCTACTTGTAGTTTAAAAAATATTGCAAAAAATACCTCCACCGTTAATATTTTGAAAAATTCACTTACTATAAGAAAAAAATTTACAAAATTACCCTCCATTATCTTCTTTATCTTCCCCAACCTTGCTGTTATGGTTGTTTTTACCTATTCTCAATCGCTTTCTTTTTTTTCGATAGGAGTGAAGCGCACCTCTGCAATAATAATGGGAGTCGACAATTCCTAAATCTTCGGAATAACCAGTGGATTGGTATATTAAGGGTGTGTTTGTTTGGGGTTTGAATTTTTAGTTGCGATTTGAATAGTAAAAATTTTAAATTATAATAGTTGTATGATTTGAAATAAATAGATATGTGATAATTTTGAATGTAAAATTATTTTGTAATATAATATAAAAAATAAAAAATACATATTCGATTTGATGTTTTTGGAGGAAAAAATTTGGATGAGTAGTAGGATTTCGCCAAAATCCTTCAAACGAACACACGTTGTTTGACGGTTTGGATTTTGAGTTGGGATTTGAACAGTAAAAATTTTGAATTAGAATAGTTGTATAATATAATATAAATATGTGTTGATGTGATGTTTTGAATGTCAAATTAATTTTTAGTATAATATAAAAAAATAAAAAATAGGTGTTAATTTAATATTTTGAGAAAAAAATAAATTGAATGAATAATAGATTGGAAGTAAAATCACCCAAACAAACACACCTTTAATATACCAAACTCACAATCTCTCTTCTCTTTTATTATTATTATTATTATTATTTTCAAAATATGTTGCCAATAGGAGATAATACAAAAACGTAATTATTTTGCGAAAAAAATTTAAAAATAATAAAAGAACTTTACACTATAACTAAGCATATTTTAAATATGTCTATGTGATTACTAACTTTATTTCATTAATGGTCCATTATTTTCTTACAATTTAAAACTCAAAAAAAATCACAACCACACACATTATTAATTGAAATTGACTGATTTGAGACAGGACATTCCATTACCTGAAATCAACAAGGCTGCCCACCAACAATTTGGGCATATTTGGCAATCCACTTTTATGATCAACCAATAATGAGACCAATAAAATAAATAAATAAATAAATAAATAATAATAATAATAATAATAATAATAAGACCAATAATAAATAATGATTATTCACATTATATCCGGTGGTGACAAGTATTTCAATAAAAAAAAAAATTATAATTTAATAATTGTGCAATTAAAAAATTGGATTGAGGTCACTTAAAATTTGCGATTGGATCATTTTTCTAAAATTGTAAGTGAATTATTTGAAGTTTAAATAATTGTTGATCCACAAATAATTATAATTCAATTCAAATAAAATAGGACATAGATCAACTACTGATTTGGTCAAATCAGTATGGTATGATTTAATCGGGTCTAACATATATGTTATATGAATAATCAATATATATTTATAATACATATTATATTATATTATAACTACATATGCTATATTATAACATATCATATGCTGAGATATGTATAAATATACGTTGGTCACTCGTATAGCATATGATTTTACCATACTGACAGGCCGGATTAGCACACGATGCTATTAAAATAATTAATTTACCTTTTAAAATTATAAATATACAAAAATAGCATTATGTTATTATTATTATTATTATTTTATATATAATGATAGAAAAAAACAAATTCTGAATTCACCACTGGTCAAATTGGTCAAATTGGTGTAATAGGTTGGTTTTTAATGCACCATGATGTTCTATTCGTTTACTATTTTAAATCAAAATTAATATTATTTACTCTATATAATTTTCG